ACCCTTGACAGGATATTAGACATGCAGCAATCTGCTTCAAAGATGAATATTGCTTACAGACACATAAATAAGACGAAACCCCCATTTGTAACGCTTAAGATATGAAGATACTCCCAAGGTTCTGTGATTTGAAGACTGATCATTCGACCTCAATCCAATAAGTTTACAAGCAACTTGAATTTCTTTAGGCCGCCTTCAGCTACAGTGGTTATAACACACACAAATGCCACACAAATGCCGGCCGCTGAGCCCTTTGATTATGAAACGGCCGAGAAGCCAAATAAACGATTTACCTCATTTGTTGTTCACCCTGGACCCGGTTATCTCCCGTAATACCAAAGCTCCTTATAGTCAATAGAGGTGTCAGCAGACAACAACTTTGGACATATTTCTTCTCCAAATCCTACATTGTTCCTACCGATCTAGACGGCGGTGATACTTCTAGAACTTAGCTTATGAACGACTCGGTATCTTCCGCATGCGAGGCTAGCACGATGGCGAGAGGATTAAAGCTCGTTCTTGTGGTATCGATCCAAGCTCTCAGTGAAGGTTGAATGGGAGGAGACGCAGAGTTTGAAGACATGGGAGCTATGTATATGAAAATCTCCAACGTCTCCACTTCAAAGATTGACGGGAAATGATTTGAGGGATAATTGACTGGAGATTGGAAGCTGTCTATGAGGGGTACTGGCTGCAGAGCGAAAGGGCTTGCACAAAATACCGATCCACCACGCACGGCAGGGTGTGGGTCAGTCCAAAATGGTTGTTATGCCCAATATACAGATGGAGTATATATAGAATTTCTATGATTTCAAAGGCTTTTTGTGGGTGCTATACATGCTTGAGGCTCTTGCACATTCTTTTGCTCTCATTTTGTTGGCAACAATTCTGAATACAAAATATAACAAGATACACCATATAGTAGGATGATATCTAGCATTTGTAATTCGGATGCTGCACTTCTTACTAGCACAAAGTACACGAGATTGCAAAGAGTCAAATAAGCATTTAATTATGGGGATGGGAGTAAACCCACGTCAAGAGGGACGGAGTACATACTCCGTATTCTCTAAACAATAATGATTAAACATTCCAAACAAGCCTGGAAGCAGAAGCACATATTTCCACCAATTGTGGGGTGGCAAGGGATGTCGGATTTGAATCTTTGTATCTTTGATATGGAGCACACATACAAAAGATACTTAACCCCATAGATACACATTGGGTCTCAAAACACATCGCATCTGAATATTAGACGTGACCCACAGCCATTAAGAGGTGTTACTGGTTGCTTGAGAATCCAGGTCTGCAAGAATCTAGAACAAGATAGAAACTATGGTGGCGGCGAATCGATATCCGCTCGCATGAAGTTCGGTTCCCAATAAGGAAATCCACTTTAATTTCCAAATTGGGTAATATGTTCCGATCTATACAGAGTCGAGGTGTAAAGCACAAAGATAATGTTGTTGCCCCCACTGCGGCCCAGGGACCGTGTCACCTGAAACGGATTTTGTATATTGGGGAAATATTCATGCTACACTCTACTCCGTAATATCCCCTGAGCCGATCTAAAAATTTCAATGTTTCCGAGATCCTCTCTTCGCCGGTAGATACAACTATTGGATACACATACCTTTGATTTATTTGATCCGATTACTCTAATTTACCTGCAGTCTTGACAGATATTATGACTCTCTCGTCATACTTCCACTTCTCCAAACTCGGCCTATATATATAGCTATCTCCTTGGTTGAGCTTCTCATGGGTGGTGGTCATAGTCAGACCCGCTTTTGCGTGATGCCAAGCTGGAATTCCGGAAAATACCTTGAACAAGATACAAGATAGGCAGGTATAAGAAAGAAGGTCCTCAGGCTACAGCATACTCGGTTGCTCCTGCTCATCAATAATATCCCTGATCATCGATATGGTATAAAATAGCGCATTATCTAGTGTGAAGTAGTCTCCTTACTCGAAGGATCCTAAGACCAGCCCTGAAAGGTACCCTTGCCAATGTCTTGGTGATTACCAGCCCTCTCGTTAGACCTAGTTAGGTTCACCGATGGAAAAATATAGTCAAAGTTCTTTCCAAAGGAAAGGCATCGGGAATCAAGGCGATAAAGCCAAAGCGTCATCGTAGCATATTGCCTAATTAGGCTAGCGCCACCCTTCCATATCAGGCAACCCATCTAGGTGCGGGCCGATATCAAAGGTTCCGTTTGTAGCAAAAAAAGGTATGAGCATTTCATCCATGGATGGTTCTGTATTTCTTTTTTTTTTGCTATGCTCCACTCGTCGAAAATTCGGGGCCGAATTTTATTGGAGATGAGTTATAAAAGAATGCTACCCCGGGTGTCCAAACGATCCATCTTGTATGACTACACGTTGCCACAACTACAACACCTCACACCTATAATTATACAACACTTCATACTTTCCCCTGGGTACAGCCCTCATCACCAGTCTGATATCTCTCAACATGGAGACTCCTCGTTCAGATCAGACACACACAAATGCAACTAGCCCGACAGCCTCCATCGGTTCTGGCGAATACAACCATGCACAAGCACAAGCACAACCGGATGATTACCTCGACCTACCAGTCCGCGAAGTCACTGACTCCGCCGATCTACGTGAATATATCACTGAGACGAGGACAGGTGAAATCATCAAGCCGGTCAAGTCCAATGCTACTGGCAAAATCGAAGATTGGAAGATGGTAACCTTCACCATCGACGATCCTGAGAACCCCAAGAACTGGTCGAAGGCATACAAGTGGTACTGTACCATGGTGGTTGCCTTCACCTGCTTTGTCGTCGCCTTTTGCAGTAGTGTCATCACAGCCGACATTGAGGGACCTATTGAGGAATTCGGTATTGGTCGTGAAGTCAGCTTGCTTGTTGTTACGGTTTTCGTTATTGGATTTGGTATTGGTAAGTAACTCACAGATATGTGATCTGCTTTGTATAGTTCTAACCTTATTTTAGGACCCATGGTTTTTGCTCCGATGTCAGAGATCTTCGGACGTCGACCTGTCTACGCTCTGACCCTCGCAATCGCTGTTATTTTCGTCATCCCGTGCGCCGTTTCCAAGAACATTGGAACTCTCATTGTCTGCCGTCTGATTGATGGAATCGCTTTCAGTGCCCCCATGACTCTAGTCGGTGGTACTCTGGCTGATTTGTGGAGGGCCGAGGAGCGTGGTGTCCCGATGGCAGCATTCAGCGCTGCTCCCTTCATTGGTCCTGCCATCGGCCCACTTGCTGGTGGTTACCTGGCTGACAATTGCGGTTGGCGCTGGCTTTACTGGCTCCAGCTTATTCTGGCTTTTGTCGCCTGGGTCATGATCAGCTTCACTGTCCCTGAGACCTTCGCACCGATTTTGCTCAAGAAGCGCGCCCAGAAACTTCGCAAGTCTGAGGACGACCCCATGTATACCACCGAGACCGAGCTCGATTCTCGTCCCATGGGTGAGAAGTTGCGAATCTTCCTCTTCCGCCCTTTCCAGCTTCTGTTCCTGGAGCCCATCGTCTTGTTCATTTCTCTCTACATGTCCGTCATCTATGGCTTGCTGTACATGTTCTTTGTTGCCTACCCAATTGTTTACCAGGGCGGCAAAGGATGGAGCGCGTCTAACACCGGTCTCATGTTTATCCCTCTGGCCATCGGTGTGGTCATGAGCGCATGCTGTGCTCCTTTTGTCAACAAGCACTACCTCAAGGTCTCTGCGGCATGCGGTGGCAAGCCTCCGGCCGAAAAGCGTCTGATTCCCATGATGTGTGCTTGCTGGTGCATCCCTTCCGGTCTTTTCATCTTCGCCTGGACCTCCTACCCCAATCTTCACTGGATGGGACCGGCTATGGGAGGTTTCCTTATTGGATTCGGCATTATCTTCCTTTATAATTCTGCCAACAACTACCTTGTTGATACCTACCAGCATCAAGCAGCATCTGCTCTCGCAGCCAAAACCTTCATCCGTTCTATTTGGGGTGCCAGCACCGTTCTGTTCACAGAGCAAATGTACGAGCGTCTGGGCGACCAGTGGGCCAGTTCGCTTCTTGCATTCATCGGCTTGGCTTGCTGTGCCATTCCCTATGTATTCTACTTCAAGGGAGAGTCCATTCGTCGTTTCTCGAGATTTGCCTTCAGTGACGACGAGGAGAAAGCCGAGAAAGCTGTCAAGGCATAAATTGTTGTCTTGATCTCGGGGAATCTTTAAAAAGAGGAGGTAATTTTTTTCATCTTGTTCAGCATTGTGGAAATGATTTGCTGGTATGATTGATGTGGAAAAAAGCTTGGATGACATTTGCACGGCGTCTTTTGATATCCATTACATATATAATCGGTCGAATTTTTGACATATTGATAGTTTTTAATACAGAATTTGTTTAACACACATAACACCATGAGTATACGTACTTTTACGGGCGGATCGAGGTACATTAGTTTTGATCTACCTTGACGGTTTGATACATTAGAGAGCCCTCAAAAGGTATGAGTAGGTTGTTAGTGGAAAGCAGGAAATATCTTGTCTTGGTAGATGGGATAACGGTGACCTTGGCTAACATTTATACTGTATGTCTACTTCCTCAAAAATTGATCAATATTGAAATTCAGAAGTACTGCTTAATCGGGCCTGAACAGTCATCGATCTTGTCGCCAACATGATCCCAGTCCACGGGCGTCAGCGTTCAACACCTGGAGGTAAATTAGGGGTTCCAAAATTATTTTCTCTCCCTAGAGTAAGTAAGACGCTATTTAGAACACAGAACAACACAGAATCATCTCAGAACCTGTGACAGCTCCTGGAGGAACTCGGCCTACAGAGGCCCACCATACAACATGCTGACATAATCCACCTGATGGCGCTCATCAGGACCATCGCATCAACTTGAGCCTCTTTTACTTTGGGCTTTTTTTTTTTGAGATCAAGGGTCAACACCAACTCCGACTCAGTTATTTAAAGATACAATACAACTACTCGGTCTTTCACGATCCTAATAATGGCCTCCGACGCTGCCTCCCTCTCGCCCGCCGAGCTCTACGACTCTACCATGACCGTCCCCTCCGACTCAGAGAACTACTCCGCGAACCATGAGATGTCCTCCTCGGTCCAGTCAACCGAAAGCTCACCCATGATGCTTTACAAGCCGCCAAGTGTTTGGGGTCTTGTGCGCGGAGCTGCCATCAACCTCTTCCTCCCCTTCGTCAACGGTCTCATGCTAGGCTTTGGAGAGCTGTTCGCACACGAGGCTGCTTTCCGACTTGGATGGTCTAACACTAAGGTACGTGGAACACTATATGAGCTCATATCAATCCGGATGACTGACTCTCTGCCCTTGGTTATATAGATCTTCCCTAACCACCGCCGCTCACATGCAGTGGGCCCGGGTGTTGAGATGCGGGAGCTTCCCTCGGAGCGGAGACGTCCTGGACTGAGGGATACTGCTTCTCTAGAATAAGTGATTGATATTTTTTGTGCCGTTTAATCTGTTCGAGAATGGCAGCATTTACGCGGGACACAAAACCGAAGCATATGTGATTTGGGATCGATACCTAGCTTTCTGTGCACACCTGAATTTAGTGACTGTACATAGACCTGTTGACTCAGGGGGGTGGCGTTTGGCGCATTAGGATTTACATTTTGCAACCAGCTTTACAATGTTAGAATATCCAAGTCTATCAATATTTCCATATTTCCATCTTCGGGTCTCCGTGCCTGTCCCGTAGCCGTGATCCGGGGATATATTTACCGCCCGGGCAGAAAAAGTCGCGCCGAAAGGCAGGAGAACAACTCTTCCGCGTTGGTGTATCACCCCATCACTAATTATCTCAAACCACAATGATGGGATCTGTTGGCCTGAAAGGGTCCGGCGCAGCCGCTGCGTTTGCACGCCAAAGAATGACCGCCATGTCCCGGTCCTCTCGATCTGTTTGTTCTCCCGTTGACTCGGACTTGCAGAAACATCGAAATTGACTTGGCTTTGCAGATGTCCACCTTGCGGTCACAAAGCATGCGGTTCCCTAGCCAGCGGGGCCAATTGAAATCAGCATTATCCGGAAGTGCTCCCTGGCGCATGACATCAGCTGTTGTCGGCCCGGCCGCAGTCAGATTCAATTCCACCTCCTCCAACACAACACTCCCCGAATTCGCTTTTGATGGCTCATTGAAGAATGCGGTAAACATAACCGATATTACCACGATCCCGGAGAGCATTGGATACCTTAAGGAGCTTGGGCTGGACTTTGGCTGGGGCTTCACGTCGACGATGCAATGGCTGATCGAGCACACTCACATCTGGACCGGCTTGCCATGGTGGGCTAGTATCGTGGCTGTCGGTCTTCTGACTCGTGTAGCAATGCTGAAGCCAGTCCTTGGCGCATCCGAGAACGCAGCAAGAATGGCCAACGCCAAGCCTAAGAGTGAACCCTTCCGGCAAAAGATGCTCGCTGCCTCGACCGCAGGGAACACCCAGGAGGCACAGATTGCAAGGGCTGAGCTCCAGCAGATCAATAAGGAGTTCGGCATTAAGACATGGAAGTCATTTCTTCCCATGTTGCAAATCCCACTTGGTTTCGGATGCTTCCGAGTCGTGCGAGCAATGACTTCGTTGCCAGTGCCGGCCATGGCTATGGAAACAGCAGGGTGGATTAAGGACCTGACTGTTGCTGATCCCACTTACATTTTGCCCATGATGGCTGCAGGCACACTGTGTCTATCTTTGAGGGTAAGTTTGTCTCATCTGGTCTACTATAACTGCGATACTGACTAGAGATAACAGAAAGGCGGTGAATCCGGCGCAATGCCCATGATGCAAACCGACGCAGGAAAGTACATTATATATGGTTTCCCTGTCATGTCTTTTGCCTTCATGGCATTCATGCCAAGTGCCCTACAGCTCTACTTTGTGGCAAGTGGTCTTTTCGGCCTGGGTCAAACATATATGATCAACTCGGAGACCTTCCGGAAGTGGATGGACCTGTCGATCGCTAAGAAGCCATCCACTGGGCCAAAGTACTCTGCAGTCACTCAAAACACCGAAAGCAAGGGTCTTCGCAATCTACTGGAACGTCTCGAGCAGGAGAAAGCCGCAGAGAAAGCACGCCTGCAACACGTTGCGTCACCTGCACAGGAAGATGTGAAAATCAGCTTCATTGACCGCATGTACAAGAAATTCGGGAAAGCCGGCTCTGGTCTCACTAAAACAGTCTCAGAGACATTGAGCATTCAAACAGTCGAGCAACGTCTTGCTAAGGACCGGAAGCAGCGCGCAAATGAATACGAACAGCAGCGAAAAGATGAGGATGAGCTCCTGCGGGAGAGAGCGTAACGAAGCTCGCCGCAGGGAGCACATGCAAACCCTGGAGAACGAAAGGACCAAGGCCAGCAAGTCTTTGAAGAATAGTCAGACGGCTGCTCGCAAAGCTAACGGGCGGCGTGGCTCCGGCCGTGCTTGATCGGTGTGTGTTTATACAAACTGTAAAATATGGCGCAGTGGCATTTGCATTATTTTTTTGTGATTAGAAGAGTAGAATTTGGTTCGACCACAATCTCCATTTGGTTATGTACACCTCTCGAATTGAAGCTTGCATCACTCATCTCGCTATTGCATTGGATAAAGACTCATAGAGCTAGAAAAGGAAAAATCAAAAACAAGTCATATTTACACCCAGACATGGACCAGCCATGTCAAAGAAAACCCAAGTCCCCTAGTCGCACAACACCACAAAACCCAGGTAAAATTAACACGATCTATGAAATCAACATGTAGCACGTAGAGTAAATGAAAGAAGATCAAGTCGTCTGCATAGGAATCGACACAGCAGGTAAAGGCAACGGCATCTTCTCATCTTCAATAAAAACAGCCTTCTCCAGCTTCTGAGTCATAGAAGCACAGAATGTATCCACATACGCCGTCCACAGCGCAGCAACGAGATACACAAGCGCGATCCAGACCGGAATACTAATAGCAACGACCCACGGCGGTCGGATAGGCAACCATTCGCGCTGGTCGTCAGTCGCTGCCTCAGGACCCACCCACGGTTGGCCGCTGATACCATATAGCATCCAGCAGAGCACAACGCGCAGCATTGTGCCGTGGATGAGGTAGACGGCGAAACTCTGCTTCCCGAACCAGAGGAGGAGTCTGCTGGAGAGGAAGTCTTTGGCCGAAGGGGAGAAATAGATCGCCAGGATGATCATGTCAACTGCGAGTGCGGTGTATCGTTTCCCGACGTTGACGCCTGGTGGGAATATGTACTCGCTTGCCTTGAGCATCATGTTTGACCAACCGGCCCATTCGGGATGCTCGCCGGGGTATGAAGCGAGGAGCAATGCGACAATAGTGAGTGGGATGCTGATTATCTTCCGGCCTCGTGAGTTGTTCTCTATCCAGTCCTTTAGGGGTGTGTGGTAGGAGAAGTCACTGAGGAGCATGCCGAAGATGGCTTGCATTTGGAAAGTTTCTATAGAGTCGGGATTAGCATTTTGTGCGTGCGAGCAGTAGCTTAAAAGCTCATATGTTGTTCCACGAGAAACACTCACCTGTATCCTTGCTGGCATCCTGATGGAAATACAGCAACATGCCAATATAGATCATAACCCTATACTGAAATTTGACAAACATAGTCGTAGAAAGCACCAGATAAACCAACATAGAAGACAAAAGCAGCGGCAGAAGCGCCCACTGATGATCATCGTATGCCATATAACCCGTCGTCCAAGTAGACAAGAAATTCATCGGCAGACGAATAAGTTCCTTCCAAAAGGAATCTTCCAAATCCGGTGCGGCATATCGACACCACTGGCAATCAGATCTATTTGCCACAATAAAGCCGCCGAGTTGAGCGACAACCCATGAAATTATCAGAGCAATAGTCGCAGGGAAGATCAGTCGTGGCGGTCGACGAAAGGCGCTCTTTGCTATCGTTTCGAATGAGCTTGTTGTATCACCTGCTCGCGATAGCTTGAGCGGTTTTAGCGCACAGACGTAGCCGGTTAGGAAGGCGAAGATGGTCACACCCAGACGGCCTTGCCATGGGATGCGGAGGATGGGCCATTGGAGGATTCGTGCGCTGACGTCCTCGCTATCGCGTGGTGAGAATAGACCATAGTCCCAGCCTCGAGAGAGATGGGTTAGCACTACTAGGAATGAAGCGATTCCTCGAAGGCCCTATGAGTTCCATATGTTAGATTGTATGCATGCAATGTCTGTGTTGAAAAAACATACATCAATCCATTTAACACTCTTTTTGGGATCTCCTTTCACTGGGTTCCCAGAGGACCAAGGTAAGGATGTGGGTAATGTGTCTATTAACTGAGTGTATAGATGGGAGGGCTGGAGGTATTGCATTATAAACAAAGGTCAGATATGCAAATTTTTTATTGAGAGCCAGGCCATATAATAGGAGATAGACAGAGTGAGCGTCGGCTAGCTCTAGAGAAAGGTATAAGAAGAGCAGTAAAAGATACAAAAAGTCGAGGGTATTGTCTAAGAAGAAAGCAGGATAGTATCTCATCACCCCGGCGATCATATCAACAAACGGCCCGCCAAGGAGTCTGCCAAGAAAAAGGGAGTCGACGGGGCAATGCAAGTGCCCTTCCTTTCGATATCCACCTGAGATCCTTTTGACCTCCCTGCGAACAGTGTATCCTACATTGGGATACCAATAATGGAAATAGCCTCGGATAGCAGCCCTTGCTGCCCTGCGGCTTTCTGCAGGGTCGAATGATCTACCTCCTGCTTGTTCCTGAACAATGAATAGAGAATCATAATATTATTGCCATATAGTCCATCTCTATTCCTATTCCGCATATTGTACGACATTGAAGCCCTAATTCCGAGAATTCCATATACCCAATCAAACCACCTAGGCAGCAACATGCAAGTTCCGAAAACAGCTGACCTGTAATAGCGTCATTGTCATGTCTGTTACACTAAAATCGATTTGAAGACAGTAGTGGCGATTCGATACATACGATATCAGTGGGGGAGATCACAGGAAGAGAATGGTGCATATTCATCCCCAGACACAGCCCTATGATACTAGCTACGACAGAGCAATGCGAATCATGTTTGCCTACACGGAGTACGTTGTAAATGTCGGCATTCTTCACCCCCTGCCAAGATCGAGGACCTCCTGGTTAGATGTATCAAATCTAGTGGAATGTGCGATTGCATACGCCTCCGTTCTAAATTAAGACTGCGGTTCCAGGTTCCATCTACAAGGATAACAGTGCATGGAGGCACAATGAAGGTACATATCTCAAGTCGGTTGATAATATGTTGCGGACGAGAATAATCATGATATCAAAGGGAAACAGACCCAGTCTGCCGAAACAAGTTCCCCCCACAAAGCCCAGATCGCCGATCCTAGTGTATTAGACATGAAAGTAAAGTAAAACAAAGCCCGCACGCCGGTATGCAATAAAAGATTGTTGAGTTATTATCGGAAAAGCCTTCTACCACCTGCACTTCCCGAGTTCCACGTAAATGAGCCCCGAACTCCCAGGTTCTCCAGACTCAATCCCGAGTAACCGACTCCGCCACCTTCGCCATTACGCTTTGTCCGTCGTACCGCTTCACGCAGATGTGACGGTAGAAGCTGGCCTCGGTGTGGGTTCGGTGGAAGACGGAACTCGCGTCTGGGGCGGAGCGGAGTGGGAGTTGGCCGAGGAGAGGATGTTGTCGAGTTCGGATGGGTAGAGATAGAGGGCGTGGGCGTACGGTTAGAATCATGTGGTTCTTTCTTAATCCCGTTGCCGAAAGATGCTGGTGCTGAGCCGGGGACTGGTGTGCCTGCGGGGGTTGGCGTAGAGGGTTTTGAATTTGCGGTCACACCTGAGGCTTTCGCCTGGGCTGCGGCTTCGGCGGCGGCTTCTTCAGCCTCGAACGCATCGCGAGCAGCAATGTCGTGTGCCTCGGCCCATTGGGCCTGGACCGTTCGCGCCATTTCGATCATTTCACCGGCAAAGACCTTAGTGAAACCGTTGACGGTCGTCACCACGCTGGCTGGGACGGATTGTGAGAGGGCATGGTTGACGATACGGCGGAGAGTTTCTTTGCGCAGTTTCGCTCGCTTGAAGAGATCATATCTCTCTGATTGCATAGGATTAAAGGCATCAACCAGAATTCTGTCCAAGACCAAGGTTAGCTGCATCCAATATTACCAAAACGACAGAAAACGTACGCGAGGTTCTTCTTCTCAGCCTCTGTATCCGTAGCTCCTTCTTGCTGCCCAAATAGCTCTGCCTCATCGTCGTCATCATAATCGTCCGCATCATCACCTCCCCCGCCGCCTCCACCGCCAGAAGGACCACCTCTAACCGAACCCTCGTTATCGACTGACCCGAACCGTGTAGAATCTCCCGCCCTAGCGCTAAGAGCATCCTCACGCTCCCGTTCCCGCTCTTTCTCGGCTTTGCTCTTGCGTCCTCGTTTTTTCCCACGCGCAGCACCAGAGAAGACTCCGTCTGCGCTTGCTCCACCCAGACTCCCTGTAAAACTGCCCGTTACGCTCCCGGCGTCACTGAAACTGCGATCTCCAACATCGATGCCGGTCGGGAATGAAGTCTGGCGGAGTGGGTGCATGCGCTGCTTCTTGCCAAGCGGCATTGAGGCGGCGGAGGAGATGGAGGGTCGTTTGAGGGGGTTGGATGATGATTGGTATGGTGGTGGTGACGACATTTTGGGAGGTTGTATCGGATAAATGGGGGCGTGTTGTATTGCACGTTTGATGGTTTGATAGAATCGTGTTCCAAATAGTCGGCTGCGAGGATGCTCAATCTACTCGATATAGTATGAGCGCAAGCTGAAGCTCTGTCGAGAGCCGAGGGTTTCGCGCTGCGCCGTTGCGCCGGGCGAGGAAGGTGGATGTCAACCTCGCTCTCGAATGAATGTTGTTTTCAAGTGATAGTAAATTATCTCTGAAAGGACCACAGAGAGCGATGTGATTTTGCAGCGGGGTTTCGGTGAATGTAGCTGTTACAATCGTTAGGACGCAGTTTGGTTCAGACACGAGATGAGTACGCATCTCACCGCCTTCCGTCTTGGATAGATCATAGCCCTACCTACGTTGGACACTCTGCGCGTTTGCCTAAATTTTACACTCTACACTGAAGGCAATATAATGCAGAAAATGATAATTGTGATTCGATGCTTGGATTGACTACGCAGAGGAGTTCTCAAAATCAGGTATAATGTATGATCCAAGGAGTGACAGAAGGACGAAAATTCGAGAAAAACCGAAGCTCGATATACCTACGGTTCAAGATTCCCCGAATGAGAAAAGAATGAGTCGCTCAGCTTAAACATGCGATGCTGTGCAGTATGTAAGGAAACGATATTGACGAAAAACATTAACAAAACAGAGAGAACTGTGCAAAAATGAATGTCAAGTTGACAGAAACCCAAACGGATAGAAAGGTCGCGACCGCGACAGGAAAACAGTTCAATGGCGGATGGCTGAGGAACCATGTCACCTTAGAATCCCTGCTCTCCAATTCGCGGCGCCCCCCTTTCCAGTCATTGCGTTCGTAGTAACGGAACACAAGATCATAACCGTTCAGGTCATGGACGATGCGGTCGACACGACGGTAGCCTTCGACGTGCTCCATTTTGTTGCTGCGGCGAACAGCCTGGCGCTGAGCATAGGCCACATCATGCTTCCCATTTTCCTCGTCGAGCTCATCCGACGCGGGCTTGGTCTCGAACAACGTGATGCTGAAACGGCCAGGCTTGAAGATCGCAACAACCTGCTGGATGATGTCGGCCGTAGCCTTGCCGTTCTGAGAGTGCGGGACGTTAGTCTCGAAAGATGCGTACGAACACTGAGGCTCCGGTGTGACATGCACGGTGAAGTAGTGGGTCGGGGATTTGCCATCAGGAGCCGGCACAACACCATTGGCAGAGAAGCCACATGGAGTGAAGAGGTATGCATCGATGCGAGCATCCGGGAACTTGCTCTTGGCATACACGTCGGACAGACCGCAGGACTCAGAGACCACGGTGCCCAGAGCATGGCCCTCAGTGGTAAGCTCTGGCGGCAGAATGCCACCAGTCTCTTCATCTATGTCGGAAGTGTTGCTGAAGACGTCGAGGTGATCAGGACCATCCTCTTTCTCCGAGTTACGATGACGCTTCTCGGCCACAGCAGTGGCGTTTTCGAGGTAGAACTGCTTCGCATTTTCCTCGTCAAGGTCGGTCATTAAGACCTCGAGGGTCTCATCGTGCTCATCACAATCAGTGCGCGGGTTGGCATCAGGGAAATTGAGGACCTTGGTTTCGGTTTCGTGGAAGTCAACCTCCTCCTTAGGGCTCGCCGGTGGGGTGAGCATGGTGCCAGGCTCGGTAAGGTAGAGATACCAATGTTCTCCATTCATCTTCCCGATCATGTAGGCGCTGCCGTTGACGAACAACCTGTCCATGGATCGCACCTCATCGCGCCAGCTGCGATGAGGGCCACGCTGACGGTCAGGGAACAAGAAGTTCTTCCGGCTGTAGAAGACTCGGTAGGGAGCTGCAGCCACTGCGATACCCCGGGATGGAGGAGCCGTGGCGCGTGTGAACCCTGCAAACAAGGCAGCGATTTCCAAGATGCGGGGGAGTCCCGAAAGCAAGGTGGTAGTTCCGCACGTCTTGAGAATCAACTTGTGCGGCCAAACAAACATGCTGGACTCCGACAGAAGGTAGGCGTCCATCTCATCAGAGGAGATGACGGAAAGCACCTGGCAATTGACCAGGTCCAACATATCCTTCCAGATTTCCCCGGGCACTTTCTTAAGGCCTTCGGGGCCGGCGGCGCCTAGCTCGGTGGCAGACGGCGCAAACCATACCTCGAGAAGCTTCTCAGGACCTTCGAAAGCATTGGTCGAGTCGAGATCTTGAGTGGCCTCGTAGTTGATTGTCAGAGACGGCGTCCCCGCAAATGAGGACGGCGAGGCCGTGTAGTTTGTTGGAATACCGACGTAAACCATGATGACTGATGTAGCTTGAGCTGTTGTACTTGTGTGTTTTGAACGAAGCTGAAACAGTGACGTCGGACCGCCCTATGGACTTCGATGAAGATAGGCTGTAGAAGCACTGTCTACTTACCCAGACGAACAAGGGGGCGATGCCCGTCTGAGAAGAGAAGGCCCTGAAATAAACTTTAACTGGTCAGACCAGGCGGATAGAATCTCCAAACAGACCGAAGGGCTGCTAAGGAGGCCGGAAGGCGAAGGACAAGAAGAAGATCGTAAGAGAAATGGTGACTAGCAGTCGGTACCCTCGTTCTGGAAGATACCGATACCGGTCAAAGTATCGGGTCTAGCAGACGAGAATTCTGCCTTGGAAAAAAAAGGGTATTGGAAAACGTGGGAGCTGGTGACGACGGGAGTCGGGTTATCGAGGCCTAGAGCAGTATGGTTAGAAACAGTGCTATGAGAGAAGATAGAGAGAAAATTCTTTTGTGTTTGAGTTCATGAGATTAAGGATGATATCCCGATCCAATGGCAATGATAGCTTTTGGCAGTCGGGTTCTCCAAAGACAGAGAGGGAAGGATCACACTTACTTCGCGGGCTTGGACAAGAATCGCAGAAGATCAGTTGGGCTCATGGAAGGCGAAGACAAGTTCGGCTTAGATCAGCACGAGGTAGCGGAGGCCACAATCGTGAACATCGGCGGGGTTTTGTAGGACAGTTTCACTCAGAAGCCCAATAGGTGCCCGAGATCAGAGATTGATTACTCGGAGGCTAGAGGGAACAAGTAATCAACCAAAAAAAAATATTGGCGATGCAGTTTTTGTGGCCTTGGTGACCTCGAGAGTGGGGGAAGTGCAAAATGTTTGCTGCCAGTTCGGTTGGTAATGAGTGATTTTCTCTGTGGGCCCGATAGGGTGGGGCAAAACGGATCAAAATCTGTCTGACATCAGGGCAAGATTGGTTAATGTCTCAATTGCAGGGAATATATTGGACTGTAATACATTACACACAAATTGGGCAAGTAAAAGGCTGCAGTCATATGCAGACCGTCACGAATTTTGACCTGTCAGAGGGGGAGAATAAGGGAAAAAAAGGGCCCAAGCCGGCGAGACTCCCCGGTCTGCAAAAGCGGTGGTGCCAGGCAGAATTTAACTTTGTTCCTGGAGCTATTACGTAAGATCCACCTGACTCAGCAGATGGCGGGGAGGCCCAAGCGGGGAGATTTGAACGTCTTGATATTAGGGCAAAAGAGAGTATACTAGTTATGTGACAGTGTCTATAATTGTATAGATATCTCAATAAAATTGTATTAAATGAAAGAAAGCCAAAGCCCGATAAACTCTATAAGAAAAGCACCCAAAGTATAAAGAAATTACTAGAACCCACCCATTGTGGGCTACCAAGGACCGCCGAGTTTTTCATGGTTTTTTCTATTATCTTTAGAGGCAGAGTCATAGCTGGAACGCGGCACACATCACACCCTAAATTTCTAAATCTCAGCCCATTTATCATATGGCCTTCGTGACTCTTGGGAAATTAAGGTACTGAGACAACTGGGCCAACCTTCCGAAGGAGCCTTCTAAGATCAGCTCAGGGTCTACTCAGTAATCAGAAGGCCAAGGATGAGAACTAGAACGGGAAGGAAAGCTAAGGTATCACAAAAGCAATCTACTACATTAGCAGGATATCCATATATGGAGTTACCATATGAAACACATTGATCAATGGCTGTGTCATGTAATTAAAAAACATATCCAGAGCCTGAATATGTCTACCTAGGTATCCCCGAACCAACGCCAGAGATAACGCCATGCCGCATGAAGAAATCATTGCGATCTCATTTGCAAAAGCACCCGAGAGATATCATGCAGAAAACTGAGAAAGCCATTCATGCTTCCAAAATGATATGTGCTAACTGCACATCCCCATCCTCCACAAGCTTTGCCGCAATGATATCACCAACCTTATCGGCTAATCTGGAGCGGATATCATCCGTGACAGTATGACCATTAGTTAAAAACGGTTGGCTAACACGCAGCGAGGCCAACACAGCCACGAGTGCATTCAGAACTCGCTCCGCAGCTGGCCGACGGGCGGCATCATCCAAACCATCGCTCAAAAGTTTGGTGTATTCATGGAGATTAGGAATGACGAGGACTCGGATTACTTCAGAGCCGCCGACAGACTGCAGACCAATGATGGCACCATAGTGAGCGCCGAATGGCTTTGAAGGGTCGAGGAAGGTCTTGAGACAGGAGCGCACGAGTCGAGGCTTGAGCATGTGAGAAGAATGGGAGTACTTTTTGGCGATGAGACTGAGGAGAGAGGCGGCCATATCGCGCAGAGCGAATGACTCAACGAAATCCGAAGTTCCACCTAGCTGTCGACCGATGAGGCAGGTAAGAATGGATGGTACGAGGGATGCGATCTGATACGGTTAGCGTCTGAGCATGTTCTTCCAAAATGGTAGGGGCTGCTGACATAAGGGTCCACGTAAAGTGACTGGTTCTGGACCAGCGCCTCGGCCATGTGCATCACCTGAGTAAGAACGAAAACATTCTTGAGACTGTGTGTGACCTTCTCGGCAATGAATTGGACAAAGTATGGCACCAGCTGGTGCAGACCTGGGTCCTCGCGAAGGCTGGAATACCCGGAGGTGCGATAATCCTCGCTTGTCTCGTGCAAAAAGGCACTGCAGACCTTTTCGAAATAGAGCTGTAGTTCCCTTGAAAGCACATGCTTGACCAGTGGCTTGACAGCCACATCGCTTGTGCCACTAATCGCTGCCAGTGTGGAGTTGGCGTTCGGACCTTTCGAGACAAGTTCGAGGTTGCGAGAATCGGCAGCGGTTGGGTTCTGAGGGATTGACGGCTGCACGCCTTCGACAGCCAGCCAGTGGGCTAGACTAGACGTTAGTGGCTGGACAGGATATTTAAACCGGGAAGGGTATTCACTCACCAGTGAAGGAGACTTCGCGGGGAACCTTTGGCAGAGGCGCATTGATCAGCTTCTCAAAGTCAACCTCCTCATCTTCAACGTAGAACAGCGGTTGTCCAGGTCCTAGAGAGGCTTCGCCGAACTTCAACGGACGGGTGGAGTCGTAGCCATACAATGGCTCCACGTCCAGGTTGCGCAATGCCAGCGCAATGTCTTGAGTGGTAAGAACCGTGCGCTTACAGTGGCGCATACACTTTAGCGCTTCCTCAAGCACCTGCGCAACTCGATATTCAACGTCCCGGGCGAGATTCTCGGTCACATCGTTATTGAGGTTGAGAATACCGACGGATTCGGCGACATCGCGGATGTTATCGGGGTTCCAGACAGACATGGTGGAAGGGTGTAGTCTGGAATAAAGTTCTGTGAGGGAAAGATCGAGATAAATTCGGGTTTAGATAATAATGGCGCTATCGCGAAAAGTGAGGTGAAGGAGGGACAGTAGAGGAGGTTTAGAAGGCGAGTCGCATTCTGAGGCCACCGCCAGCGGATCCACAGTTTAGACAGTAACAGTCCTTTCTATTGAGTCGGGATCGTGTTTAAATGATGAATGCAACGCGGCAAATTCAATGGATAGAAGGAACAAAGTGAACAAGCGCCGCCTGGAAGATGAAAGCTTGTCGATAAGAGTTGCGCGGGTGGTTCTGCAGTCACCCGTATAAGCTGCCTTGCCGCCTACATTAAGATGCTTTTGCTTCACAAAACCGTGAATAAATCTTCACCAGCAACAGATAATAATAAAATTAGATATGGATAGCCATAAGGGTAATAACAATACAGTGCATCTTAAGAGATCACACCAAAGACCTAAAACCAGGTACACAAGAGCGGGGAGTGTTATTCACTGCTCCTCCGGGTATCATAACAGACAGCGCCAGCCAAATATTGATCTACTGGGCCCCATCCTTTGCAGGTTTTTCCTTCAAAGACTCAGCCTTGGGAACCTCTGCTTTGGTTGGCTCCTTAGCAGCCTCCTCCTGGGGTTCCTTGACAGCCTCCGCCTTGGAGGTTTCTTCTTTCGAAAGCGCCTCCTCCTTGGTGGGCTCAGCAACAGTAGGCTCCTCAGCAGACTTGCCCTTGTCCTTAATCTCCTGCTCCTTGTCCTCGACCAGTGGGGTGGACCTGGCATTCTCCTTCAGCTCCGGACCCTTACCACCATAAACTTTGGGGATTTGTTCGGCAATGGAAGGAGAGAATTCCCGAGCCAAGTTGATGCCGTTGGTGATCGGGTGGAACTTGCGCGTAGTGTTCCGGCTCAGGATAAACTTCATGGCGGTAAACATCCAGCCCATGATAGCAGGGACGTTGACGAAGAACTTCTCACTCAGGAGCTCTGGGTATGCCGTAGCGAACACTTCGATGACCTTCTTTGTTGCGGCACGGACAGACGGATCCATACGGAAGAACTTGACATTCATGTAATCATGCACTTGGATCATCTGGTAGGGATCCTCGCCGTCGTACTCGATTACCTCGGTGGCATCCTTCATCTTCAGGTCTTGTACGGCGAGCTCCATGAGAGCGGCACGCCATTGGACGAATCTGTGACCAGTTAGGATTGATTCCAATTGTAAAGGACTTTTCATGCTGGGTTCTTACTCATCGGTATTCGCGAATGTTGCACTAATATCCTTCACGGCTCCGTAGATGTTCCAAGTAAACACCAAGGGCCGTCCATTCTCCTCATAGGTCGTCAGGTATCCCAAACCCCCGAATTTGGCTGCACTGTACTTTGTAGACTCTGCCAATGCCAGTGGGTTCACGTCTTTGCGCCATTGGAGCGCCTTGCTGAGCTGGGTCTCGGCGGCTTGGGGATTGCCTTCATTTGCGCGCAGGAACTTGATCAACACGTTGACGGTGGGGATATCGTCGCTATCCTTGAGTGGCACTCCCCACATCTCAGTGTGACCAATGTTTCCGAGGATGGTTGGCAGGCGGTTGAACAACTCACCCAAAGCCGGGTTCTTGCTGAGGTACGTCGGCTTCTCAACCTTGGGTTCTTCGGGCTTTGCCGCTTCGGACTCTGTAGCGGCAGTGGTGGTGGTAGCAGCATCCTTTGCAGCTACCTCTTTGATTGGGGCACTGGCTGGTTCGTCTTTAACTACAGTCTGTTCGGTGTTTTCGGCAGCAGTCGCGGTAGTTTCCACGGGCTTGTTGACTACTTCCACAGTTTCCTCCCGCTTCTCGGGAACGGGCGCAACAGGCGCAACAGGCGCACTCTGATCCGACATGATTGATAGAGTTGAAGAGGGTGTGTTGAGGTTAGAGGAAATAGGGGTTTTTGAATTCACAGGGGGAGGCAGTTGCCTTGTCAATAATCGGACCACTTATCAATCCCCCCACCTGTCAGCGACATTTTGTTTCATGATCGACAGATCACATCCACATCGCTATTTTTAATTTTCTATGTTTATTTTGATTCTATGTACGGAGTACGGAGTACTAATTGATATTTGGCATCATTTGTCTGAAAAACATAAAGTGAATTTTCTATATTGTATAGACTTTCTAATTTGATATCTTGAGCAGACTCCTAGCCCATGGTCATGCACAGCTCGCATAGCTTTCAATAGCTTTAATAATTGTTGTATTCATATGTCTTTGGGTCAAGTAGAGGTATCATAGCAGAGTGTTCTTGCTTACCCATAGTACATATTAGCACTAGACTCATATCCTATGTACATGAGTGGGTTTTATCCGATTTTGTAGCCCACATACCACTCTGTAGCACACCTCTGGTACGACTCAATAAGGACCAATGTGAGATTTTCGGCTCATTCTGATTCGGTAGACTTTGATTCTCTATGTTCAAAATGACCAAATAGTTGCTCCGAGTTGCTTACTACTTTAGTTTTATAGGTTCCAACCCGAATGCTTAGATAGATTTCAAGGTAAGATTATCTGCGTAGTATGTTCCATTGGAATATTCTGAGTTAAACTCCCTTTATTGGTCTCTAAGTTTGTAGAGGAAATATATAGAAGTTATTGTGAAATTCCCAAACCAAAGAGGGATCGTTACGATCCTTGCATCCTATATACCTAGATTTATGATAAAGAGGAGGGTCGATGGATGTGGCTATATATTATTCTTTGATAAAGAAACGTCGGAATAAAAAAAAGGCATTCTGTAGTAAGGATATATTTACAGACGAGTAAACACAGGGGCACCCCTGGAGCTGGGTATCACATGCAAACAATTTATCTTCCACTTAGGCAATCCTCCAAAATTAAAGAGTACAGTATACAGTTGAGTACTATAAAGTACCATACAGGACATAGCACTAGTGATTATAAACATGGCACTTAATTGGCTCGGTGCATCAGTGCTAGTAACCTGAATGTTTAGCAGCTATAAAATGAGAACCATTAGGCTACTTACCGAGATCATTAGTATAATTTATACTATATCCATTTCAGATTTTAGGTCATATATAGGGCGAATCTAGCTTTTATCCGGACGTTTGCTTACTTCGCAAATTCGCCCTCTAAGGGGCTAGATCCAGAGTCATCAGTAGCTGATTATACTTGAACTAAATTTCCATGTGAATCATGATACTAGTAAATCTCCAGACTACAGAAGGAAGTAAACATCAATGCGGTCAGCTTCAGCCAAGCCACCTGTTCGTAAACGGACGCAGGCAGATTTCAACCTGCATATGTGGAAACACATTGACCAAGCAGGGGAAGGGATTGACGAGGTGCATATGCCAATAATGTGGCGTCAAACTACTGAAGTTGCATCTGTTTGCGCCATGTTTTCACAGCTGGCTGGTCTTGTAAATGGGCTCTTATACACATGAACGCGTTCGCTAAACAAGCTCAATCAATATCATTATTCTAAAATTTTGTATTCTTTTGGACATGTAACAAGTTAGAGTTCATCAGCCCCGATCACTATCACACTCTTCCTTTTTACGACCGGTCGAACTGAGGTTGAAGGCAGCGTTGACGCTAGCCAGCAAGGAAGTAACCGCTATATGTCGTTAGAATGAGAAGCAAGCCACAGATATATATAGCTTACCAAGCACACACTGCAGATTGAGATACCCAAACCTTTCGACCATAAATCCAGCCAAGATGGGTCCCACGAGTAGACCAGACATCCAACTCATATTTGTGGTTGCGACAGCACGAGAATAACCTCCATAGGGACCGAATATGCCAGGATGCAATGTCTCCAACTCATCAACAGTTTCTGCAAAGAACAAATCAGTATTCCAGCTCCCAACAATGACATCCCAAACTTACTGGTTGCTTCCATAGTTCCAACCCCCATGAGCAAACACGTAAAACACCCAGTCATAGTCGTGCCAACGCAATATATGATCTTTCCCCTACTTCCCAAAGTAGCCCATGGAAAGCGGTCATCACCAGCGACACCAAGAACCCATAGGAAAGGCGCAATAGAGATAAACCCAACAGTAGTGGGAACTCTCGATCCCACACGGTCCTTCAACAAACCAACAAAAGGAGCCAAGATAATCCCCGGTCCCTGTATAGACGCAAACAAAAGCCCGACCGGGAAAACGCCCCAACCAAAAGCGTCCCGGACATGCATCGCAATAGTCGACTCGAAGCTAGCAATAAACAGCGCAAAGACAAAATAGCTGAGAATTCCCGCCGTAAAGCGAGGCTGGCGGAAAAGGCAGACGTAAAGCCGCCAACCACCCATTTCCTCGGTAGTCGATGACCGATCTCCGTCGAGGAGTGGCTCTGTATCAGACGAGTGTCCATGTTCTTCAACACACAGACATCCATTGTAACTCTGGCACGCAGTATCGCGACGTTTCTGCGGTTTTTCAATCATGAGCAGACGCATAATGATATCCACGACCAGAAACAGAGCCGCGCCAGCCCACGCCGTCCAGTATCCTCCAATTCCAAAGAGAAACCCAGCAATAACGGGACCGGAGCATGTTCCGGCTGATACTAGGGTCGAGGTCAAACCTGCTATCTTGCCCATGTGTTCTGACCCGATGTTCTCGGCCATTGTGGCCATGCCGACGATAAATAATGCGTTGCTGACGATGCACTGGAAGAAGCGACCGATGAAGAGCCAGGGCACTGAGGATAGGTTAGTACAATAGGTGATACTGCGATTCACGGTATCTAAAACTTACGGGATGTAGTGATTGATAGACAGAGTACGCTGATCAGCGTCAGTATCAGCAATACCAGTAGTAGAACCTTCTTAGAGCTAGCTCTGTCGGCTAGATTCCCGATGAATGGACTTGAGACGATAGATATAAATGCTCCTTCAACTAGAAATATGGAGGTCAATCGCTGGGTAAGGGATGTGTCTAGCCCTAGGCGATTCTCGAAGATGTGAGGGAGCAGTGGGACCATGAAGGCGAAGAGCATCTCGTCTAGAGAAATCAATTTTTAGTAAGATAAGATCCAAGTTCTTCACTGTAATCCATGCACGAACCAGTGAACAGTGCCATGGACATGGTACTGAGAATAAATGTATCGGACGAGCGCCAGCGAGATCCCCATGTCCGCCACGAAACCTGTTTCTTGGAATCTGATAAAGGAAACATTTCGAAAACCTGATGATCAATTAGACAGCTGCTATATATTGGTATTAATATCAATATAAGCAAAAGAGAAAAGGTAGGGATTGGGCGAAAACTTTCAGACGAAATATATGTAACCAAAGTAGATGGCCAGGGAGGGAGATTGCCTATATTTGCCCAGAGTCAAGCAAACAAACAATGAGACATCAGTACTCCGTACTCCATAGCCTGGCTGCAGATCTAATTATGATTGCTTTTCCGTCTTCCGACCAATGTGAACCTCGTCTTCAGCGTGCATTGATGTCCAGTGGCTCCAGCGAATACCGACTGAATGCCAATCATGATCTGGGCCATTCTTAAATTACAGATATTACTTAGTAGTATTATGTATGAAGACCATATGGTTGTTTAGTAACACATCAAACATACTTTTTGCGCCTTGATATTTATGTAGGACAAGGCCTCGGAAGATCTTCAGATCGTCAGAGCTTATTTAGACAAGAACCAACGATATTACGTTGCTACGATGCTACATGTGAGATCCGGTAACGTAAATCATGTATTCATTTCCCATGAATTGGCCACAAAGGGATAGACCAGAGTCTGGAACGAAGAGATCATTTGCGAAGTGGAAATCCAGACTGGGAAACGAGCAAGAATAAAAGCCCAGTTAAGGGTGAAAGCGCTGGGGGAATATACACAGAAGAGAACATAATAGAATAACAGGAGAGACTGGTGAAAGGGCAATCCGAAATCAACCAGGACCGTCATGGGGGAAGAACTAGACCCAAAGATACAAAATCACAGAAAAAGACTAAGAAAGCAGCCTATCTCTATTGTCCGTTGTTGCGGAACCGCTCAGGCATGTTGGGCATAGACGGCGGGGGACCAGGCTCCGACCCATCGTTGTCTTCCATTTCCTCATCCAAATCCTCAGGATGACTAGACATATAAAGTTAGCTGACAAAATCACAGAGTATTAGGGCTGGACCAGGATCAACATACGCAAGTAACTCCTTGATATTCCTCATCTCATAGTGCCTCTTGCGCTGCTGCTCGAAATGAGCGTGCTTCGCGCGGGCCTCTTCAGTTGTCAAGAGCGGATCATCAGCAGGCACATGGGTACCATTCGTTTCCTCCACGCCGACATGAACATGCTTCTCGCTCTTGTGCGAGTCCGTGCTCATGCTACGGTCACGGAAAACACGAGCCTCGTCCAAATGAACGTCCGGCATGGTTTCCTCGGGCTCACCGAGCTCCAGATCAGGGATTTCATCCTCTGACACACCCTTCAGGTGTTGGGTGGGTTTGGCCGAGTCCAGTTCATCGACGACAATGCCCTGCACATCGATTAGGCTTTGCTGTGCATCGTCGAGCCGCATCAGCTCATCATCTTCGCTGGGGTCGTAGTGGGGGGCGTAAGGAGTCTTGGGTTCGTCGATCTTCATCTTCGCCGTCTTCTCCTGCTCAGTCAGGTACAAGTTTGCTTCATCCCACTTTAGACGGGGCTCGTTTTCATCATAGGCGCTGGCTGACGACTGTCGGCGCGAGGTAGTGCCTGGGCGGGTAGTGGACGAGGATCGGCGACGGCCTGCATTCTGCAGGGTATTTAGGATGGTGAGTTCCTTGGTCTCCTCCGGTTCGGAGATGGTTGGAACGGAGAGTGGGGAGGTGGCTGCCATTGGAGCGGAAGCGCCTTGGAAGGAGTTTGAGTTCTTGAGGATGCCTGTTTAGTTGGCGCAAAAGTGCACTGGTCAGATCTCATCGTTGCCTTTAGTCGCCGTTTGACGCTGACGTAGTTTGGACTCACCTCTTGGCCGATGGTGCACATCGTCGGAGCTGTGCGCCTTGGCCGGCATGTGTGGTGCGGTAGTCATGGTGGGATGATTGATAGGGGAAGACCGGGTGTCGCCCGATTTGCAAGTGGACGATGTAACAAGAAGTCTGATTTCCAAGGGTGGGAATCAGGAAAACGAAAAGGATGTGTGGCCTGTTTTATTTTTATTATATCACAAGCCTTGAAGTTTGCTCAGCTGCAATCCGTGCGAGAAAAAAAAAGAGGCTGAGCACCGCCTGATATGGTTGGGCGGGTGGAAGCGGATAAATCAAACGAAGATCAGCCTGACTCAGATATCAGCTCACGGTAGTCACGGGTTGAAATAAAGAAAGAAGAATATAAGGTCAAGTGGACGGTGGGGGTGCAAATGCCTCGATGACGTCGGCCCGATCATCTACCCGACGACTCCAGCTTAGGTAAACGTTTATCAGATTCGACCTGACGATATCTGGGATGTTGGACGTCATACATATTTCCTTGTAATGACTTGATGCTATATGTTAGCCGAAACTCGAACCGTGCATGACGCTTTCGCCCGGATCTTCAAAAGAGACAACATAGTTATAAAACTCTAGTATGGAGGGATACAAACATTACTGTAGATGGATAGACAAGGAAATATAAGATTAGACTAGATCAAGACAAATAAATGCCCAGTCTTTCAATGTATTCAAGAACGCCAGTCATGTTCCAGAGTCAAGCCCAGACAGAACCCCGAGGCAAGAGTCTCAGAGTCCACGAATGCTTAAAACACCCAACTAGATCGCCCGAACGGGGGTATATGGATATATATGCAACATAATAATCACGATGTAGAAAATAAGCAAAAGAAGGTCAAAGTGTGAGAAGAAAGAAGAAAAAAATCGAGCCAGCGAGGAAAAAGAATGAGAAAAGAAAAAGGAGGCCCAGAAAGACCGGACAAGCAGACAGGCCAAGAAGTCTCTCATGCAATGGAGTCAAACTCCTCACGCTCACGAAGTCGATTCCGAGCAAGAGTATCGCCACCACTAGCCGACAGCTGCATCCAGTGCAGTGCCAGGCACATACTCTGCGGGTCCGATTTAGAGTCTTTGTCTCGTCGGTACATCATCTCCGCCTTGAAGGTATCTCGCGGGAGGGTCAGAGGAAGTGTCACGCGTGGGAGAAGTTCTGGGTGTGTCAGATAAAGGATTGCAAGTTCGCGTTGTGCGACTGGGTTGCCCTCTTTAGCAGTGATAATCCACATCCCCGCTGCATCTTGGATAGCATGGCCGGGGCGGGATTGGAAGTCCGAGGCGAAGGGTGGATGACGACGGGAGAGCTCCTGGAAGACGATTCGGTCGGCGATCTCGACCATGCTATGGCAGATCTCTTCTTTGAGACTTAGTGCGGCCAGACCAAATTGGAGGAATGCTGTCCCGCGGTCCGTCTTGTTCAGCTGATCCCCTGGGACGAACGCTGAGATGAACTGCAAGTCCCTGAAAAGAGTCTTCGGCTTCACTTCTAGAATTAGGTCGCGCAAGGCGGCTACGATTTGTGCTTCCGATGGAGTGGAGTAGTCAGACCGACGGGAGCCGCATGTGACTGATTCGGGAGGAGAAGAAGGTAGCACTGGGCCCACCTGTGGTAGGTTGGTGGCCCGCACCTCCGAGAAACTGTGGCGAGTGGCCCGATGGAGTTGAGAATTGTTTCGCATCCTGCCTCCTTCTTCCGGTGAAGAGCTGAGAGTAGCAGGGGAATTGGCATCTTGTGGCGAGAGGAGCGATGCAATCACCAACGAACGCAAGTCTCGCAACGCATTGAGCTTTACAAATGGATTTCCATGACGCGAGAATACTTCAATCAGCCGATGGAAGACTGCCTTGTATGAGAAGGCCTCCTGCCCGTCCGATTCTAAAGATGCTTGTGGTAGCCGCGACGAGGTCTCCGCACGAGGAGCTTCTTGTTGAGATACACGTAGGTTGCCCAGAGACCTGCTCCGGCGACCTTTCAATGAACCACGTTGCTGACCAAGATGCTTGGAGCGCTCTTCGTAATCGGCGTAGAATTTCTGGACAGCAGCTCGTCGGCGCATTTCCACCTGAATGCGTTTCTGGTCCAGGGCATTGGTAAACCAAGCGTCGGTTTCACTACCACAACTCCATACCGGAGAGCCCAAATCACTTAGAAGCAGACTAGTCAGTGTTTGTCTCAGGTCATCCATGAACGCCGTCTTCCCCTGTGTTTTGCGTTCGACACGACGGGGCTGGCGAGTTGCGGTCTCGCTGAACATAGACGGTGGTCGCGAGTACACGCTCGACGCGCTTGTGGCATACATAGGGTGCCGTTGGGGCGCAGACCAGAATGTACTGTAGGTGTCACCCGTAGATGTCGAAGCAGCGCGGCCAGGTGAACCCCCGAGAGAAGACATGTCAATTGAAGGCAAGTCACGCTGAGGCCTCCATCTATCGGAGATTATGCTTTGGATGGAGGGCTTGCGACCCAATGACGGGGCATCTTGAGAAAGACGAGACATGGAATCGGGCATAGGCATATTGGCACCATAGAAGTTGGAAGCAGAATTTGTGTCCTCGCTTGTGGTTGTTGAGGGCCGAGGAGTGCTAGGCATGGACATTCCCGGGAATGTGCGAGAGCCATAACCCTCAAATCTTGAGCGTTCTCTCTGGAAAAGCTCACTTGCCCATAACACCGGTGTCTCGGTCATTGTTTCACCCACCAGTTTATTGATGCTCATTCGGACCTCGTAACAGAATCGATGAATTCTTTCTTCGCCCTTGCAGAAATTATCAATTCCGTTGTGCGACAACCATTTCCGAGTAAGCTCGACTTGCTCGTCAGACAGCTTATTTGGTCCACCCTGGCTACTGGGCGCCTTCATCATGTTCATAACTTGCACTTCGGGTTTCTGGAATAGGGAACCACCCAAAGACTTTGCTCCGTAACGAGAACGCTGTTCTTCGGGGAACTGGTTGAAGAGTCGGGCTGAGTAGATCATCGTTTTCAAAGCCATAGCCACGTGTTTAGCTTCCTCATATCTAATGGAGTTCTTGACGTCGTTCATGTACCACATCTTGTCTCGGATCTTGCAAAATGTGGCCGTCATGTCTTTCACTTGGGTTTGGAGTCGGCGGAGACTGTGGTCGAGAGACACAAAGTCGCTCTCGCAACGCTCAATCACAGCTCGTGATTGGATCAGTGAACGACTGTAATTCTCATGCATCGGGCCCAAGATCCATGAATCGTCTGTGGTCCTCGATGAATTAGGCGTTCCTCGTTGCCCGAGCTGCTGCGCAGCATTCCACCAGTAATGCGCACCAACAAAATCGGAGTCATGGTGGCAGTAGAACATCGCTTCGTTGAACCGCTGCTTCAAGGACATAGCAGCTGGCTGCGAAGTATTATGTGAAATGAAGCCATAGTCGTCTGCGTCTTGAATGCGATGCTCCTTCACAAGTCGAACGATCGCTGTCTGTAATGCTTCGTGATTTTCCTCCAGTCCTAGTGTCGTGGAGTGCGCATCATCTTCACTTTCAATTATCGGGCCTTTGGACGTTTCATATCTGCTATCAGGGAGAAGGCTCCAAGTTAAGCCATGGCCGTCTGCTGCAACCGAGAAGATGGTCCAATGCTCGCCTGAGGGGTGCTCTAAGCTCAAACGCTCATTAGGATGGTCTAAATCAGTTAGCTCGAATCGAATGCGAGCAGCCTTTTCAGACAGGCTATTTTCTGATGTTAAGATAGAATGAGTTTCCACTGAGAAAATGGAACCGTGATGGGATGTAGGTTTTGAACTTGTGTCATGGTTGAAACGAGCAAATCCAGAATCCATATGTGGCTCTGGCCGAAGGTTGACAGATGGTGGTGGACTGGATGGCCAAGATTGAACTCCTGCAGATGCTGGCGATGAATGCAAAGAAGATGGGGTCTGTTGGAAGAGAGCGTCTAGGAGTGTGAGAACATCCAAAGCAGACATCATCAGGAAAATTGAAGAAGACTTTCGTCGATGATGAAGTGGTGCCTGTGAAGAAGGAATTGAAGGGTCAACGGATACCTCCGCCGGGATCGTGTTATGAAGCCGAGAGAGCATGTTTTCGACATGGCCCTTGATTATCGGACGGGGGATTGAGAAATGATGCCTTGGAGAGATTAGCAACAATCTCGAAATATGCAGAAAGTTCAAGCTAGGACGTACATTGAACGCAAAACAGCAAAGACTTGAGCGTAGGCGCGGTGCCCAACCTGGTTCAACAATTTCTCGCGGGCATCCTTTCTGATATGGAAGTCTAAGAGAAGTCCGTGGGTCTATCACATCAATAGCAGATTGGAGTCAGCTTCGCAAGTTCACCAAAGGCTAGAGGCTCATGTACCTCAGGATACGTCAATGCGCCATAGAGGAACTTTGAAAAGAACCACTGGAGGAACAAAAACTCCAAAAAGCGACTGCGGGTCTCGGGATTATCCAACTTCCGCAAAACGGCCTTTGCGAACTGTAGCACATCTTGAGGAAAGCCGCCATCCGGGTCATCAAGTACGCAGAACAAGTCATCCACGGCAGAAGCAAAGAATTCCTCTGCAACATCCGTTCGCATGGGGTCCAGGGAATCCATGGCAAAATCCAGCCCGGGTGGTGTGGCTATAGGCTCTAGGAGAAAAGCACCAGTTTGTAAAATGTCCATTAGGTAGAGTTCAAATTTGGGACGAGCTTTCCAAGTGCTGCCAGTGGTCCAGGAAGAAAGGATCTGGCCAATAAGAGGATAGTATCTACTACTTCCGTTGGAGATTAGTTGAGCGCAGACGGACGACCACACCTCCATACGCAAGCGGGACTCAGGCGTCTCGGGATCCAAAGGAGCGGCAAAAACGTTAAAAAGAAGTATAGATAGTGGGTCAGTCCTCTCAAAGGCATATGCGTGGTCCTTGAAGGCAGCGGACTGAGCCTGGCTCTTGTTTAAGAAAGACTGGGCCCGGGCCCGGGAGGTAGAAGGGAATGCGGGATCATTGGTATCCAAAACAGTGGCAGGAGAAGTAAAAGCAGCCAATTGCGACGAAGTCAGGCTTTGTAACCGGTCAACCAAAAATTGGGGATCGGAGCGGACCAGCCGCAAAATCTCCAAAAAGTCCGTCCGGGACTGAGGGCTCAGCTGATGAAGGAAATCCGGGAAACGGCCAATGTCAGTTTCCAAGGATGGCTCCGAGTCCATGGAGTCTGTCTGGCCATCGTAGGGAGATGAAGAACATGATTCCTGAAGGTCTTGCAGTGTATGATAGAGAGAAACGAAACTGGCCTTGTCATCATGGCGGAGAGCTTCAACGAGACCTCGCTGTGCAGTCAGCCCGACACGAACCATACGCGCAGAGACGCCAATGGACACCTTGGTGGCGCGCAGGCGTTTCTCCAGTCGCTTCCTTTGAGCCTGTTTGCGCTGGGTTTGGTGATAACGGGTGGCCAAATCCTCGAATGAAATTTGGGGGACATCTTCCACTAGCATAGGTATAGAAGCCATCGCGGGCCCGGGGTTGTGTCCATTGGAAGGAGTGGCTGGTACCATGGGACTGGCGCGGCCCGAGCCCAACTCACCTGGGCCGTTCAACGGAGATTCAAGTGCGGACATGGGCGACCCCGGAGGTGAAGGAGGTAAAGGCACCGATGCGGGATCTTGCGCCCGATGCGACAAGTCACATGGTGTATTAACTTTGGGGAAAGCAGGTATTTGCTCGGCTGGAGCTGGTCAGATCATAATCGGGGAGTATAGAGAAACACCCTCTTTCCCCTCCATATAGAGGAAAAGCGCAAAAGAGATATAAATGACGTACTTGAAGGCAAAGAATATTCTATCATCTTGCCATTAGCGACAGACAAGTCGCAAACCCCCCAAACTGACGAATGCCTATCGCATTCTGGAATGAAAAAAAAAGATTCTCAGAGTGTGTTTCTAGGGAAAAGGCGGGGGAGAAGGGGAAAGGGGAAAAAAATAAGGGGAGATGGTTATAAAAGAAACGTATAAAAACACCAAAGGGAACTCGAAACGGACAGTTGCAGAATAAAAGTGCTAAAAGTATAGAAAAAGACTTCTAAGTGGCTTATTCTTAAGAGAACAGGTACAACGAAATGATGCGTTGGCAGTGCAGGAATGAGGTGTCCATGCGCCCCTCATGCGCCCGGATTTATATGTGTATTCTTTACGTTTTAATACGGAGTACATCGACGTACATCGAGTAGATCTTATTAAAATCTCGGACCTAAGATCTAAGATGTGGCAACCTTGAGATTATTACTATACACACGGCATTTATTTCATGCAGCTAACCCGGGATACCCCGATTTCTAGAACAAAAAAGTAAAGTTGGATCACGATTAGTGAATCGTTCATGACATTACAAATAGGTACAACCCAAAACTCCGTTCATAGGTATTCGTGTAAGGAAATCCATAGTATCACCGACAAACCCATTTCTTATCAACTTCTTTTTGCCCGACACGAGCAGCAACCTGATCAAGGGTAGCTTTGAGTGTATCTTTGGACACTTTAGGGAATCTAGATATATCTGGATTAGTATATGCTCTAATATAAGACATCATGGAAACAAACCGTTTCTTCAAGATCTCGACCAACCCGATCTTACTGAGATCACTGCCTTCAACTGCTTCCTTGAAATCAGCGAGTTGATCTGGCGGAAACGGCCGTTTCGCTTTCGATGTAGGAGGTAAAGCACTGCCTGCCAGTGCTCCAGGGACTGCAGGAACAAGGAAACCGTCTATAGCCGTCGCGGGTCGCGCTTTCGCAGGTACTGGATCCACGGGCTTGGGTTTCTCCCAGTATGCAGTCGAGAAGGGGTCGATGGGGAGCTGGACCGCATCGGATATAGTTTCCATCCGATAAACCTCCATGTCAGGCTCGACTCCTTTGGAAGCCCACTTAATTCCAGTAGAGACAGGCTCTAAATCACCCACAATGAGACGCCGTTTGCCCTCAGCGAGGGCATCATCCTCATCATCCAGGAAACCCTCGAGATCATCTTCGCCCTCATCACTGCCTTCATCTTCTTCTTCAGAGTCCAGCTCTTCACCTTCTTCGGGTTCCTCCCACTCCGCCTCGGAATCATAATCATAATCAGTATCCGGCAACCCTCGGTGATACGGATTTCGCGCAAGTCTTCGCGTAGATAGCTCGGACACGCGACGGGTATAAGTTCCCTGATAGGGAGGGCGAATGTCCTCGCCAAACTTGAGAGACTTCATTGTGACCTTGCGTAGAAGTTCTTGTGGCCTCGGAGATGGCATTATGCTCTGGTTTTGAACCGGCTGAGTTGGATCGTCAGATCTTTGTAGCTGCAATAGTATGTCCCTAACAGAGGTCGTTGGCTGACGCCCCCGATGGAAGGGGATTATCTGGAAGACTTCTGATGGACGGAATGGATGTATTTGAGTGGGGGTTTCGTTGCATAGACATGTATCGATCGTTTCGCGTACGTGCTCGAGGGCTTCGGGGTCACGCTCAAACCGATGGGGAGGTGCCACAACGGTATGAGATTGTAAAAAGAAAGCAGGAAACTCTCGCTCATAGTCTGATTGCACGCCACGAGATTCGCGAGCGGGATCGGCTGTAGTAGATGGCTTCTTAGGCGAAGGAGCGGTGATCACCTGTCCAGACGAAGCGGCAGGGACCGGTGGTTTGGCAAAGAAAGAGTTCAATTTCAGTTGTGACTGAACCGGTCAGTCCGTGGGCATCTTTCTGTTAGGACACTTATGCATGCCACTTACTCTGGTCTTCTTCTCCTTCTCCTCGTCCTTTTTGCGCTTCTCTTCTTCTTTGGCGGCCTTTTCATCTTCCTTTGCTTTCTTCTTTTCGTCGCGTTGCTTGCGTTCCTCTTCACGCTGAGCATCCTTCTTCCGCTTTTCTTCTTCTCTGTGTCGTTTCTCCTCGTCGCGCTCAGCGTCGCGCTTCTTTTTCTCTTCTGCCTTGAGGCGCCTCTCTTCTTCTCGCTTGGCTTTCTCCTCCTCTTTCTTTATCTTATCTTCCTCTCTTTTCGCCTTCTCCTCGGCCTTCTGGCGCTCTTTGGCTTCTTTCTCTTGTTGTTTGGAATCTGTGCCAGCAGAGACTACCTTGCGTTTCTTAGAGGCCGGGGTATCAGGCTCAGGGTTAGAGGCAGCATTGGTGCCTGCGGATGTTAGTCCCCCGGCATCACCATCTTCACTTTGTTTACGTGTCTTTCTCATGACGATTTCGACCGAGGGGGGAGGTGGAAGAGTGCGCTTGGTTTGAACTGGCGGGGAAGTAATGTCGTCAGTCTGGGAGGGGAGAGATGGGTCGCAATTCTCTTGGTTTTCGCCGGCGAGCTCAGTCAATGGTAGCTTTGCATTTGGCGAGGGTATGTGCGCATCATCAACCTCTTGAATCGAGCGTTTTCGGGGACCGGATGAAGGTGACGCGGGAAAGGATGAGGCCGACTGCATCGGCGATAAGGATGCGTTGGCTACCATTGACCATTGGCTCCAGGGTAGGTGGAAAGAGCTAGGTAAGAACCTGAAGTCTCAGGAGAGGGAAGGGGCGATGGGGACAGGCTGTCGTGTGATAGGTCGCGACTTCAGTTCATAGGCGGTTTAGGTCGTGTTAACTAAGGCAAAGTGCGACTTGGAGAGACAAATAACGGATGTCACTTAAGATAGACGATTGGTCTGGAATCTCAGAGTATTGACGTCGCTGCTTAACGTACGGAGTAGAGCATTGACAATTGGGCCAACACTGGGACGCGTTAATCGTTTCGCGCTCGCGACCGATAAGCACGTGTGTGCTTATGTAACCACTATACGTGCCCGACATCCTCCTTGTGTGGGGTCTTTAGTATGTTGCGCAATTGATGGCATGACTTGAAACTTCCAGATCAATATGGAATGAGCATGATGTTTTGTGGTGCGATATATTCAAGCTACTCAAGTCATTTGGTTACTGTACTAAAACTCAATCACCTTGCACTACGCAACGACACAAACAAAAAGCCATATACCCCTCTATAGAAGTTATCCTAAATGCAAGAGGAATTGAGATAATCATTGGGTGAAATTACTATCTCTAGATTAAGATAATCTAAGTCAGATAACCAACGCCAGGGCGGCCCCGTATGCAGCCGTAGAAGGACGAAGATAACCCAGAGAGCCAGCCTATGGAGACCAGCGGTGCCATCGAGGATATACAGCCAGAAAGAAGGAAGCCTGGAGGAAAAGAGAGATGCGGCGCTTTAAATAAAAAGGGGTAAATCAGACAGCAAACGTGCAAAGATATAGACAAAGTAGGATGACGCATTGGTCTAAACCATCAAGATTTGCCGAATGGAGCCAGGCGTGGAGTTGCAACGTGATAGGTATTATGTGCAATTGATGAGGCGGTAAGAGAAATCACGTGGAAATCATAAAAGATGGAAGAAGGCGGGATATAAGGAGGAGGAGGAAGAGGAGGAAGAGGAGGCAGAGGTGAAAGAATGATATAAGGGTTGGCAGGCGCTGCATGACAAGGACCTCAGTCGCTGTCCGAGTCGGGATTTGCGACGAAAAGTCGCACATTGGTCATGGAAGTAGTTCGCTCGTCTACACTGCCTCGTCGTCGCAACTCGGCTGCCTTCTGGGCTTTTTCGGCTGCCGAAGTGGCGGCGCTCGGAGCCTTCATGTCACCAACAATGTCTTCTTGCTCGTGCTCGCTGCTGTGTCTTGTCGCGAAATCATCTTTTTGGAGAGAGGACAATCGGCTCTTTTCTTCTTCGTGAATCTCCGCGGTTGTATTTTCGGACACTTCTGGAAGGTCAGTCTTCTCGTTTGGGGGCGTGCTGTTGCTGCCCATCGTTCCCTGTGTCCGCGAGTATCCACTTGGATAACGGTGGGTACTCCCCAGAGAGCTGCGGCCGCTGCCGGTCCGTCTGTGAATTGCGCCACCATCACTGCTGCGAGCGTCATCATCCCCATCGCCGACCTCGTTCGCACTCAATCGCACGGGAACCTTGGCGCCCACTAGGTTTGAAGGCGAGAACTCAGCAGCTCCCTTAGGACCATGTCGGATCTTGCCACTGCCCAAGGTTCCTGCTCGGCCGGCGCCTGCGCCATGAACTTCAAGGTACGCTCTCTTCTTGTCCCGCAAGGCTTGTTCGCGCATTCTAGCGTCTTCGGGCTGAGCCCGGTCACACCACACGGTAGCCTTTTGCCGCCGCATGAGGGCTACATATCCAAGCTGAGAGTTGGCAGAGCGAGACGAGGCGGTTCGCCGGATGTCAGAAACGCTTTGCCCCGCGTGTGGCATTGGGTGGTTGCCGGTAGACGAGGTCGAGGTAGTGGTACTAGACATGCGTCGAGAGGGTGGATGATGAGGAAGAGTCATGGTTTGGGGAATAGGAGGCGGAGGTGTGCCGTGGTAGTGCTGAGAGCCGCCTGAGTAGGGCAACACGTTGGAGGATGTGGTTCGAGTCCGACTATGTGTGGTCTGGGGGCTCGCTAGATGGGGCGCAAGTTGGGGCCGTGGAGAATCGTAGGGCTGATATCCACCATACCCGTGCTGGGCACCAGCGAGAGGCTTCCGGGCAGGAGGCCCTTGGTGGAGGGGCATTCGAAAATCAGTCATGTTGGGCGGAATAGTACACCAGCCTCAAAATCCCAACGTGCGGGGCCCTCTGTTCTAGGAGTTCGGTTTGCTCGTGAGTGCGCGGGGGATTATTTCAGGAGGCGAAATCCTGATTCGTGATGCTGACTTAAGAAGGCGGCGTTCTCGATGCGCGCGCGGCTGACGGATAGAGAGATAATGCGGCCTCAGCGCCCACTGCAGTATGCAGCCGCCACAATCCGCTTTAGGGGGTCTTAAGCGGGAGGATGAGAGTCGAGCCCTTAAATATGTAGTGACACCACGGTGTTGACGTGCAATCGGCTGATGCTCGGGCTGATATTCGGGCAGATCCTTGGGGTAGTGTTGAGGCGAGAATGACGGGGTTGGAGCGCACACACGAACTGTAACTCAATCGGTAGGCGATCTCTCTGACTGTAATAATAGGGAGATATTACAAAGAAGGAAACGACAGCCCTGAAGTCCAATAAATGTCGAGATGGGGGGAAGTTGGGATGGGCAAGTCTTAAAGGGGAGATCGGGGGAAACCTTGAGGACTCTGACCGGCGGTTCCTTGGTTCAGTAAATTGATTGGACGATACGGAACACGACGGAGGATGTACTTTCCCACACAATTTGGCGGGTGGAGTACTTAGCTCAGCCACACCTGAGGCTGGAAACTTACGGTTACATTTCATTCTGAGTTCACAATGTTTCAAATTGTTGTCTCTCTCCAGCTCTCTCAAATTTCTTTCGGCTTATGGACCAATGCTACATTGGTATGACCCTACAAATTTGTCTCCCAACCACGTGAATGCTTGAAGGTGACATGGCCGTATTTAGCGAACCCTTGGTTATTCTAAGGATAAACGGCTGAGAATGTTTGGTATGATGGTACGAGTCGTGGATCTCCAGACTCTCCCAACCGCCATATACCACATAAAGGGGCTGCAGCTTCAACCGGCTCCACCCTCCAGCCGCCTGTAACCCCAATGCACCCAGACGCTACCGACAAGGTTAGTTCATAGTGCCCACGTCTTTACCTATGCGCCGGGGTCTGCGGTTAGATCGCCGTCCCCATAATAGGCGCCCCTTTTCCTAGGGTTTTTGGGTTAGGCTCGAATTCGAAAACATGAGCGACTTCAAGTTAGTGGTAATTTGTTATTACTCGTGCGAGAAGTGCATAATGCTGGTGCGGATTGGCTCGAACTAGACGGCCGGCCCAATGCGTATATCTCGTTGGATTCACATACGGATACGAAATGCACCTCGCTCGACTCCTCCACCTGTCATCCTCAGTAGAGACGACGGAATCCCGGCCCGCGTTCCAGAACGTCTAGTATCTGCTCCCAGAGCTGGCCCTCTTTGGTTGAGGGAATATCTATGTCAAGTCCGCTTTGATAGGCAGAACGATCATCTGAGTGGAGACTGCCGCGTGGGCTATATTGCTCAGCTACTTGTATAGACACTTAATTGCGCATAAGCAATGAAGATCAGGACAATGTCTCTTATTAATACATGATATGCTAGCTTCTATATGCTTATTCCCAAGCCCCCAGGTTCAAATATCATGTAATAGGGGCCGGGACCGTTGACAGCGGGCTGATCATTGGCTTTCATTGACCTGTGCACAATGCGGGGTTTAGCTCCTTGCAAGAGGCAACGCTGGAAAGGAACTGCTATCTTGTACAACATATAGGGCATTCGCCCCCAACTAGCCGGGAGTAACATCCCCATTCAGTGTACGTGAGTACTCCGTATTCGTCAGCCACTGGTTCTGATTTAAAGAGGTATTGATGCATAATTGGACCAAGCCTTGGAAGGGCATAAGACGATACTCCCCTTCGGTTAAATACGGCGAAACCCCTTGAAAGCACTTAATACACATTCTAGTAAAACAACTATAGTTCAATACGATAAAATTTCAGAATGGAGATATAGCTGCGCCACATAAGTGGGCTGTATTAGCTCATTGGTGGACCTCACAACCTCGGAAGCTGCAAATAGGAAAATTAAAGTCGTGACGTCAAGATGTTTCAGCGTATCCGAGTTCATACAAAATCACAATGGAAAAGTGCCTGTGCCTGATGATACATTGCCATTGAGAAGGCACAATCCCAAGAAACCATTGTGGGGGAAAAAAACAAGTTGCGAGAAACGCTAGTATGAACTACTTGATAGGAAGAAAATATACGCGCATCTGCATGTCACAACTTATAGCCTGAGACTAGTGGACATTAGCGGATATGTCCAATTCATATCTTTGCTTTCCAAGGTTTCTATTTGCAGTTACAATCTCACATGGTAAAGCCGTATCATCCCTATATGCGTCCGAGCGTAAGGTCCCCACCAAAACTAGTCCGCTTCGGTCTGTATAGAGTCCACCTCGCTAAGCCGTAGCGCGTTCACCTCGATTATACTTGATTCGTTAGAGAGCAAAGCCATGGATATATGAGTGAACAGATAATTGATTTGGCATATATCATTACCATAACTCAATTCTATCGTAAAGATAATGTATGTGGAGAGATAAACCAGATCCAGAGCGATGTGCTAAAAACAAGGGTGTAAGGTTATAGAGAAGGATCAGACTAATCGCCATCAAGGTTGAACATTTCTTCATTGTCTTACTGTGTGGGCTGGGTTTCTTCCGTTGGGGAGGTGTGCCCATCATCCGTGGCCTTGCCCCAAGCGTCCTCGAAGGCCGAGTCTGCTAAAGGCTCAGGCTCAGTAAAAGCTGGTTCCTCGAGCACAATGGTGTGTGGTTGTGGCTCAATGGCCTCCTCCTCTTCCTTCCTTAAATCAGCTTCTACCTCCTTCTCAACTATCACCTGGGAGAAAGACGATGAAGCAGTCTGAGTGTCGACCAGATCCGTCTCCCTGGTCGGTACTGCGTTGTTCTTGGCACCAAGAAGCTCGAGGTCAAAGTTCGAACTATAAACCACGGCAGAGAAGGCTTCGAGCTCACGCACATTCTGGTCCATGGCGACCAGATACTCATTTGGTGGGTGGGCACCATTGCCAATCACGTGTGCCTGGCGAGTCATGACAGCCAGGAGGTTGGCAAGCTTTGTCTTGCGCTCGGAGTTGGCAGCTAGGGGGACAACAGTGGCAATTGAATCGAAGGACTGGAGGGCAGTCTCCGGTGCGGAGGTCGGCGCCTTGAAGGCATCAGCGGCACATCTTTGATCGATAAGGGTTGAGAATCCCTCGTTGTTAAGAAGTGTGAGGACGAGGGAGAAAGAGGGAGAGTCGATCAAATCTGCGGTCTCATCCAGGAGGTGTCGCAGCTTTGACGCTGTCTGGGAGGAGGTTGGGTCGGCTACGCCTTCCACGCCTGACTCGCGTAAGACATGTTCCTCTTCCTCTGCCGGAGGAAGCAAGCAAGCAAGCCACTTTTGAGATCGTCGCTCGTCCTCGGTGCTACCTTCCACCTTCTTTCGGATTTGCAAGGTCAACTCAGAGAGCTTGGCCAAACTGATATCTTCACGTGGGTTCAAAGGTCCGAATACTTCCTCTACGGCAGTTTGCACTCTCCCCATCAGGTCTTTCCACCCACGGTGAAGCAGCCACCAACTGAAGGCAAGGTAACGTCGATTGGTCTCGAAATCATCGCCCAATGTTTGAGTGAGCTCATCATCGTGGTCTTCAAGACTGATTGTCGAGGCGTTGGCAGGTGGCGTAGCAAGGGAGATTACGCTGGATAGGTAGTTCCGACGGCCAAGCAGGTTGAGTTGGACGTGAGTGAAGATGGTGAGCAAGGAGAGAGTGTAGACCATAGTAAAAGACCGAGTGACAGCTAGAAAACGTTAGGTTCTGACATATATTTATGATGGAACCTTCCAAAATAACAACTTACAGGTAATCTTCACCTCATTCCACAGCTGTGTCTTGTTTCGCTTGGGCCGAGGTTGTCCGTCCGAGTTCAGAGAAGAGTCCCCAATTTGGCTTGCGTGCACATATCCCTCACTCTGGAAACTGGAGAGGCTCCTCCGATCATCGTCCGGCAGACTCGGAGATACCGAGCTCAGATCCGACCCAGTTGCCTCACCTGCATTCAGTCGAGCCAATCTCTCCGCTCGCTTCTGTTGCAGCTCCTTGGTCAACTCCTCAACTGGAAGAGCATCGATAATATTCTCTGCAGCGGTCGGCAATAAGGCTAGGACAGTATATGTGCAATCGGTCTGGTTTTGTTCGAATCGTCGGCGTAGACTATTGCCACAGGTCAGTGATTCCGGTTCGGGGTATTCTGGTCGGGGTTGCACGCGTTACAAGCTCGCGTGATTGCCAGCGGAGGAATAGGAGTCATCAAAATACAAGGAAAACTAACTTTTCGCGAGCAATCCGATCGCTGCTCATGCGCTCCCGTGCCTCGGAGATCTTGGATAGCACGTATTGTCCGGCCAAGTAGCCAGCTCCAATCACCCCAGCCCCGATTGCAAGACCTTTGCGATTGCGCTGGAACCAGCGCCTCGTCGCACCGATCATAATTGTGTTTGGTGCTTCTCTGGGAAGAAGTCAAGATGACATGTAATTTCAAATCATGATAGATCCAGAAGATGGATGGTTCAGTAGATAGATGGGGAAGACAGACTTCGGGCGCCGATCGCCAGTTTCAGGCCTCGGCTAGAACTCACCCTCATGCAGTGAACCGAACCTATAAAGCACCACAGAGGCTTTAAGTACCCCAAAGGCTTTAATTACCCCAAAGGCCTATATATGTACCTGTATGTTCTGGATTTTAGGCCACAGTCGCGAATTTCCCGGTCGCGAATTTCCGCATCGGGGTGCCGCCGCTTTTATGGGGGCGCTCAGGCTCCTGCTCACTGAGTATTTCACAGCACGGATTCAGAAAGCGGCCCGATATAGTACTCCAAGGCGGAGAAAGGATAAGAGCGAATTTGTCCTCGGTTAATCAGGTGACTTGATCTAGTCATATCTCCAAGCGTGGCCTATTACGGGGTGCGACGAATCGTCTGATGCTTCGCTTCCTACGACAGACCACGATTTCCTCAAGGGAAACTTACCTCAAGAGGCGCAGACGTCAACATCCAAAACCCAGACGACCAATCGTAGTATTTCCCACGATAGACGTGATCCGACTATCGTTATATTCGTAGGAATATCTAGATGTGCCAAAGTCGTGGTCTTTCCCACGGTAGATGTGATACGACGATCCTGCGCATCCTACGACAGACTATAACCTAGATATGACCACGAATAGATCGATCGTCAGATCACGTCTATCCTGGGAAATACCACGGGTTTTGGGAGGTTGACATCTGCGTCATTCCTTTGGTTATCTTGATAATGGAATTCGCTTGTATGGGGCCCCGGGGGACCCCACGTGATGAAATACGATGATACTGGCTGGTAGTTAACTAGTTAACTAACCATTCTGTCGGAGTTGTATGACGTAATCAGCCAATGTGCTGCCCATCCCCGATTTCTTTGCTCCGCCGTCTCGACCTGTGATTTTTAACAGCAGACAGAATGATATCTCAGGATGAAGGATGAAACCTTTTCAAATGGCCCGGAGTCCCTGGAAGTCCGTTTGGTGGCAAATGACGGCTTCAAAAAGAGAGGCTTCCAACAGCTTTTCTTCGTGGTTTCTTGGGTTGAGTTTGGCTTATCATTACTTCTGTTTTGTATCAGATGGTATACATGCCGGAAAATCCTACAGCGTACCGGGAACGATTTTTACTTCGCCAGTTCAACTCTTGTGAGCAATCAAATATTACCCAATTTCCATTCACTGATTACGATCTGTTAACTAGGTGGTGGGAACCGCGAGCATGGCCATCCTCACCGTAGGAGCTGCTCATGGGCTTGGTCTACCTCGGTCTGATTTAACCCCGGAAGATATCCGTTCTGCAATTTTGTTCGGCTGGGTCAATCAGGTGCTTGCTCTCGTGGCCATCGGCCTTTCGAAAATTGCTATCGTCGCCTTTCTCCTACGAATTGAAGGCGTCCACACACCGACGAGAACATTTTTCTTATGGTTCATTGCCGGGAGTAATCTCGTTGTTAACTGTATCGCGGCCACATTAGCCCTTGTACAATGTTCGCCGATACAAAAGCTCTGGGATGAGGGTATCCCCGGAGAATGTTCGGCGAGGAAACGAGTGCAAATATTTGGTTACGTTCAGGGGTGTGAGTTTTCCCGAATCCGAATTACGAACCTCACTGCCTGACAATAGGTACTTACGGTACTGTTTAATGGATCAGCGTGGTCAGCGTTTTGTGACATTGCACTTGCAATGTACCCTATGCTGCTTTTCTGGGGAATCGAAGCCTTCACAACAAAGACAAAAGTGGGCCTTTGTGCTTTGATGGGAGTTGGTATCAGGTAATTGCCACTGAAAAGTTTAATAAGCTGAGTTGGTAGAATTTTAACCCATAGTAGTGCAGCCATCTGTGCGTCTTTTAAATCCGCCAGGCTAAGCCTACTCACGAAACCAGCAGACGAAACGTGTAAGTTAGCAGCTCAAAGTCCTCTCTGTTTGCGGCCGCACATGCTTATTTCGTTTCATACGCCAGACACCTTGGCTCAGGTAATTGTCTGGAATCAGTAGGTATTTCCTGCGCCTCATGCTTTTCCTAAATTGTAACAAGGATATCAGGTCTGAGATGTGGGTTCTCTTTATTGTTAGTTGCATACCACCGACAAAGATATTCTTCAGGCTTGCCGTCCAAAAGGTGGCTTCCTACGTGCAAGTTGGGAAGAATCGTGCTGCAAAATTACAATTGCACAACGAATCTCGCGGACCAAACGTCTAAATTATCTGCTGAAAGCCTGTGGTCAATACTGGTCTTCACGCGGACACCGATATTCACAGTCACAATGAGCAAGGATGTTCGAGTAATCTGTAATATCAATACCGGAGTTCGGGCTCAGGCCCACCATTACTCTTGGAAGATGATGGACTTGAATACTACTATCATGAAGCTGCAATTGCCGGGGAAGACTGTTGTGTTCGAGTACTACTTTGACCAGCGCGTCGGAGGTGGCCAAAGCGACAGAATTTACTTGGACTATATGCCTTTTGGCCTCCGGATAGATGCATCACTGACAATCACACGCTTATAGGATGCTTATCCTCTCCTTCCCTTTGCGCGGGCTGCCGTTGCAATTCTCAGTGAGGTCAACTCCACCAACCGCTTTCAACAGCTGGCAACATATACACAAATGAGGATTTGCGGACCGGGAATATTCAGCTATGCAACGAGAGAAACCACTTGAAGCATTGCCAAGATGAGCAAGTAGCCCGCTTGCGATATGCATATATGGATCGATCATATATACAAACTAATGTTTTGGTATATCGATATAACTATGCAACTAATACTTACTCTAGGAACTAAGTTACCAATATAATTTTAACTTAGTAACTAGGATAATGCTAACTAACTACTAGATTTACAGTTAGTTCATTACAGTCATGACGTCAACCAAACGAACTGTACCCTACCTATATAATGACCATTATTTATCATAGGTAATCCCCCAAATATTACCTTAGGAGTTATCGCAATGTATTTTATGGTGATCTAAAATAAGAAAAAATCGACCTTCTAGGCCCGTCTTTGCCATTACTTCAAGGCTGTGTTAAAAGGTTATTGAAATAGCCGGATATACGGCTTTACGGGGGAATCTAGCTCACAAAGCCGGATACAGAACCAGAGTTCACCTCCAAGCAATGGAAGATCAATTGTGTATAAATATGTAATATTCTTGCGACAGTGATCCCAAAATTTCCAGACATATAATTCTTTTCTTGCGACATTAAATATCAAGATTTCTATACATCATTTATACCTAGCATTCTGCCACTCATACATATCACAGTTGTTGTGATTCCTCGAGCTCGGCACAATTGCTACCTCTATGGAGACCATACGAGACACCGCGTTTGGAAAGCTGGTGCGTGTCTTCAGTCACCAGCGATGGATGCAATACCCGGAAGAGCAAGATGTCTCAATCTGGCCTGAGTATCTCAAAGAGGAGACCCGGGAGAAAGAGGAAGGGGATCACCCTACACCGAATGAGAACCCCGAGGACCTCGAGGCCTATGGCCTCTATACAGTTACTTCACAGGCCACAACTCGGTCTAGGCGGCTATCTTCGTCGGCATTGCAGGACAGTGGTCAAGCGTTGGTGATTAGTTGGCGTGGGCAGAACGATCCTGAGGTTGGTTTTCCGCTTCAACTGTTATGCCGTGATCTTCATTGGCCTTTTGCATACCATTATGTGTTGAATTCGAGGAGATAACATTTAGTTTACAAAGAACCCGCAAAATTGGAGTGTCAAGAAGAAGACTTTGGTCAGCTCTCAAATTTGGCTGCTCACCTTTGCCATCTATATCGGCTCTGCGATCTATACGCCAGGTATACCCGGTGTTTCAGAACAGTTCGGCGTAAGCAGGGTAGCTGCCACACTGGGCTTGACCCTCTTCGTCTTTGGCTACGGACTCGGTTCGTCATTGATTCTTCTTACATACGATTCACCTGAGATATAATATACTAACCTTGAATCTTCCCCCATAGGACCTATGATTTGGTCGCCCCTCTCGGAAATTCCCATGATTGGCCGAAGCCCGACCTACGTGCTGACACTTTTCGTTTTCGTTTTTTTCAATTTCGGCGTGATCTACGCAACGAATTTCGGAATGTTTCTGGCCTTCCGTTTCCTGACCGGATTCATTGGTTCTCCTGCACTGGCAACAGGTGCCGCATCCATGGGTGATATGTGGAGTCCCAAGGTCCGCGACTACATGATCGGTATCTGGGGCATGTTTGCTATCTCCGCGCCAGTCCTGGGTCCCTTGCTGGGTGGCTTCGCATCTTCTGCGAAGGGTTGGACGTGGACCATTTGGCAGCTACTCTGGGTTTCCGGATTCACCTTTGTTGTGCTGTTCTTCTTCCTCCCTGAGACGTTTGCACCGAATATTCTCGCCCGGCGAGCCCGTCGGGTTCGCCGCATCACGAAAAATTCTAAGTATATGTCCGAGTCAGAACGGGAGATCAAAGAGATTAAACCTAGGGTAAGGTGGCCAACGTTTTCTCCCATCCCCATGTTTCATAGCTAACCTGTAAACCTTTGTTTACAGGATGTCCTCTTTGAAGCCCTAGTTCGCCCGTTCCAACTCTGCTTTATGGAGCCAATCGTCCTTTTCCTCAATCTATATATCTCTTTAATCTATGGAATCCTATACATCTGGTTCGAAGCCTTTCCTATTGTCTTCGAGGAAATTCACGGTTTCAACCCAGGTCAAGGCGGCCTCGCCTTCATGGGAATTCTTATCTCAACAATATCCATCACCATTCCAGCCTACTTCTACTGGAAATACCGATGGCAATCGCACCACTTTGATAAAGATGGCAACATCTCACCGGAGCAACAGATACCTCCAGCGTGTGTGGGCTGCTTCGCTTTGCCCATGTCGTTGTTTTGGTTTGGTTGGACTGGCAACTTTGTTACTGTCCATTGGATTGTGCCCATTGTTGCCTCTGGGCTTTTTGCTGTGGGTGGATGTTTAATTTTTAATTGTATCTTTTGTTATCAGGCGCATGCATATCCAAAGTATGCTGCTTCTGTGCTTGCGGGAAATGATTTCATGCGCTCTTCGTTCGGTGCGGGTTTCCCGCTCTTTGCTACTGCGATGTTTCATAATTTGGGAGTTGGGTGGGCCTGTACCCTTCTTGGCTGTCTGACTTTATTGTTCGTGCCTTTTCCTTTTATAATCTTGTTCCGTGGCAAGAGGATTCGGATGGCAAGTAAGTATGCCAGGCACGATATATAGTGTCCTCAAAAGTTCAAATGATATACTAATCTCTTTAATCTCAACCTAATTATGTTTTCGAGGTCAATCGAATAATGTGCTTCAATTGATCAATTGTATCGAAACCTCATAGCTTAAAATTCAAGGAACGAGCTGAAATGTGTGATGACCACTGTCTCGAAAATACCTGCATTATGAACTTGGTATCGATGTTCCTAGGCACTCACAAATTCTGTAGTAACTACAAGAACCTGGTCATTGAACTAAACCTCGTCAGTATCCCCGGAGAGCTTGAATAATTAGGTCAAGGTTTCAATATTTAAAATTCCTTTACTGTCAATCAAAGGGGTACATCAACATAGAAGTCGCTGATCTGAGAAAGTATGGCCGCTAATGACCGTTCAATCGTGGATTATGAAGTTGGGAGGTCAAGTTTGGCCTCACCACACCCGGCAAGAAAACCTCCGCGGGATGGTCTGCATCATGACTGGTAACCCGCGGGCATAACCCGAGCGAGATCTGTTTCTTGGCCAAATAACTAAGAGATCAAGGATCGTCCATTAAAGTATGAGGCACTGGGTGGCAAAATGTGGGACTGCTGAAAGGGTTGTTCATGGAATGTGGGGCAATGCGGGACTATAGACCGAGAAAGATATCCCAGGGCCGGATATACCGATCGGACGCGGCAGAGCCGTCGCTGGTTTGATAAAGGGATGCCAAGTCGGTAGTACACTATAGATATCCAATAGTACTTTTCTACTACAAAAAGAAGCTTGTCGCTCGTCTCAATTCTAAGGCGACGACGCTACGCACTGGCAGAATAGTTGCCAATATCAAAGAATCTCAACACATAAGATTTGGTAGCCATGGGCTCATCTTCAGAAGCTCATGGAAAGTGCCGCCGGCGTTCTTCGAGGGTATGTCAATACTGTCAGCGAAGAAAAATCCGGTGTGACTTTATAGTCCGTGGATCACCTTGCACCAATTGCTCACATTTTGGAGTCGAATGTATGGTACCAGCGAAGACATGGAAATGTAAAAATGGCTCGCTAGTGCAGACCTTTGAGACGCTGTTTAAGGGTTGTTCCGAAGGGAAGGAAGAATTTCTTTCGCCAATAGCTTCTCTTCCAGAGTGGGAAGCTGTCGAGGTGGAAGGGTTGTTCAAATCAATTGCGAATTATGAAGGTACGTTGCATCTCGCTGGTGAATATATGCCCAGCCTGGAACTTTTATAGTCCCATGATGCCGATATGTTTTCTTCCTCGATATATTGGGGTGAACAATTCACTGATATCTCATAGACTATGGTGGAGAATCCGAAGACGGAGAATCCGAAGACGGAGAATCTGAAGACGAGACGGCCAATTTGCAGGACTACATGCTTTCTTCGCCGCCGGTTATGAAAGAATGGGCTTTTTTCGGTTACCTGATTGACGAGCCTAAACCAGACTTCATCAAAAGGGGCTCCGCCCACCTCGAGACTCATGAGATGCAGTATCTGAGAGTGAAGGGGGCTCTCTTAATGCCAAATGAAGAGTTTCGGAGAGAGCTTTTACGAGCGTTTATCCAAAGAGTGTATTATGTTTTTCCAATCCTGAACATCTTCGAGTTCCTTTCGGCAATCGTATCAGATGATGGTCGTCACTCCATCAGCATATTGCTTTTCCAAGCGGTGATGCTTTCTGCAATTCCTTACGTGAGTCTTGACAGACTTGTGGCCGAGGGCTTCTGTTCAAGAAAGCAGGCCCAAGATGTTTTTCTTCAAAGAGTAATGGTAAGGCTGAAACTCAAACTGATATTCACATGATAAATTATTCGAAAGTCCTGACTGTTGACGTTGCCAAAATCGGGGTCCGCGTAATGACTAATATTTGATACAGGCTCTATATAATGTGGGGTACGAGACCGAACAATTACCCATGATCCAGACCTCGCTTCTTCTCTCTTTGACAGATGATCCAACTGCCGTCAAAGACTCCTGGCACTGGTTAGGTATAAGCCTTTCCTTTGCTCAGGCAGTGAACTTTCACTTGGATACGCCCGGATACTGCAAAGGGGACAAAGGACTCCCCCGACGGATCTGGTGGAGTATATTTACTCGAGACAGACAGCTCGCTTTGGGCATGAAGTACCCTTGTCGAATCCGAGATGACACTTACCAAGTACCAATGCTTGCCCTCAACGATTTTGGGCTTCATTGCGGGGACCCGGCAATTCCCTATGTAGTAGGGCAAGACATGGGGCTGCAAGATACAGACTATCAGAAAAGGCTCGCATTGATCTCTATACGAACAGCGGCGATGTCTGTAGTCATTGGTGAAATATTAATGCTACAATACACACCCTCACCACGAGTTTTCTTCATCGGAGAATTGCCTTCGGCGACAGTTGTTCCTCGCCGAATAGCGACGCGACAAGATATTCAGCTGTATGAGCACAAACTCGCCCTCTGTATAAAATGTGAGGATACAGAATTCCAATGGACTGGAGCAAAAGCCAGTCACCAACTCGACACCTCCGAAGATGAAACGTTGTTATTGCTTCAGGCAGAGACAGGCCTGATGCACCTGACAACCTTGATGGCCCTTTACCGACCCCAGATATGGCCAGTACAGAATGCAACCTCGACGGGCTCCGATTTGCAGGCCTATTCGCAACATCAAGCAAGGGTAGTTGCATCCAAAGTACTGGAAATCTGCAACGTCGTGCAAGAAAAAGGGTTGCTTCCTCGGCTATCACATATCAAAGCAACATCTGTGCATCAAGCAGCCCTGATTCATCTGTCATTCGTAAATTCTGCGGACGCGATTGAACAGATGCTGAATTTGAACAAATTTGATCAATGCTTTCGAGTTTTGAAAGACATGGATGATATCCATATGACCGCAAAGCTTGGAGTCTCCATTTTGGATTCCATAGTTCAAAAAGCGGCATTTGTACAAGGAACTTCATTGCCAGTATTGCCTTCTTGACACTGATAGTCAAGAGTTGTATTATTATTCTGCTGTCAAAATGTCTTGACGTTAATATCCACCTTCAATCTCTGCCCTAGATAAATGGTTATCTGGCCGGAATTCAAGCTGTGAAGTCTTTACGGCCTAGATAAAAGCCGCGAGGTTTAACATGCTGCTATGTAGGAAATATCATACACGATTAGCTCCGGGCGTTCTCAAATTCCCGCCTTTTGCAACTACAATCCATCAGGAAATCGACTACCTCTATAGTCTGAAAACATTGTTTCTCGGCTCGTGCCCGGAACGGGGTTAGTCCGTGTTAGCATATATTGTATGGTAATCGCCACTCATAGACGAGGATTGCTTACGGCTTAGCCAAGTTTGGTTAAGCCGTTGTTCCATAACATCTTCTTTGACAGTTGCAATATAGGGCCAAGTATGATGGCATGGTCTTCATAACTCAAATAATCTGAGTGCTTCGATCATCAAGTCAATGAAAATCGAATTTGGTTTCAGCCAGTGAACAACATGCGCTGATTGTCAAGTGGGTTTCAGCTCCTTTATTCTACTGTGCTTCCATGAAGACCGATAAATATGTGAGAGGCAAGCATTTTTCAACATATTTTATTCGATATGAAAATCAAGATTACTTGAAATGTCCACAGGGGTCAATTGAACAATGATCAAGATATATTTATCAAGTCTAATTAAGCAATTGCAAAGAATGAAAGGAAAAGTGGGAAGAAATATATAACACAAAGGAAATCAAGAAAGACTGGGGGTTAGGAAGGGAGAACAATTGAGAATGAGAAGTCACACCCTTTGTGTGGGGCGAAAGAATATGAGATCGGAGACTTAAGACGATAGTCTAATCGGAAGCAGTCTTGGTCTTCTTGCTGCGAAGTTTCATCATAATGAAAACACAGATGTATGTGGTGATACAGAAGAGCGCAGTAATTCCAGTCTGAAAAATGCATATTAGGGGGCGGGTCTCAAACAGAAAATGTAACTCTGACAGTAGCTAGAGTATTGCGTGAGAACTTACATCTCTCCAAGAATAGTACTTGGCCTTGAGGTTGAACTGTGGTGCGTATTCTGATCCGACCGCGTACTGACAGTAGTGGCACGAGGTCGTGGATGCAACGTCACGGACATATCCTCCTGCTGTTTCGATGAAAGATTCCATGTAAGAACCGCATGTTTGGTTGTTGGGGAGATCAATGGAGGTCCACTCGTTGTCGGCGCATTTCACAGGAGCATCCCAGAGAACCTCTCCCAGGAGGCCACCGATGAGGTAGGTGAATGGGTCCAGATAATACATCCAGTAACGCCAGAAGACATTGATCTGCTCGTAGGGTACAACAACACCACAAAAGCCGATCAATCCAGCTCCAAGGACAAGGGGATTAACGAGTGAAGCGGAATACTCATTTGGAGCGTACGCAGCAATGGCCTGGCCGATTGGGGTGTACAAAAATTCGTAGACTAGATTCAGCACTGTTAGCCACTGCACAAAGATTCAAGTTCTGGGGCCCTTACGGATCATCTGGAAGAACATATGACCAGAAATTTCAGGTAAACTCGGGAAGCCAACAGTAAAATACCAGCAGAGGAAATACAACGTGCCGCAAACGACGAGGTACGGCATCTCGGAGATAGCTTGAGCACCAATAAATGCTATCCAGTGGTAGGTTTTGGCCTATTACTTGGTTAAATAAAATTTTCAATGTGCAATCAGGACCACTTGCCTTCTTTTCGCGCGTCTCGAAAATATCACGGTTCTGCAAAAAGTATGGCTGGAGTTGATTGATGACACCAGGGGCAACGAAGACGAAGTTGAAGATGGCGAACAGTCGAAGCTGGAGATCAAGGACCGAGTCACCAATTTTCCAGAAAGTGAATCCACTGAAGAGTGCAGCAAACACGTGCAAGATAATCTTGTTCCACATGTAGTCCTGGATATCCATGTCAGCAAACTGAGTTGTGCGGGTAATGGGGAGGGAAACAAACCGGACTCCTCCAGAGCTTAACCATCTGCCGCTCTAGAACCACTTGGAGTTGATACATCTTGGAGGTTGCGTAGTCCGTGAGCATAACATCCTCTGTTACTTCAGCCGCCGCCTTTGCTTTGAGATCTTCCAGCTCACGAAGCGCTACACGGTTTTCTTCCGACCCTTCCCAAATCTGATTCCAATCCACGTTAGGATCAAATCTGCCTTGGACGACATCTACGATGTGCTCTGCTGGGTTTGCATCTTCGGGGCAAGGTGCGCCATTTCGTGCGAAATAATCCAGAATGATATCGGAGCCCTCTCCGGCTAGAAACACCATTAGTCAAATACCAACAACCACAGAAGGAGAGTCCTTACTTTGGCCAAAGTATGTCATTTTACCTCCCTTTGCAAGTAGCAAGAGGTAATCAAATGCATCGAACAGAGAAGCTGATGGCTGGTGGATGGTGCACTGCCAATTTTCTGTTAAAGCTGAACTGAGTTTGAATATTAGGAGTTGGAACATACCAAAACAGCTTGTCCTGAATCCGCAAGCTTTCTCATGAAACGGACAATGTTGAATGCAGATTGACCATCAAGACCAGACGTGGGCTCGTCCAAAAGGAGCAAAGAAGGTTTGGCGACGAGCTCAACACCTAGAGTGACTCGTTTCCGCTGTTCGATGCTTAATCCAGCACCCGGAGCTGTTCAAAAGTTAGGATGTTATTGGTTAGTTGCCATTTGGATGGTTGTTGAGACTTACTTCCGATCAATGCCTCGCTGATGTCGCTAAGTTCGAGCAAGTCGAGAATTTTGTCCACGTAATCGATTTTCTCTTGTTTCGGAACGTCAGCCGGCTGACGGAGCAGGGCTGAGAATATAAGAGCCTCTCGAACAGTGGCTGATGGTTCGTGAACGTCAAGTTGCTCGCAGTAGCCAGTCGTACGCTGGAAACTGATGTTTTGCGGTTTTCCGTCGACAAGAATTGAGCCTGAGATTTCGCCAGAATCCTTACGCTGAGCCAGCACATCAAGGAGGCTTTTTGTTTGACGAAAGTCAATTTCAAGAAAGGAAGTAATGACAACGAATGCCGGATATAAGGACTTACGTAGTTTTTCCTGCGCCTGAGCATCCCATCAGTGCGACCAAGTTACCAGGCTTGACGTATCCGAAAACTTGGTTCAGTAGCTGAAGCTTTGAGCCGTGATAGTCAACATGGTAATCAAGGTGATCCCAAGTGAATATAGCTTGCTTTGGCATATCATGGTCGGCGTCCGTGTTACCAGAGGCCTGAACGGCGGTCTTCTCTTCGTCCTGGGGATTGGTTCCACGTTTGAAGACCAGATAAGACGAGGTTCCTTGGCTTCGAAGTCGCTCAAATCCGACTGCTGTGAGGAAGGCAAAGAAAAGCCACATGCTGACTACAACACCAAAGCCCCTCCAAACATGGTGGATGGAGTAGTGATATTGAGAATGTATGTAGTCTGCGCCTGGAATGTCTGCTCCGGAGGATCCTGCAATAAGGCAGCCGCGGAACTGGTCATCATCATAACCAGAGCCGTAGGGGACATACTGAGGGGCGACGCACTCCATGAGGAGACCGCCGAACTCATTACCCATCACACTCTCGAACGCATAGGAAGCGGGATTGATCCAGAAAATCCATCGAAACCAAACGTGCATCTTCTGAAATGGGATCAGGTAGCCCGTGTAAATCATCATGATTGTTGTGAAAAATCCAGAAATCTTTGAGGCATTGCCAAACTTGTTGCAGTTGGCCCCAATCATACGGTAGAATGACAAGAAGCAGAGCGTAGTCGCATTCACGATAATCCAAAATGTGAAAAACTTCCCCGCATCTGCCTGGAAAGCACACATCCAGTAATACACGATTGTGAACACGCTGACCTGTAGGAAAACGACGGGAATGTCGGTAATAACACTAGCGATGCAGTATGCAGTGGGCCGATAGAATGCAAAACGCTTTTGCCGGCCAAGAATCGGGCGTCCCATGAAAGACGAAGTCGTTTCCGAGAGTGATTGCATGCAGAAATACATGAGAGGGAAGAAAAGGGCACCAGGTCGAAGGAATGTCGAGGAACTGGTATTCGCTAGATTGTAAAACAGACTCCCTGAGACTAGGGCCTGGATAAGGGCTGAGGCGACCTTGATAATGAGTGAGATCCGGTCACCCCATATGATTTGGCTTTGTCGAATGGTGCATGCGATAACCTGATCACGGATTGAGGCGTTGTACGGATTCTTCACGTTGGTTTCCTTGCCGGCGATCTCTCGGGAGACATGAGAAATGAAGGATGCAGTTTCTCTCTCTAGCTCTCGTGATGGGATCATCTCCTCAACCATCGCCTTGTAGATCTTGGACGATTTGTATCGTGACTCGAACTCCAAGACATTCTGAGGGACGCTCCCTTCAAAGCCGGGCTTGATAGTGCGCTCAACAGCGACAGTGACAGAGGTTAGGAAATCGGCGACGTTAGCACCACGGCCACACACAAATCCCATCTCCTCGAAGTAAGGACGCGCCAAATGACGCGGGCCATAGTAGATTGTCCGTCCCGCTGCAATCACCATAACCTTGTCAAATTGATCGTAGATAGCGTTTCCTGCTTGATAAAGAGTGGCGATGATCGTCTTCCGCTGTTCATCGGCAATGCGGCGCAAATTTTTGGCAAAATCGAGCGCGGAACTGGCGTCAAGGCCTCGGGTTGATTGGTCCCAACATTGCACAGAACTCTGTAAATCGCTTTCGTTAGCTTCAGTGGTACTTTTTGGTTGATGAAGGCTTTGCGGTGACGAATACTTACTTGACCTGCCATCACTTCTGCAAGAGACACTCGCTTTCGCTCTCCGCCTGACACACCACGGACAAACTCGTTACCCACAAGTGTTCGCTTGGTGTGCAGGATTCCAAGCGAGCTTAGGATTTCATCTCGCGTCTTTTCCACGAAACCATTTCGTGACATGCCTTCAGGTCTCTCCGCTGGGGTCTTGTTTCGGAGAGCGAACTTGATCGTTTGATCGACGGTCAGTGTTGGGAAGTGAATATCATCTAAAGCATGGTTACTCCAATTTGTTCCTTCCATCATTATGCAAAGTGAATTGGGGATCGAACCTTCGTTATTGAACATCAGTTCCTGACGGAATTTGGCAGCTTGGTTGTGGTCCAGGCTTCCATAGTGGACAGATCCATCGACTTTGCCGAACCCATCGCGATCGTTCGAAAGGATTTTGAGCAGTGATGAACAGCCTGCTCCAGGTCGACCGAGTACCAACATCTATAGCTTGTCAATAAATAGTTCTTGGGATATGATCTTCTTCGCTTGGTTGCAAACGCACCATTTCTCCCGGCCGCAGCTGACCAGTCATGTCGTTGAGAATTGTCTGCATCTCAGAATCAGAATTGAACCAAACTATAACACAACCCTTTGGGAAAGCCTTACAGTTTCCTTCTTTTGACTGAACATCCCCACCAAATTCATGGGGTTGACATCCGACCACAGAGTGTCGCCCTGCACAGCCTCTGAGGCCGGGACATGGATAGAAATCCCACTCCATGTCACTGTCACTTGCTTGACATTTTCATCGACAGCTTTGATGGAGCTTTTCTCTTCGATTGGCTTGTCAGAAGAGTCCAGGGTTGCTGATTGCCTCTTGTGAGGGTGGTCAACAGCCTCGTGGCCGAGCTCGATTGTACTGGCAGCGCTGTCTGACATCGCTCCAAAATGATTGGATAAGAATATAGAAATCTTGAGTGCCAGAGAGTCTTGTCCAAATATACTACATGGCCAGGACCATAATTTATAACAATGACTAGGGCTCTATCCCTTTCTCCCAGAAAGAAAAAGCTCACCTGCGCCCTTCTATGACGAGCTTCCGTATAGCCGTGTTCCAACTATTGTGTGTTTGTCTGGATAAGTCTAAAATGCCACTCGATGAACTAGTATAGTAGCCAATTGAGCGGGCCCACAGTGGAGATGATCTTAATTCCTCCAATAACACCGTGTCATATATCAATAATGCAGATCACTATCCGCTTTCCGTTCCGTTGCATAACCATATCCGTCTCGCAGAAGACGCATATCCGTCCCGCCACATAACTTTCACCTCCTAGTCCCTCTCATACATCCTCGCCGGATGTACACCTAGACATAAGGCTGCATAAAACATAAGGGCTAGGCAAGAAAAGCCCTCTTCTGAGCTTACCATGGGCGGACCAATTCTTCCTTGCTGGCTTGGACTAGTCAGCGTATCATATCCACCGATATTTGCCAGATTTGAACGTTATCTAAGACGAAACATATATCCGAGACCTAGGGCAAAGCAATGGCTTCTCGCAATGTATCCGGGCATTAGCTCCGCGTGCATCTCCGATGTTAAATTTTCTTTTAGGTGTAAACAAGCCCAAATGGGTCAGTCATGATACGAGACATCAAGAGTGCCGTTATCTTTACTCGAGTACATATTCACTCATAAAGAAGTACGCAGTGTAGGTTATGTTTTTGTTATATCTGTTATAGTCTAGATGACTGGACTTTCTCCAAATTTTGACGGGATATAAGAGTTGACATATACAACTGAATATTATATTGTTTTCAGATCAGCCGATTTTTCATATACAAAGGGCATAGAATCATTTCCGAAGCAAATCCTGTTTTTGAGCTGCACTGCCCTGATATCACAACAAGTTTAGCTAGACCGAGGAATATGAGCGTCCGACATCACTAACATAACACTTTGTTCCATGTGTTTGTGACAGATTACTAGCAGGACTAAACGCAGGGCCTCAGCCTCGTTATCTAAATTGCCGACTCTAATATCCTGTTTTCCCGAAAATCCGTACAGCCGTGATACTTAGTTCATCAAACGTGGCCAAGCTTTTTCGATCCAGCCCAGATCCGATAATCACTAAATCAATAGATGAAGTGACAGTGACCCATCATTGTCCGTCTCGCTCCTAAATGATTAGAACCATAAGCCCGGCCGTCTCCTCGGTATAGCCGCTTTCGGTTCACTATAGATTACTAGTCGTCGATCTTTTTTCAACCTAATCCTGGATTGAGAGCTTTGTAGATCTGAACCACCATCAACGAATTTTAAGCCGAGTACCCCGGGTGCAATCGTGCTCTTCACAAGTCCAATCACTTCCTTGTATGCCGGGTCATTCTAGATATAATATTTTCGATCTTCGTCGTACTTTAATCCCACAATACAAGCGAGATAGAACCATGTATACAAGCGCGAACCGGCATGGACATAGGTTACTACGGCGTGCAAGCACTAAAGTGACCACGACCCCAAACTGACGGGCGCGGCTTAGGTTTAACGCATGTAATGAGCAAAATAGAAGGCTCACAATTACGAAAGGCATATGTAGTGGACTTGGTGGACTGCGGGCGGATTCCAAATCGAATGGCTCTTTGAAAGAACAGATGACGGTAGGTTCGATTTCGGACATAATATGAAACACCTGAGGGAAATCTGGGTTCAGCTTTATCTCTTTTTGGGTTTGATATGTCGTGCTTCTATCTACCTTTGCTTGGTTCTCATATTCCAATAGAACCTGGCGCGTTGCCCCATGTGCATAAACGAATCTACCAGAAACATTAGTCCATTGGGCCTGAGGAGAAAGTGTGCTTGCAGTCCCGAATATTACATTCTACTATTTCTCCGATTCCCAGCTATTATGTGGGACAGCCCCCCATAATGTGTGGTAAAAAAAAGAAGGTCCCGTGTCGTACCCCACGTCCCGCATCCCCATGTCCCACATTTCTTCGCCCCATATACCCTGGAGCGGTGGCCTATATCCGAAGTCTACATCGATTGAACCTATCTTAAGTACCGATTTCTTTTTATTCTCACTCCAAACACTTGACTGATACAGCTTCTATGCTATCCAAAATGCCTTCCTGGACTCATCTTGTTCGTTTTATCGCTGTCGAGGACAGCCAGGTTCACCTCGGCCAACTGGTCGACACCACCCGTGATGTTGGACGCGATAGCGTCGATGGAGTGAAGATCGCTGTGAAGGTCGTTGAGGGTACTATCTTTGATGGCCGAGTTACAGACGATATTTTGCATGTGAAACAGGTGAGTTATTTGTCTTCATAGGCATTAATGCAGGAACGTATGCTGATACCCAGACACTACAGCTCCTTGCACCCGTCACTCAAGAGCAGTGTAGTTATATCCGCTGCCTGGGTCTCAACTACATCGACCACGCACAGGAAGCCAACTTGCCTCTACCCAAGGCACCAATTCTTTTCACTAAGCCCCGCACCGCGCTCGCTGGCCCTTACCCTGCTACCATCAACATTCCTAAGTGTGCGCAAGATGACACTAGTGACTACGAAGCCGAGTTGTGTCTGGTAATTGGAAAGTCTGGTAGAGATATTCCCGAAGAGGAGGCTCTTGACTATGTTCTCGGTTACACTGCATCAAACGATGTCTCTGCGCGTACTCTGCAGTTGATCACGGCCCAATGGTCTTTCTCTAAGGGTCTTGATGGAAGCTGTCCTATCGGTAAGTTTTTGACAACAATCTGGTTTGACTGCTCTTTGCTAATTAAGGGCGATTATAGGTCCCGTCCTTGTGGCACCCTCTGTAATCAAGGACCCGCAGACTCTGTCAATCAAGGCTATCCACAACGGCACTACTGTTCAAGACGGACAGACCAAGGATATGATCTTCAATATCAAGAAGCAAATCTCATACCTCTCGCAGGGCACCACACTCGAAGCCGGAACACTGTTCTTGACCGGAACTCCTGCTGGTATTGGATATTTCAAACAGCCCAGAGTTGTTCTCCGGGATGGTGATGAGATCTCGATTAAGATTGACCAAATCGGAACTCTCGTCAACAAGGTTCGTTATGAGAGTCGTTAAATAAATCATGGATGATTTTCCTTGTATATAGACATCTTTCAATAAATCTCCTTGATGACTGCTTCGTCGATTGGTACATTACAAAACTGGTAGGTAAATCGAGTAGGGAGATATGGAGATAACACCGATAGAATATACTTCTCTCCATTCTCTAAGTTTCCATTCTTCAATATCGACTGAGATATATATAATCAACCATCCAGATAGCGTCAGCTTTTTTCAAGCATTTCAGATCCAAATGATTGATGGGGTCCTGCTCACTGACTTGCGTCCCACATGAGCAAGAAACCTATTCGATTAGAATGACAGAAGGGAGGCTTATGTTAGCCTGGCTTTGTCCAAAGGTGCTACCTGCGTCTCAAAATCACCGAGTCTAATATTGGCGTAGCAATCAATAATGGAACTGCACTCGAACCTAGTTAAAGCAGTCCCACCTTTGTGTAAACCGCAATTACTTTCGAACAATTTGAGCTTCCACATGGGTAGATTGATTTGCCATAGTTAAGAGCGCCAAGCCTACCTAACCAGGATTAGTGCCCCTCGGACTCTACCTTTCAAAAAGCTTTTGGGCCTACCGTCCACGTGAGTCATTAAAATATTGTTAATCCCATTGGTGCAACCATATCTTCCGCCTTTTTAGTCAGGATTCTGCCGGTTTTACACCCCAAAATTAAATTATATAATCCAAAAAATGGCCCCGGGGCCCACCTCACCACTCTAGAAACCCCTTTAGTTTCGAGATCCTTCAATCTTAATTGGGTTTGACCGTAGCCATCCATGCTCACGCATATTCGCCCCTGGTCCCGCGTAAATCCAACTTGATTCTGTAAAATGAAGAAAGAGGCCATTCAACCGAAGGGCTCTATTAGTGGCCAGGAAAAGAATCCTTCTAGACTGACCATGGATGGGTCAATCCTCCATTGCAGGTCGGAAAGGTCCGTCGAACCAGATCCACCGATATTCCTCAAGGTTGAATGAGCCTCTGTGGCAAGTGACGGAGCTGAAGGATCATTCAAAAAGATATTTCCTGGGGACCCGTCAAACCCCTCGTTTCCACTTACTGTCCCGTCATCCCCAGTCTCCGAAGACATTCCGACCGAGGACTCTGGAGACTCGCCCGCTCGCATATCTGGATACATCTGGCGCTGGGCCAATTTTTTCAGTGCTAGATCAATAGCATGAAGTGTGCTAGCGATCGGCTCCCCCTCTCGCATCAGATGGAGACATTGAATCCCCATATCGATCCATGGCTGGTGGACAGAGATTATTGACGGATCTTGTAGGACATCGCATATTAGAACGAATATGGAACTTCCAATAAAGAACCCGTGATATCGAAGCTCCTGCACAAAAAGAAGATGTGTGATTAGCCCCAATCCAATATCGCAGAACTACCACGGGCAGAGATCGGTGGAAGTATACCTGGACCGGTGGATTGATGACCGAGGCTCTCGAGATATGGCGTATTGCATCTCGAGCGGCTGCGATTGCAATATCACAGGCCTCATTCAACCATGTTGGCATTCTGCTACGCTCTCCTTGGAACGTCTTCCCATTCCTGTTGCACGACTCGGCAAGTAATTTTTGTAACTTGGCTCGAAGAATGATGAATGGTCGATAGGTCAAGAGCAAAGTATGACAATACACTTGGGACATTCGAGATTATTTTTTAGAAAACGCAAAGATTCATAATAACGGTGACGACTTACATGATGTGAGAATAGTTTGACAAACACCCTTCTCCTGCGAAAAAGGGTCACTATCTACACTGACGCCCAGATTGTGTTGCATCAACGATTCAAACTCTGCGAGGTCCCGGCGGATCGCAGCAGCTGCATCTCGAACTGGTAGGAATGAATCGTGTGTGTTGAGGTAGATCGACTTCGCTGATCTCGACATGATTTTTGTCAGCCGGACGAGACAGAGAAGAAATGGATCGTCGGGGGCTTGGATCTCCATATCTTCCCAAGAAAGGGAAGTTGGCCGCCCGAGAAAAAAGGAAACCAGCCTATACGGGTCAATAAACCAACTAATTGCATACTGAATATCGACATTCCACATACACTTCGTAAATATACAACGCCCACGTGGTGTTTCGGATTTCAATAAATCGAGCGTCGGAGGTTGGTGTGGTCTTATGGAAGCCAGCAGATAACGCCTTTCTTGTAGCAGTTCCAAGGTGCAGATATGCCGCATTTGGGTGGCCTCTTTCGTTTTGGAAATGAGCGTACTGCTTTATGTTAACAATGTCTGATCAAGCGTGGTGGGAAACAAGTCGAGACTTATCATGATGAGTGATGCCTGGACCATCTCGAGATTGACAATCTCTGTCATAGTTGCCAATTGGCTGTTTACAAGCTCAAACAAAATGTCCGCGAGGCGGTAATGTTGAGTGTTGAGTGCAGCGATGGCGATTGCCATTAGCAACACCTGATGCCCTGAAGCTCCTCTTGCAAGTCCGTATGGCGATTGATAGAGTTCATACAAGTCTCTTTGGTAAACCTCTTGGGGCCGGAATGGCATCAGATAATATAGTGTTTCCAAAAATCGAAACAGCAGAGCCTTAGCCACTGGATATGGAACAAAGATTGGTGACGCAAGCTTTCTTCCATAGCTTGTAGTCTCCGCATGAGCATCACTGTCAGAGATTCCGAAGAAAATGTCACGAAATTTAAACATGTCTAATCCTGTATTTTCTTCTTCCACTCCGGTCGCTGGCATACCGGCTAGCCCCTGACCATAACCTGGGATGAGATCCTGATAGATGGTTTGCATCAAGGAGAAATGGGATGTTGGTCCATAATACAATTGCATCATAAGACCCGGGGATGCCAGGTGTGTTGCTGTCACACTGCTAAATGCTAAAGCGGGATCTTTCAGTCCCTCCCACATTGGCTGAGACGACATGTGCGAGACTGGCGCGGCGGATGCGGATGGTAGGGAATTCGGCTCCTGGCCCAGCTGAGTCTTTTTGGGGCGATGACGAGGTTTCGCTCTGTATACACAGCCCCAAGGTTTTTCGATGCACTTTGAGCATGGTGTCGCTCCATTGCATCGAGATTTCCGAGAACGACATGCCTCACAGGCTTTTGAGATCCTGCATTTCTGAGTCGCGGATGATTCCCGAGTCGAAGACATGTCGAGATGCATGAATATGGAGTATCCACTTCAATTCTGTCTAGCCGGACGTCAGTATATGCATATTTTGGGGTATTTCCGGTGGCTTAGGGTGCATATATGAGGGTGTTCTCGAAGAGACACTTACTTCTTGCAATGGCGTGGCAGCGATCAACAATTTCGACCTAGCTATATGATGAATATCAAATTCATGGGTCCCTCCAGTCAAGATATGAGCTTGTCACTCGTAGTGATGATTCATCGGAACTTCTACGGAACAGCATTGTGACTGCAAAGTTTAATGATATATGCTATGCATCTCGTATTTACTACTTGTTATCGGATATACGGAAGAGAAGGCCGTGACAATGCTTTCTTGCCCCTATCTTTCAGCTTTAAACTCAGGAAACTAACCTTTTACTCTTTACTATAGCTATATAATTAGAAGCGCCGTGGGACGAACAATCTACGGCATGTGGGACCACTGCGGCGGGACGTTTAGATAGAGGATTCATTCTTGGAATATTCGGAAGGATTCCTACCAATATTAAGGTGGGGAAAGGCATATCCCTGCGTATTCAAGCGGGTCCGTCACTCTAATAGTCGCGGGATTTCAATGGTGAGGCGAATAGATACGATGGTAATGAAAATGAACGAGTAGGCTGGGGTTTCCACTCATTGTCTCGCCACTGCAAGTGGCGCAAGGAAGCCTATAGCCTTCAGCGCCGTTTGTCAGATCGGGATACTCTCAAGTATCTAGCCCGAACCGTAGGCATCACGCGCTGTGGAGATAGGCGGCTGAGAAGGCGACTTCGAGGCTTGGAAGGAAGTAAAAGAGGCAACTAGGGAAATTGACCTAAAAATAAATTAAGATCGACTCTTTGGAGAGCTCTTTCGGAACGTAGACTGATACTCATTTTTTTCAGCAATGGCCATTGGGTTTGAGAAGAAAAGAAGAAATTCGCGATGCGAGGTGAGAAGCTCTCCACCGTCGAAATGTTGAAGTCTTCTGGGCAAGTTAAAAATAATGAGTTTTTCCATTTCATACAGGATAGGATGTATGGATATGTTCAAAAATGACATTCGAGAGAATTGATACGTTCCGATTGCATTGCAGTATCTATTCACATGACGCATTCCTATCCAACAAGGGTGGTCGAATCTCTCTCTCAATTGAGAAGAAGATAATGGATGTTGTATATGTGAGCAAAAGGGTCATTCAACGACTCAAAACTCGCGATAATATTCCAACTCATTCGCTATTTGTTGCGCAATCTGTTTAGGAAGTGGAACTATCACTGCAAGAACCAAGACGGCACTTCAGGTCCCCACACAGCCAACGACTCATCACCCGCAGGCATATACCCTATAGGAGTTTGATTGCTGACCAAATCCCCATCCGCATAATGCTCGATCATATTTCCTGTAGTATCCCACCAGTAGTCGAAAATCTGACTTCCAAGAATGTGTCGGCCAACACCCCAGACAGACTTATAGTCTTTCTTCACGAGCCACTGGTGGCCCAGCTTCTGGGTATCGAAGTCGTGAACCTCGAATGAGCAGTGGTGCACATGGGTTGTCGGATTTGCGCTTATAAAGAATGAGTGGTGATCGACGGTATTTTCGCCACGATCGACGTGGGCAAATAGGGCGACGTTCTTCTTCTTGCCTTCTACCTCAACGTAGAGGAAGTCTGTTGGGACGATATTGAAGTTCTTCGTATAAAATTCGACAAGCCCTTCGAAGTTTGTGGTGCAGACACCATAGTGACCGAGCTAGAAAGTATTAGTGTCTATATTTAGGATAAAGGAGAAGAGTGACTAACCTTATGAACTGCGGCCGGACCAGGCTGGAAGCGCTGGAATCTTCGCACTCGTGGCTTCTCGATCTCATAGTTGGTAATCAGCTTATCTGGGTAGGTGCTAGGTGTAACGAGTGTCTGTCCATAAAATAGGTTCATGGCAAATCCTTCGGGATCTGTCAATGTCACCATATGGCCTCCGCCCGGGGCATCTGTGAGATCTTGAATCTCGCCTGCTGTGGGTAGCTTTGTTGCCCTTAAAAGTGTTAGTGGTGTATTAATAGCATTTGTAATTGCTTTTTAAATCCCTTACTTCTCCAGATCCTGGTAAGATTCAACTTTCCAAGCACCACCAAGGAACTTCTTCTCTCCTTTCTTCGCATAGTAGACGTAGGGGTCTACTCCATATCCCCGATACCAAATCTCGTCATCGGTCTTCTTTGCGACGGTCATACCAAAATCTGTAAATGGATAAGTGCATAGCCTTTTTCAAAAAGGGTTACTACAATAGATACCTTCAAGGAAAGAGGTAATCTCATCCAGATCAGGGTGTTGGTAGCGCATATGCGCTAGTTTAGACAGGCGGATCTGCGAGTCCGTCTTGATATTACATCTCGCCTGCCATGCAGCGATACTTTCAGCCTCTGGGCCAACCGCGATAATATCGGCAATCGAGGCACCGTGGTTTGGTTGGATAGTCTAGGCCGATGGATTAGTACTAGACTTGTAGATAGGATGTTACACATACCATGTTAATGATTTAATTTCCATTGAGTCTGACCTTGCCTGTTTCCAGATAGCAAGATTCTGATTTAACTTAACACGATCTCCGAGGTTGCCTTATAACTGCCGATAGAATTGCCCTCATTTGACATCACACCTCACGTTCCCGCAAGGTCCCGCCTAACCCCACATTTCCCCTGAGGGACCTTCCCCGGACCCCACAGTTTTCGGCTTTATACGGGGTTACGGAATTAGCATTCACTACGGCAAATGAAGACATAGACATGGGTCATGCAATGCAAAATCCGTCCCACAATATGGGGGTATAGCCGAATACAACGGGCAAATATGCATAATTCGCTAATGGTTAATCCGGGCCCCGAATTATTTTAATGCGACATCCGCCCGTTAGCGATATCATTGCTCATTTGTGTTTGAGAAAACAACATGGCCGATACTGATTATGAGACTACTGATGTGGTCATCTGCGGCTGTGGTCCGACCGGGGCTATGCTCTCTGCGTACCTTGGGCGAATGTCCATTCCGCACGTTGTGATCGAGAAGGAGCCTGAGATCACTACCGATCCACGAGGCATCGCGCTGGATGAGGATGGAATTCGGGCTCTGCAGGGCGCTGGCATCTATTGTCCCATTTATTCTGATATTGGGACTTGTGAGGATATTCAATTCGACGCGATGTCTCTTTCCTTTTGCTAACTCGATGTCAGGCATGCACAAGTTCAAGTTCATTGGAGGAACGGATAAAGTCCTCGACAAGAAGGCTTTCTTGGAGATGGATTATGGCACGGTTTGTATATCTATATTTTTTCAGAGTTTTCCTGCTCATTCATCTCACACAGACCGAAGGTGGTACCGGGCATGTTGGATTCATATGCCACAAACAACCAATCCTCGAAAAGCATCTGAGAACGGCAATGACCTCATCCAGCTTCTGTCAGCTCCAGACCAACGCAACCATGATCGATATCCGTGAAGAAGGAGATTATGTCTATTCGCAGTATCGTGATACGCAAGGCAAAATACACAACCTCAAGTCTCGATTTCTAGTTGGCGCCGATGGCAAAACAGGCTTTACCAGAAAGAGCTTCATGGAGCCTTTGGGTATCCGCATGGAACAGGCACATCAGTGAGTCGTGGTGTCTTTGGGTGTATTCCTCTTTTCATGGAAATACTGACCGCTGTTAGATCATTCTACGATGAAACCTGGGTGGCACTGAATTGGGAGGTCTCACTTCCTACGGAAAAGACGCACCCCGATTTTCCCCTGTGGAAGCTAGGATACACTCCCCAAGAAGTTTACGATTCTTTTTTCCCAGAGAGCTTCAGGTTCATCTGTAATCCAGAGCGTCCCGCTGTGTGTGGACGTTTCGGGTTGCCAGCAGATAGACTCTGGCGCTTTGAGTTTGTTGTGCTTCCTGGTGAAGATGGACAGGAAATGTCCACTCCTGAGAATATTGAAAAAGTTGTATACCCCTATATTACACACCCGGGGAGTAAATATGGGTAAGTTAGACTGTCTGAAAAAGGATATCGAGCACCGATACTGACCATTGCAGATTAATTCAAGATATCATATTCCCCGACGACTGCATCCGCGTCCTTCGATCACGGCCATTCCGCTTCGCTGCGCGAAGCTGCAATAGATGGTCGCATGGTCGCGTAATACTTTGCGGCGATGCAGCACACGTCTTCCCACCATGTCGGTATTTCAAGTCCAATATTGCAGATGCGTAATAATAACAGACTACAGTTGGTGGCCAAGGAATTGCATCTGGCTTCCGCGACGCCATCAGCCTAGCCTGGCGTCTTGTCCTTCTCTGCCGACGAGAACCGTCAACAAAACCCAGCAACCACGAACAAGTTCTATCGGCGTGGTATGTCGAGCGCAAGCAGCAACTGGAGCGTTCTCTCGCATCAACCATTCGGAATGGCCAGTTCGTCACCGAAGGCAATCCCCTAAAAATATTCCTCCGCGATTGGTTTCTGTACTTTATGCACTTCATTCCTAGTTGGAGGCGTGATCTACGGCTTGGGCGCCGAAAGGAGGGGATGGTGCCGTACAAGTACTCGCCTGGACTACCCTTTGATCCGGCGTACAAGGGAGGTACTTTACTTCGACAGGTTTATTGTAAGCCTATTGGGAAGTCGGGTGATGTGTTGTTCTCGGATGATATCATTTTCGAAAAAGAGAAGAAAGGGCTCTTCCAGCTGCTTGTATGCCTGAAAGATTTGTATGAACTGACTGCTGCTCGCGAGGCGGTATCTCGGATTGAAGAGACCTCCAAGGGAGAGATCCCTTATGCTGAAGTCACATACCTTGTTGGAAGGTTAGATATAGGATCGATGGCTCTTACACAAGACACTTCTTCGGTTTACCGTCTCGCTACCACTGAAGAGTTTGCTGGATCACCCCTGTGTCGTGGGCGACCGGAGCCTGAGTATTATGACCCATACCAACTTGCGAAGGCGCTCGGAGGAAGCAAGTTCGTCCTTGTTCGACCGGACCGCATTGTATATGCTGCTTGTGATGACGCTTCCCAGCTCGAGAAAGAGGTTAGAGAGGCTGTGGCATATCTACGTGCATAAATTCATATTCGTGGAGTTTCTATTGGCGACCTTTGTATTCACATTTGTTCATTTTCATGCAAGATACTGCAGTCAGATATATATGTCATACTACTCATTGTCAACATGCTCTATATACTGTTTCCGTATCAGCCGCTCCAGGGAAGGTTACATAGTAGAGAGAAAGAAGGGGAGGGCTAGCTATGGAACAAATGGATTATATCTCCATGGGTGCCTGATGCCTCACCCCACCCAACAGCTATTTGTCTACAGACTTTTAGTTCCTACGTATGTCACGCATGTATAAATAACTTCTGATTTAGTTCAAACGATTCATTTCAAATACACGGTTCATTAATTCATATAGGATACTTTTAGCGCTACACGAAGTACGTTGTCTTCCGGATAGCCCCATCACCGAGCATACCTCTCATCATCCTTAACATCAGGAAGCAGCAAATTCAAAATCGAGGAAAATAACTGCGAAATTCCCCAGTGACCAGCCCTTGGCAAGATATCCATTAATCCACAGAAAGTACTCGATTCAGCCGTCGTAGGCCGGGAGGCTTTAAATCCATTCGCTTCAAACAGCAACCTTTGATGATCAAGACCTATCTTCTGCAGCTCTGAAAACTCCATATTCTGCTGTGAGTTTGCTGTATCCGATCCAAAGCGCGTATAGCAGAACCAAATCAGTGCTGCGCGGAATATTATTCGCGGGATGTGGATCGGTGGCTCGGTTCCGATATTCTCCTGTTCGAGTTCGCGCAGGATTAGTGCGGCGTGTAGCGCGCAGCGTTGGCCGTCTGGTGATGAGGCCCAGGAGCGGGCGTAGGCTATGTGATTCTGGGACTCGGTGAAGCCCTCTTTGCCGATTACTAGTTCCAGTCGATTTGCGTTGGCGTATAGTGAGAAGAAGATCGAGTGCCATAAAACGGGTAGGCAGTACGGATCCCGGCTGTGTTCTTTGTTGGGGCCTATATGCGACTCGTAGAAGGCCATCAGATTGTCCTCGCAGTACTGTCGCTGGGTTGGGCTATTTGTGTTATTAGCTTCGACTGCGGATGTACCGAGACCTTCGAGCTCAAGATAGGCGTGAAATCCATTGCTGGAAAGGGGGGATAATTGTAGAGGCGCCTGATCGGCTGTTGTGTCCGGTGGCCGCGACTGGGTTTCATGCATCCTTGAGTCCGGTAGGCGGCTCATTATCGTTCCGCTCCAGACTTCTACTGTTGTTGCAGCCCACAGGTCATCATCAGACAGTGGTGGGAGCTTTTCTGGTGAATGTCGCAAATAGGTGTCTGTCAAAAACAGTTCTGAGATCTCGACATCATGAACATGAATTCCTGCGAGTAGCCTTGAGCCGAGACTTAGTAATTTGAATATAGCTTAATGTTTTGTTCGGCTCACCGGTTCTGTTCTTCTGCCTGAATCCACCTCTTCCAGGCCTTTTGTGGTGCGTGGAAGACCTCGCTCAAGCTGATATAGTCAGATGCTCTCTTGCATTTGGATAGAGTTGCTCTCTTAGCCCACTAGTGAATTTGTTAGTACGTCCCAAGCCCAAAGGCGAGGTAGTGCATCAATTACCACAAGCAGAGTGCCATGAAATGTCTGTGCAATGAGTAAATCCTTTTGTCTCTGATCATGCCTGTTAGCTATTGACCAACACAAGGATATGCAGTCGCCTCACCCCGGATAAAAGTCCGAATGTCTGACCTATGAGAGCCGCCTGGATCAAGGCAATTGTCTCAGGTCCTTGTCTCGAGAAGTATTTTTCCCACTATATGAAGTTAACTAAAGTCTCATAGAGATCGAGGTTGACGGACGAACCGACGACAGGATCGCTTTATTAAGGGTCTCAAACACTTTGACACCTTTCGATGCAGCATGTGAAGATCCTACAAACAGGCTTCCAATGGAGCAAATGGATAGCAGCAGCAATGAGCTTTTAGCAGACGGCCGGAAGGTTGGCGCATGTACGATTGGAAACACGGGATGGAATTTCGTGAAGTACATTTGGATGCATATATTCTATTTGATTAGCTGAGAACAGGAATCAAGGGGGAAGAATAAGAACCCACCAGAAAGTCCGTGGAGGGAAGTGGTAAGAAGGGCATATGAGGCTGGAGCTTGACCGCTAGGCTAGCTCGGTATGCTTCATCCACCTGTGTTGGCTCCGGACCCGTGTCCGGGGTAGTGTGTCCCGTTCGTGATATGCCCATGAACGTGTACCAATGTGTTTTTACTAGATCCTCCCTTGATGGAAGTGTATCCTCCACAAGCGGTCGCAAAGTATCGCGCTCGGGCTCATTTTGGTATTGGCCGGAGGTTCCAGGAGGAACCCAGTTAGCAGTTGACATCAAGATCTCCGAGTTTAGAGCACCGAGATCAAAGTCGTCATCTGCAAACCATGCCGGTATTTGGGTACTCGCGTTGCCACAGATCCATGACCCATCTTGGCTAGAATCATGTAGAGACGGATCTAGGCCAGTTAATCGAGATTGGGAACCTGGTGTCGGGAGCCCGGCCACTGCTCCGTCGAAATTTGACTGCGCCGATTCTTCGACATTCGAACCGACCACAGTCGGGTGTTGTGCCGGGTTGGTAAGTGAATGAAATGCCGATCCGGGATGACCAGCATGTGGATACCTCGATCCAAATGAGGAAAGACGGTCTGGAGATGTAGGAGCCTCATGGGCGCCTATTGAATATTCGTTGTTGAATGGAGAGACTTGCTCATCGTGGCGATTCAGTGGCGGGTGTATGGCATCATTTTCTGTGCTGTGGGCCGCACTAGTAGAGGGAATAGCACTGGATGATCGATGAGATCTTGAATGCCGCAGAAGAGAATCACTAGAAGCTCAGTCAGTGTCAAATTAATCAAGGTAGGTATACGGCATGACACGTACTGGCGACTAAAGGCTTTTTTACATATGGTACAGACGAACGGTTTCTCTCTGGTGTGTGTCCTAACATGCCGTGCCAAGTGCTCATCCTTAGTAAATGACTTGAAACACCAAGAACACAAGCGCTGGCGACGAGTGCGGGAACGTTCAGCCATGATGTGGTTATCATTTGGGGGGGGGGATGAAGGATGAAGAGATGTGGCGGGGATCGGGATATCGGAGGTGGGAAAGTCTGGGGTCAGTGTGGGGATGCACCCCAAGATTTCTCCAGACTGAGGATATTCGACTCTTATTAAGCTCTTTGGGCTCGTGAAATAACTCGCAATCTTGTTTAAGCTTTGCTGATTTTGGTTACAGCTTCACATTCTATCCGGTCGACGTTCTTTGTACCCCCGTTGCGCGTAGTCCCGCATTTTCGGTCCCGCATTTTCGTGGGACCTAAAGGGTAAACAGATCCTTAGTGACGATCAATGGCGAGTTGACAAATCAAATGCTTGATTAATCACTGGTGCTTCAACTCTATCTTTACTGGTGACTTCAACAATGGCTATGGTTTGTGGGACCCCATATACCCCGGGTCTGGGGTAACTGGGGAAGTCTCATCCTGGGGTTGGTAGTTACCCCAGCTCACCCTTGATTTAAGATGCAATTATGTTTCGACACGGCGCTTCTTTCAGATTTCCTCCACTGCTTTCCTTTCAGTTTCCTTCCAGTTAAATTCATCAACATGACTGGAAAAGAGAGTCCTCCCATTGACCGTACCACCGTGATTAACATGGACCTTATTCCTGGAACTGAATTAATGAGAGAGGGGGAGGGAGTCCATCTGACAAACGGATTAAAACACGATATACAGTAAGGAATATGCAGGCAATGATTTGGCCATATTGGTACTTATTCTATTGGATAGGCTTATCCCATGTCCCTCAGATGACCCTGCAGACCCCTTGAACTGGTCCAAGCCGTGGAAGTGCAAGTAACCCGTCCGATGTCTTGAAGGGTAGAAGCTAACTAAAATCTCAATCACACAGATCTAGTTATTACAACCCAATTCCTCTTTCTATTCGTATCCGTGGAGTCAGCACTCTCAATGGGACCTATGTTTCCCCTGTTCGCCGCTGAATTCCACCTCAACGACACGCAGCTGAGTTTGTTGACTGGAGCTTGTGTTCTCGCTCTTGGCTTTGCAAATTTTATCATCGTTCCCTGCTCGAATACCTTTGGACGACGCTTGACAAGTCTCATCTTTTGCTTGCTCGGCATTACTTCGTGTATATGGCAAGCTTTGGCTACCTCATATACCAGCATGCTCGCTGCCCGTGTTATAAATGGGATTGCTACGGCTACCAGTGAGACACTCTTGGTACAAGTTGTGGCAGATATGCTCTTTCTCCATGAGAGGGGTCTTTGGACTGGTGTTTACTTGTGAGTATGACCCCTATCACTGTCATTTTTTATACTAATCTTCTATCAGCATGGGCTACTTCCTCGGTCTTTTCATTGGCCCTGTCATCTCCGGTAATGTTGCGCAAAGGTATGCCATTTGAGCTCAAGCCGGTCCAATCTTTGAATGTACACAGCTCACTTTATATCATAGATACGGCTGGCGTAGCTTCTTCTGGCTCTCTCTAGCGCTGACTTGCTTCAACTTCATCACTCTCTTGATCTGTTTCCCTGAAACCCGTTTTCGCAGGGACTCAACCTCAGAGTTCTCGAAGCACAGAGCAACTAGGTCCTCCGGCCAAAGCATCAAACAACGGGACGCAGAGGTAGAATCTGAACAACTCGAGAACATCGAGCGAGCCATTACCGTTGGCACTGGCCGGCCCTCTAAGTCCCAGTTTAAATTGTGGCAAGCCCCGGAAGCGGCATGGAAAGCAATTCTTCTACGGGATATTATCACGCCATTCCGCCTGTTTTTCTTTCCTATTATCCTCTGGGCGGGGCTGAACGTCGCCGGACCAGCAAATATCCTCCTTTTCTGGAACCTTACGGAATCTTCTGTCCTCAGCGCACCCCCATATAATTTCTCGCCATCTAGTGTGGGATATGCGAATTTCGCATTTGTCGTTGGCGGCTTGATTGGACTTGCTACCGCGGGCCCGCTCTCGGATTGGGTTGCTGTGCGCGCTACAAAGCGCAATAATGGCATTCGAGAAGCAGAGATGCGGTTGCCAGCTCTTATTCCCTATCTCTTTATTACCGTTGTTGGTATTGTGGTTGGTGGCGTGGGCTATGATCGGCTTTGGGATTGGCCTGTGGTCCTGGTTGTTGGGTATGGCTTCAGCGGGGTTTGCGTGACCGCCGTTCCTACAATCGCCATTGCCTATGCTGTTGATTGCTACAAACCCATTTCTGGGGAGATCATGGTTGTTGCAACTGTGGTCAAGAATACTTGTGGTTTTGTGATGAGCTATTGGGTTATGCCTATGGCAGCGCGAAGGGGCTTTTTGGCGCCTGCCATGGTTGAGTTCGCGCTGACGATAGGGCCGATGGTCCTGGGACTTCCGATCTATTTCCTTGGAAAGCGTCTGCGCAGGTTGACGAGAAATTCGACTGTGTACGCGTATGGAAATTGATTGTTCAAGAGGAAATACACGGATTGTTATTGCAAATGTACAAAGAATGCCAAGTACGATATATACATTGCGTTTGGATACTCAGTCACTCACTATCTCCAACTATAACTCCCATATATCTGATCTATTACCAATCATCCCACATGCAATCAATTGTCGAGACTGCCCTGAAAAGGGCTGGCAAGCCAGGTCACCGCGTCAAATCGAGATTTATCTCGGCAACTTATATCACTGTAGGCTTGCAATTGCGAAATTTCCACTTCTGTCGTTCTCAACCTCACTCGACGCTAAATTTGAATTTGGGGATTCCGGAAGATTTATTTCAAGACAATTCACCCCTGCTACCTATTATTGTGTTCATCTCGTGCATCGATCTTGAAGTGGCCCCTGCCAAGCACTGCTGTCAACAACAGCTGACTTCCTACTTACTCAACGTTTGTCGAGTTTGTAGTGTGCAATAGTCAACATACGTCTAGGATCAACCAATTCACTCGATTTTCACAATCACATTTTCTGAAGGGCATCCGTTTCCTCACTCTACTATGACGAGAGCTCAGAAATGTTGAATCGGCCTCTAACACCATCGAAAATGGGCAGCCTCTCAATTCTTCAACGCCGCCACACTTAATTGCGTTTGCCTGTCTTGTTCTGGTCTAAACCCAGCTATATTCAATCATTGCTCTTAGAATAATACTTACGGCCTCTGGGAGCTATATGTCCTCCAGGAACTGTACCTGTCGCCTGGGAGCGAGACAGTTTGTTCCTGGGCTCTCTACCTTGCATCCTGGAGCCACCTCCATCCATTCACGGGGCCCTATAGTTCTCTGGGAATTGTAGTTATGCTTCCGAATGCACATGGGTCGTGCGGGGGAACTCTATAGGGGCAAGATGATCCAAGAACCGCTACAGCATGACTTCCGTAGACTACTAAAAGGTAGGCAGGGCTAAAGCAAAGAGATTTCCTCTAACCTCGTATATAGAAGGTTACTCGGACTATAGCTTTAGAGCATATCATAATAAAACAGGACGTATTAGCCATAGGCTATTCGGAAATTAGTTAAGCCGAGAGTTGGCGTGACTCTGAAAAGCATTCAGAGTACCCTTATCGATAGTGTTCTGACTCTGCCGGGTTTAACAGTCGAGAAAGAATATAAGCGTCGAATTGCTGCAATCATGTAGTAATTGCGGTCTGTGATGCAGAAGAAGGTGCTCCCTCGCGGCCTCGTGCCCCGCCAAAACGCACCGAGGTTGAATAGTGGCATAGGCGTAGAATAGTAAAGCGAATAATGTGGCCCTACTGTGCATTTGCCTTCCAGGTGGAGGCACAACAACCAGGATCGACCGCCAAATTGATGACTCCAGCCTTTCGTTGAGAGGACAACGATCAAGAGTGCTGGGTGAACGACTGCATTTGGATGGGGCTAGCGTGGTGCATTTTATTGAGGTGACCTACTCACTTAGCTACTCTCCCACTTTGCTCAGGCTGCTCAGGTGGCGCCCAGTGAGCAACTTGGGCTTATATAATAATCATGTGATGCTCAGTGAGCCGGTTTTACGATTACGAACACTCAGGGGCGTGCTCAGCTTTACTCAGAGAGCAAAAAGCGGCAAGGGGTTAGCACTAAAACGGAAAGGGAAATCCATCTCGCTCGGCCTAAAATCCGGTGTATATGTAGCTACATGCTCTAGCTATTTGAACATCTTCTCATATCTTTAAAACATCCAATAATTATCGTGTCTTAGTAGAGCTCTACTAGAGCTCTGCCCCGGACTCCGCGTAGCTTTCCCGCAACAACCCGCTGATCCTTGTATCTCTCTTTCCAAGGTTTGTCCTTTTTTTCCTCATTCTTTATACTCTGCATACTCCGGAGACTCCGTACTTCACAAATGTTCTCTTTCAAACTGGTTTCCCCCAAGTTCGATGATAAGCGATAAGCTTCAGTCTGCCGATATAGGCCCGCCCCCCCTTGCCATATCTTGGAGTCATCACTCCACCTTAACACCCCTCTATGCGAACATCTTGCTTACGGACTGTCCCTCTATTCTGTTATTTACCTTAATACTCCCCCTTCCATCAAAACCGCTTGAGACTGCACACACACCCAACCCGCTTGGTTGCGAGCTGCGTCATGGCGGGGATGGAGCCCCGCAAAACCCCTCCGGAGTACTTCCTGGAGATCTTCGCCGACACCACCCATGTGCGAGATGTACTGAAGGGTTAGTCGTGAGCTGGGGATACTATAAGGATGTTCTTAGTACTAATGCTTCCTGCCAGGTGTCCTCAACCTCATTTTCTTCCACCGTTACTTCCCTTCAATTCGGCCAGTCACCTTTGACGTGCTGGACTTCACACTCCCCGCTATAAACGATGCAGATCTAGAGACACTGATTGAATCGCGGATATCCACTCTGGTCCGGCAGCACCTGTCCTCCGCAGCCGGCGGGCAGGATGGCCAAATTGTCGGTGGAGGCGGGGGTGTGCGAGGGCGAATCGCAATCGAGTTCTACGACAAGAAACGGCGTCGTTCGGGGCACTGGTTTGGCGGACTGACAGGGAAAGGCGAGGAAGAGGTATGCTGGGAGATTTGGACACTTGATGTGACAATCGCAACACCGCGCACTGAGTCCGGTATGTACAGTCTCCGGTTACCTTTATCCAGAGCTAATTTGGTTACAGAACGAGCCAAGGTGCGCAAGGCCATGGGAAATATGCTGCAAAAGGCAGCTTTAAAAATCTTGAGCGTCGTCAATCGAGACAAAGATCATATCCCGCCCATCACCACCAGCGACTCCAACCCATTCCCCTATAGGATTGTAGTCAACCCTCGTGCTGACGGCTGGGGCAATCGCATCGGTCTCTACTGAGCTATGCAATTTGACTCAGTGCTTGGACTATACATCTCGGAATTGTCAAGTCTGATACGTTCCCACTCCGATTATTGTTCAACCAACCGGACACGTTGCGCTTTTTCCCTCAGTGGAACATGGCCGCGGGCGATCGACCCCGATACGATTTACGAAATCTGTCAGATATTATAAAAAGGGCTATTACTATGAGCCTACGAAATCCTTATGTGATGTGCTTGGGCTTTCAAGCGATGCTGTACGGTGTTCAGTGTTTAGGTGTTTATTCTTTTGGATCCATGAGAGGGCTGGGCTGGTTCTTTTTACGATGCGGCGTAAGTACATATTGATCTTTCTTTATACTCAATTACAAATATCAATGCGAACATCCTAGATTGGAACATCTGTTGAACCCTGACGAGACATCATAGACCAGAAAGGTGTAGGATCTGGGTGTACAACGTCTCTTCAAGCAAATCATCTTGGTATTTGTTTTGAAGTATGAAAAGAACATCATACAGAAGCTCCGTCCTGCATGAAAGCCTGCATGTTGTCAGCAAAATGGTACCACTGGGCCAATGATATTCCATCTGATCCCCCAACACCCAATATTTAGCCGCAAATACAACTGCCCCTCCATGCAGTATGCCAGTACCCAATGCAAACCAAAGAAGCATCACATTGCTCCAAGCAGAAGCCGACGATGGCAACGAAAGCGATTTCCAACTTCTGATAAACGGGCCAGTCAGGTATATCACCGTGCTTCAGCCCATCTCTAGCCTCGATTCTCCCCGATCTTCCTTCAGGCGATTGGAACGATGTACTACTAGTGACCAAACACCCAGAAACCGGCGAACCATACTTTGCGCGCGCCACTCGAACCTCGTTTCCTGGGGTTGGGAATACATGGCGTAACACATAACACTTTTGTTGATTACATGGATCTGGGAAAGAGTAGGAGACTTCATACGGGCATTTACGAAGTCGCATGTCCCCAATTTGAAGAACCTGTCGTTGTCAAGTTTGCTCGTTTTGATTGGGAAATTGGATACATCGAGGGCGAGACTGCTGCCTACTAGTTGATTGAGAGTTATCACATCGGTCCCCTGTTCCTGGGCCATCTCACTGAAGATGGTCGTGTTATTGGTTTCTTGGTGGGTCTATGATACGAATCCGGGTTTGGGATATTGACCGTGTGGTCATTAATGCCGAGGCCCGCGGCTTGGTCGACTTCATGCTGCTGCTCCTCCAGAAGGGAAAGACGCTGGTTGATGTTGGTTTGCTGCCAGACCACCTTCATGCGTTGCAAGGCACATATTGAGAAGGACTATCGTATTGATCGAATCAGTAGATATGTGAACATTATCGATGGATTGCCGGTGATATGATATGCATGGGATATGAAATAACATGTACTGCTGTGTGGTTTCGACAGAAGGTGCAAATATTTCAATCGATAGAATGAGTAGTCAACAAGTAGCAACCCGTCCCGGTATAACCCCAAGCCTGTGGCTTGGTCAAGCATCTGGACTCGTGTGGCGTCTGTGGGGACACAGCTCGATGGCGCATAGGATGGTACCCGGAAGATACATAGAAATGACGTAGATCTCGAACATCTGAAAATAACTGCATCCAAATTCGCAATGTACGAACTAAACTAATCCACTCGAGAGTAACAAAATGGCAAGAACCAAGATAAAAACGTTCTCATATTCAGCGAATATCCAACCCCGGACCCGTGGCAACATTTCTCGGGCCCTCTCTATTTCATGTTCCAGCTATTGCACTGCTCCTATTTAATCGTAGCAACGAAGCTTTGAGCCAACGGCATCACTTCGTGCTTAGTACCACGCCGGGCACAGAGAATCGGATCCGCGACCCGCGCTCAAGCAGGTTCCGCAGATCTTCTATTGTCGATGCGATTCTCGGTTGAGGGGTGAGACTACAACCCTTTAGTTGGTGTGGGGCTTGCTCGCAGCCTCGGCCTGGGCGCGGAGGTTGGAGGAGGTACCGCTGCTGGAGAAGAAACGGCCAAGCACGGGCTGGAGGAAGGAGTTGAAGACAATTTGGGCACCGCTGTGGAAAAGGTCAGCTACCGGTCTCAACTTGGTCATAAGATAGTAACATACCCAGTCTGGGGAAGAGCCATCCACATGATCAGGACGAACTTGAAGATGTAGTAGAAGGCTGCGATTAGTTAGCGAGATAGTAGGGAAGATTGGCATCTTGTGAGCACATACGGAACCAGTAAGCGGCGCTGATGGCGCTCTCAATGACAGTCAGGAAAGCGAAGACAACCCAGTACTATCAAATCATATGTTAGAATCACTGGTCGTGTGCAAGCGGGTAAGTTGTCACGTGGGTGGTGTATGATAACACCGAATCGGCGGTGATTTCATACATCCGCACGTCCGCGAAAACAAGGTGGTAGAATCATGTGAACATACCGTGAGCCACTGTGAGAATGAAGAAAGAGAAGTCAGCGATTTACGCATGGAAAAGGACAAGTTTACAGAAAAATCTTACCTGAGTGTCATCCTTGGTGGATGAGGTGAAAAGCGCCTGAAGGGAGTAGTAACCGGGGACCAGGAAACCGGCAAAGTTGACGAGGAACTCGCCAGCAATGTTGAAGAAGACTAGGAAGAAGTAGACTCCGACAAGGCCGAGGATGACATAGACCTTGGGGACATTGGTCTGACGCTCAAGGTTGGCAAGGACAGGGTACTTGGAGAGCTACAAAACCACAGATGTCAGCTCAAAATCATAACCATGGATAGCATAGTGAAGTGGGTATCAAAAAATGCGATTGCAGTCGCTTTTTCTGTGGTCGCGGGCGTTTGGGAGCATTGCAACCCTCAGGCGAGGGCTAGAGCTGAGGCGCCAGCGAAACACACACAATGGCTGGAAACGTACCTCCTTGTCGAGCTGAGCAATAGAGTGCTGGGCACGCTCCTGGAAAGAGGCCATTTTTGCTTATAAATGGTATTTGTGGGAAAACAAGTCAAAGAACTATTAGGATGACAATGGAGCGAGGGATGGTGAGAATGCAACTGGTTGAGCTGGCGGCAAGAAGCCAGAGGCTAGCTTGTGTGTATCACGTGATATGCATGACGTATCCGTCCAACTGCAGGTGCCATGTGAAGCTGCATAAAGTAAATCGTTATTGGTTTGATATACTATCATATATCACTACCTTGCATCAGAAGATCTAGCCCTAGAGGCCATGCAGATATGATCACTTGGATCTCTAAAAAATACTGTCTGCTAGAGTGCCTAACTGAGGGGCTAAGGCAAACATATGACCTTGGAATGTAGGCGAGTTTTAAGCTTCAAAAATACCAGCCCTGGATCAATGTACCTTGAAACAGAGATCTCACATGTAACATATTTGAAGTTGAATGTATCAGAGACCAGTCCGCTTTCCTCCCCACAAATCTCCCGAGGTACACAGTCATACATCCTACACATGACGTACGCGGCTTTCTTAAAGATCATCATGACCGGTTTGTTGCCAGGTAAATATGTAGATTGGACCCAGCCTGTTTGTGTTTCGAATAATTTCTTTTTTACTTCCATCATGAAACCGGGGAGAGTTCCTTTGTGGGCCTCCCCTGCAGCAGTTGGTCCGTTCGGGTCTTTATGATGCATTCTTCTCCCGAGGTCCCGCCTATGAACGTTGACCAATTATGGAATACATACACTAATTCCCTCAAGTACTCTTTAACACTGAGGTATCACTTTGATTTTGAAAAAAAATTAAAAAATTACAGATGCTAAGTACCTTCAAACACAAGTGACCTCTGGATGTTTCAAGGTCCTGATACCTCGGTAGTCACGTGACCAGTGTTTATAGGGGCTCAGGCAAAAAAAAAGATTTAACGCAAAAAAAAAGGTGCCGAGTAAAATCAGAAATCAAACATTGCCGAGACACTTACAGTTAGTGCCTGACCGCCAGAGACGATCTCGGAATATGATGTGATTGGAAGGGGCTAAAAAAAGAGAGAGAGTTCAGGAACAAGCCCTGACAATTAGGCTAACTCCAGACTTTCTCCTTCGAAAAAAATTCATTAACATCTTTACTTTATTATGGGTTGATACTCTTCAGTGGACCCTCGAATCCCCGTGCACGAAAAGGCGGGCCATGTAACCGCATCCTCCGCGTACCCTTCTAAGCTCTTCCATCGGACCTTGAGAGCTACAATTGAATATTGAAATTTAACGTGATTTAGCCAATTTATTTCTTGAGACCGTTATCTATACCACGTGGGACGATCCACAACCTTTGGTCCTCGAGAGCTATTCCGATTTCCCCATTCCCCGAAATACTACACTTTTCTCAATGCGGCCACAGTGAGTCTACGAATACTCCTGAGTGTTATCCAATTCTAATTGTTTGCTTTCCTTTAGACGTGAATACCATATTGTTGTGTTGGGTGCTGGTAGGAGCTTCTCCTGAGATATTCCCATAGGTCACAGGCTGACCGCAGGCATTCCCATGCGACGCGATAACAGGTGGTGTCGGAAAAAGTTGCTTAACAGGTTCGTTCCCTGTGTTTCCTGCTCCGCCCTGAGTCCTTAGGCTGATCAACAATCACTATCCAGCCCAGTTCGTTCAAAATGTTTGGATCGAAAGCTACGACCCCACGATCGAAGATTCATACCGGAAACAGATCGAGGTAGACGTAAGTTGTCTACGATGTGTTGGAAATTCCTCAACCGTTAACCAAGCTTAACAGGGTCGACAATGTATACTGGAGATGTGAGTAACTCGGTGGGTTGGGTATGGCATGATGCTAAAATTTCGGAAGTCTTGATACCGCAGGAACAGAACAGTTCAGTAAGTTTCCCTCAAATCAGCACATCTACTAGTGGAATCAAAGCTAACAACCCACAAGCTGCAATGAGGTAAATCTAGGCAATCCACCACGACGATCAATGCCGGGGACCGACCCCGAGCAAAGCACACCATACTAACAACACCCTCCACAGAGAGCTCTACATGAAGCAAGGCCAGGGCTTCCTCCTCGTCTTCTCCATCACCAGCATGTCCTCCCTAAACGAACTCTCCGAGCTCCGCGAACAAATCATCAGAATCAAAGACGACGAAAACGTCCCAATCGTGATCGTGGGCAATAAATCCGACCTGGAAGAAGACCGCGCTGTACCACGCGCCCGCGCCTTCGCTCTATCCCAGAAATGGGGTAACGCCCCATACTACGAGACATCTGCCCGCCGCCGCGCAAACGTCAACGAAGTATTCGTCGATCTATGCCGCCAGATCATCCGCAAAGACTCCGAGGGCTCAAGCAGCAGCAGCGATAAGCGCGAGGGCCCGAATCGCTATGACCGCAAGAGAGATAATCGCCGGCCGAAACATCGCCGTGGACCGTGCGTCATCCTTTGATTCAACAATTCAAGGGGCCCTTTCTCTGACTGGGCGACCTTGTCTTGTTTCATTTTCATGCGATACGAACCCCCCTCTGCGACCTATGCTCCGCCGACGCTGCTATGCATCTTGACATGTCATGTATGACTGATGTTCTTTCTATATATGTTGCCGATATGTCTACGCCTCTTCTCCCTATAGAACCATGCTTCGCTGCTACCTTGTATCTTTTCTTTTGGGCTGTACACAATTGGTGTCATCCTCTTTTTTATATTCGACATATTTGGGGTTTGGTTGATCTTGACTCTAAAAAGATTGCTTTCACGAGATGGAGAAAAAGTGCTTTCTTTTCTTTTGGTCCTGTTGCTGTTATCGCTCGGTTTATAGGCTTGCGCTAGATCTTTTGAATGTTGGGCATGTGGTTGAACCCTTCGCCGTCAACATAGAGAGGCGTGAAATTATAGTACCGGATCTCATATGCGATCCGAACTCTTGTCATTGATGAGCTCCTTGGACCGCGCCGTACAGTTCTAAAGGTTACTAGACTAAAGAACAATCGCCTGAAGAGGCCTGTAAACTACATAATTTGATACAAGGTTACTATTCATTGCATATTTCCATTTGACTATTCCAAAATGTCATATCAAGTCAATGGCACAGGAACATACCTTCCATTCTATGTTTTCTTGGAGTTATCCTGGATGACAATTTGCATACCACCTATCAACCCGTCGACGCCCTACATTCGGAAAACGCCAAACCTGGTTTGCACATCTGGCTCAGTCTTGCCACTGAGCGCAGCTGCTAGACCCAATCCCAGCATTTTTCTCGTTTGAGACGGCGGGATGATACCATCATCCCACAAACGAGCCGACGAAAAGGTCGCTTCAGATTCACGGTCAATGCGTTCTTTCAAAGCTGGATCAGCAGATCGTCCAACAGCCTCCATAACAGCAGAGAGTTGCTCAGAGCCCATAACGCCGATCTTAGCGTTAGGCCACATGAAGAGAAGACGAGGTGAGTAGGCACGACCACTAAAGCAATATCAGTTAGAAAAGCACTAGAGGCAGCCCATGGATAAACTTACCACATTCCGTAATTACCAGCACCAGCACTCGATCCAAATACAACAGTGAACTTGGGGACATCGGCACACGCAACAGCAGTAACAAGCTTAGCACCGTTCTTCGCGATGCCGCCTTTCTCGGCATCAGCGCCGACCATGAATCCCGAGATATTCTGCAAGAAGACAAGAGGAATCCGCCGCTGAGCACAGAGCTCAATGAAGTGCGCTCCCTTGAGTGAGGACTCCGAGAACAAGATTCCATTGTTGGCAACTATGCCGACACGGTGGCCGTGGATGCGGGCGAAGCCTGTTACCAGGGTCGAGCCATAGTCGCGCTTAAACTCGGCGAATTCACTCCCATCGACAATTCGCGCGATGACTTCGTGGACAGGGATCTGGCGGCGTAGATTCGTGCCAACGATTCCGTTGAGCTCATTGGGGTCGTACAGCGGTTCTTTCACGACAAGCGAATCTCCATTACCGTTCTCCAGCTGGAGCGGAGTTGTCGTAGTAGGGTAGTTGAGATTAGCGACCGAGCGGCGAGCAAGGACAAGAGCGTGGGCATCGTCGACAGCTAGGTAATCCGTTACACCAGAAATGCTCGAGTGCAGCTGACCGCCACCCAAGTCCTCGGCGGAAACCTCCTCACCCGTCGCGGCCTTGACGAGAGGCGGGCCTGCCAGGAAAATAGTACCCTGGTTCTCGACAATGATGGTCTCGTCGCTCATAGCAGGCACATATGCACCACCCGCTGTGCAGGGACCCATGACAACGGAGAGTTGTGGAATACCGAGGGAGCTCATGCGGGCCTGGTTGAAGAAGATCCGGCCGAAGTGATCGCGGTCAGGGAACACATCTGCCTGGTGAGGCAGATTTGCGCCACCAGAGTCAACGAGGTAGATACAAGGGAGGCGGTTCTCTTGCGCAATTGCCTGTGCGCGGAGGTGCTTCTTCACTGTGATGGGGTAGTAGGTGCCGCCCTTGACGGTGCTATCATTCGCAACGATCATGCAGTTGACACCCTCGACCATTCCAATACCGGTAATGATACCACCCGCTGGAACATCCTCGCCTTCGTAGACCCCGTGTCCTGCAAGTGCTGATAGCTCTAGGAAGGAGGTGCCTGGATCGACTAGGGCGGAGATCCGGTCTCTTGGGAGCATTTTTCCGCGGGCGATATGTTTCTCACGCGCTTTATCGTTTCCTCCGCGTGCAATTGTCGTGTGTAGGCTGTTCATCCGGTCTAGGAGTTCTTGCATCTGTTCGGTGTTTTCGCGGTACTCCTGCGAGGAGGTGTCCACCGCCGTGGGGAGAACGGATAAGGCCGAGGCATGGTGAGGATGTGTATAGCTTGCTACTGTTCTATAAGCTGGTCGTGTAATCTTTGTTGACTGGCAGAATGAACTTGGTAGACATTTGCGTGGTCCGAGTCGTGAGCCCCAGCTCCGAAGGACGAGCGGGGACGCGGCACGCATTGCGGGGGAAAGGGTGGAGTATGTAAGTGGTTTTGAGATGAAGATGGCAGAGCACACCCCAAGTCAAAATGGAGAGGAATGGGTATATGAGTTTTCCGAAGTATTTAAACTTGTATGAATAGTGGCAGAAGAGAAGCGAGGCACAAAGCTGGGGTAGCCCCAAATGCGGAGGTGCGATGATTGCCGCTTCTACCCGAGGCCCATCATCATCATAAGAAAACTAAGACGTATCTACCTAAAAAGATGTTGGACAATTGAGGCGAAGAAAGCATAGAATAGACAAATCAATTAGCCTGTAGATAGATCATAGTATCGGAAATCCAGAAACGTGAAGGCTTGCACGTTCTAAGGTGGGAAACTAATAGTATAACAAGTCCTTGATTCCGCACCGAGGACTACCGCCCCCTCCCTTTCACACATATTTAAAAGGTCCACTTCCCCAAAGACAATACCACCCGGTTTTCGCATTCTACATCGATTCTCTTATACAATCATGGCATCCCTAGCCCTCCCCCCCTCCTTCGCACATCAACGCGCGCGGTGCGGTTGAACCGCATCCCCGCATTCACCCCATGTTTCCGCTCCATCTCAACAAAGCACCCCACAGGCTTTGTACCTCCGTCCGAGGAAGATCTTCTAGAGCTTCGAGAGCGTGTGCAGGATTTCACAAGTACATTCCACATGCTCTTGCCCAAACCGCATTTCTAACATTGCTGTAGGGCGAGAGATCCCAGCCGATGTTGCTGCACGGACAGATGAACAGAACGAGTTCCCAGCGGAGATGTGGAAGAAAATGGGTGATGCTGGGTAAGTATTCTCAAGTGGTTGACTCTCTTCTGAAAGAAGGAGTGTTACAGCGCCCATACTGACACATATGAAGGTTTCTAGGTGTCACGGCAAATGAGGAATACGGTGGCTTGGGGATGGGCTACCAGGCACATTGTGTGGTGATGGAAGAGATCAGCCGAGCATCCGGTAGGTTTTCCCGTACATCTTCGTTGGAAATATTGATCTAACCTTGATTCTGGATAAAAAGGAAGCATCGGTCTCTCCTATGCCGCCCACTCCCAGCTCTGCGTGAACCAGCTCTCCCTCAATGGCTCGGCGGAACAAAAAGAGCGCATTCTTCCCGGCCTCCTATCAGGCGAGAAGGTCGGCGCTCTTGCAATGTCGGAACATTCAGCTGGCTCCGATGTAGTCAGCATGAAGACCACGGCGAAGGAAGTTGATGGAGGCTGGCTCTTGAACGGAACCAAGATGTGGATTACCAATGTAAGTCGTTTTTGTGGTATATATGAGATTAACAGGTTTCTTCCTCACTGCTTACACTTTCTTACAGGGCCCCGATGCCGATTACATTGTCGTGTACGCCAAGACAGAGCCTGAACTAGGCTCCAAAGGTATCACAGCGTTCATAGTTGAGAAGAACTTCAAGGGCTTCTCCTGCGCACGTAAGCTAGACAAGTTGGGCATGCGTGGCTCTAACACAGGCGAACTCATCTTTGAGGATGTTTTCGTCCCCCGGGAGAACCTCCTGGGTGAGTTGAACCGCGGTGTCCGCGTATTGATGGAGGGTCTGGACTTGGAGCGACTCGTCCTGAGTGCAGGACCCCTAGGGTGAGCTATCCCATTCCGCAACACACCTCTCACATTCTAACACTCGCCAGAATCATGCAAGCCGCACTTGACCTCGTCCTTCCTTACACACACGTGCGCAAGCAGTTCGGTATACCGATCGCCCACAACCAGCTGATCCAGGGCAAGCTTGCGGATATGTACACTAAGCTGGCTGCCTCGCGTGCGTACACCTACGCCACGGCACGGCAGGTAGACAATGCCGCCGAGGAGCCTGGCGCGATGACCGTCCGCACTCATGACTGCGCCGGTGCAATTCTCTATGCTGCTGAGCGCGCGACTGAATGCACGCTTGATGCCATTCAGCTCATGGGAGGAAGCGGGTACATCAACGAGATCCCTGCTGGGCGCCTTCTCCGGGATGCGAAGTTGTATGAGATTGGTGCCGGTACAAGCGAGATCCGTAGGATGGTCATCGGCCGCGCATTCAACAAGGAGTACGCGTAAAGAGAATGATACATGAAATTATTTCATTTGGGAGGATGCTATCTCTTTGGAGAGTATATGCAGATTATTTAGTCGTTGTACATGTCATAAATGGCCCTATATCAAACATTACCAACTACCTATTTCTTCTGCCTAGCGGACCTGCGCACTGGCGGTGCCGCACGCTTCGTAGCCTTGTCACCACCGCCTTTCCGCACCTCAACCCTCTTCGGACGAGGCGACGCCGTGTCCTCATCCGTGTCATCCTTCTGTTCGACCGCCTTCCGCTTCCACCCTCTCTTCAACGGAATCACGACCTTCGGCGGCGAAGACAATTTCAGCGAGCGGAAAGAGTCCGGATCCGGATCAGGAGTTGTATTTGAGGCATCCCCAGCATCCCCAGCATCGATACCCGAGGTATCCGACGACATAACGTCAGACATCTCATCCGAACTATCGAGCTCGTCGTCGGTACCGTCACCAGCGAACATTTCATCGTCAGCCAGCGACGGGTCGACAGGCTTGGATTCAATCACGTTTCGCCTTTTCAGGCGCGATCTATCTAGCGCCGGCTGGGAATATTTGAAGACCTCCCGCCAGTTCTCTAGAAGCGCGACTTTCTCGCCTGTATCCGGCTCATACAAGATAGCGACGTCCAAATCCCGGTCCAGCGCGGGTGTTTTCCACACCACGCCTTGGAAGGAGGTGACATCCGGCATCAAAGGGGATTTCGTCGGCGGGATTCTGGCGATGTGGCTCTTTGGGCGGGAAGATGCCTTCGTTCGTCGTGGTGCTGTCGCTGCGAGCACAGTTCTTTTCTTCCTCTCTGCGCTTTGGTCGACGGTTGCGTCATCATCGTGGTAATCGTCTGAATAATAGTCCCAGTCGCTGAAATAGTCTTCGACATCAATCCCTGGGTCTTCATATAGGGCGGCTTCGTAATATGAGGAAGCGGCGAGATCGTCCTGGACAAGCAAAGTTTTAGTGTCTGAATTGATGGTTTTTTCTCGTGCAGAACTAATAGCGCGAGTCGGCCTAGGTATCGCCTTGAGAATTTAACTTACGACCATGTCTGGGACTAAATCCTCATACATGTAATCATCCTCGAATTCATAGTACTCATCGTCGTCGGACATCTTGGAGTGGATACTGAGGGAAAAAAAGTTGAAAGAGATCGAGTGGCGAGGGATTCAAGGCGTTTTGTTGAATGAATGACAAGACTTGAACGAAAGTGAATCAAGTAAAGGTATGTACAGCGCAAAACAAGGATGCACGGCTGACGTGACGGAATGAAGATCGGACTGATCGTGCATTGAAGAAGATGGCAATCCTGCTAACATAAGCCTTGGCGTTTCCCGATCTATATTGCCTTTATCATATGGACTCATCTTTTTGCTCTGTCTTTGAGAGTCTTGACTACAAAAAAGTCGATGAAAAGGCAGAAATTGGCCTTATATTCAATGAACATCAGATTATACCTAGGGTATGGATGTAGACTCTGCATTCTAAGAAAGCAGAGTAACTAACATGAGGCCTGAGAAACAAGGCATCCATGCAGTTTTCACAAGTTCAATAGAGACATGGATGTTATGCTTCCCTCTTTTTATTCCACTCTAAACTTCTTCTTTTAGGTTTTCTTTGGGTTGTCTCTGTATTGTATGGCTGTCAGGTATCCTGGTCTACATACACTTTTGACTTCGCCTTCCGTTCTGTATACAGCAGCGGCCAACAATTATATCCAAAATATGTGATATCTAGGATTCGGACATCAAAAACTTCATTCACTTTCTAGTTATGATATCACAACTGCTCAGGTGATCTTCTTGGAATGTACTAGCCTATCAAGTGAGTTTGAAGTACTATGCCTTTTACAGTATACACTTCCTTCATCTGGGACCGGACCTCTAAACTATAAACCTATTCATCTCGTAGAACATACGTCGATTACCTGAATAGATGTCGGACGCCATCGAGGTTTGCATCATATCAAGTTATATAAAACACCCTTCTCCCTCTCCCTTCGTCTTTTTTTCTTTCCTTCTACAACCATCCCACACCATGTACTACAGACGCCCCCCAGTGCATCGTCCCCACTGGGATTCCCACCTGTTGAAGAAGATCGAATTTAACAAACCCAACAAGCCCTACTGGAAGAAACTACCTGTATCCTTCAAATTTTGAAAGTTGTAAACCTCATCACCTCGGTGCTTGGGTAGGGGCAAGGGGCCCTAGCCTTTATCCAAGTGCTGAGAATCCGCGGCTCGATATCTGGGTTGGAGGTCATCAGTAAAGGCTGCGGCCCTGCGGTCTTTGCTGGTGGCTGACAACGTGGACTCTCGTGCTATCTTCTTCTCCGCCGGTATTTGGGGAGAGATCAGGGCCCGGGTCTCTATTCAAATGCCGAGCATCCATATTCTTGATACCTGGGTTAGATGTACTGAGTGAAGGCTGCGGCGCCTGCGGACTTCGTTTGGGATAGATAGCTCGGGCTCTAAAAACCTCTCGTTGACTGATACCTAATTGAGTGTTTGAATGAAAATATGTACCCCAGCTGAAGTGGACATGGTGTGGGACTGGATCACTCAAACTTGTCTGTGGAAGTGTCTCTCTCACCCCCATCCAGCCCTGCAGTTTTTCCCACAGGGTTTCCTGCTGGCTGGACGTTCAACCATGTTGAACATCTCTTGGTGAACAACTTCATGCTCAACCGGGAGCATTTCCCACGTGGTTTTCTCCCAGTTTGGCATTCACCACGGTGTCATTGACACCGAAATGTGACTACAGCTCACAACCACTTGAGGCACTCTTTCCAGCTGGGACACTTTCCCCACGCGGGTTTTCCCCCGGCTGGTTTTAACGAGGCCTCGGTTTCGAAACAACAAAACGATATCTTGGAAGTATGGGACGGCTCGACACTGCCGTCTGGAATGGAAAAAGTCTGTTAGAAATTGAACCGATCGAACTGAAGAAGAAATTGGGCGTGGGCTGCCATGTCACCCGATAAGTCCTGAAAAAACAAGAGGACTCAACTCCACATCGAACGGCCCTGAAGAAGAAAATATTCATGGCAGCCCATACCACTCGATGAGTCTGAGGAACCGAACCAAAAGAGGACTCTCAAATGAGCTCCGAAGATGAAATTGGGCAGGGTTGCCATGCCACGCATTTAACCTTGAAGAAACAATGAAGATGAAAATGGGCATGGCAACCCAGGCCACCTGATGAGTCTTGAAACCAGCGGACTCAAGTGCCGTCGAATCGACGAAGAAGCAAGCAGGGGCTGCCATGCCACAAACGAACAACAGACATGGCAGCCCTCTACGAAAACAAAAGAACACAAGAAAAATCACCAATGTCAATATCCAAAAAAAGAAAACCAACAAAACCAAAAATTTGAACAACATCGCCAATATCAATTTCCAACAACAAAATCGATCAAACCACCAAAAACAAGAAAACAAGAAAAGCACAAAAAATCAAGAAAACGGAGGAAATTCAAGGCAAAACAAAGGGAAATTGGAATCAATCTATGTACGAGGTACTCTTTCCAGCTGGTTGTATTTATCCCACTGGGTTTTCTTCCAATTGGTTTTAACGAGGCCTCGAATTAATGTCGGAGATGGATATTGGGATAACTGGACGTCAATTCATGGACTTCAATGTATGGAATGTGTTGCTAGACAGTCTGAGGGAGGGCATGGCACCTCTCTTTCGGGATGTTCAGTGACCAACTCAAAGGGTTAGATAGCTGTTGCTGGATGGTTCGGGGGAGGGCATGGCACCTCTCTTCTGGATTATCTGGCGACCCAAAAAAATAAAATCTGGTGTAATTATTACTTGGGCTCAGTATGTATTATAGATATCGCACCAGACAGACAGTCGTCCTACAGCTGATGGGAGATGTGTCTTGTTTGAGAGTATACTTTTGCAATTCGAAAGCTGCATAAACCTCAAATCTCATGGTGATATTTCAAATATTGCAGTAAAGTTCCCAGATACCTGAGTATCCCAACCAATCCAAGAATGCCTCATTGAGTCCTTGACGCAGAAGTTCATCCCCCATATAGTAAGTTCTCGTCCTCTCCCACACAGCGGTTCCAAGAACACCCTGAAGAGGTTTCCCTAGCCGAATCGTTTCGGTAGATCTCAGCAGGTCCGTCCAATAGATACTCTCCGGCTGCCAACGTTGTTTCTCATCTGTGGCTGATGCAAGTCGCTCGAATTCCGGTAGTGATCGAACAGTCTCCCAAATTCTGGGTGCATCGTAGTATGATGGTCTTCCATACTTCTTCAAAACTCGCTGAGTAAACTCAGGGTCAACCATCTGTCGAGAGGTTCGTCGTAAATAATCAATTTGCTGATCTATAAGAGTTTGTATGTTCTTTCTTTCTTGCGCGGGATCCTCTTCTTTCTCCGTGTTGTCGAGATAATGGGTAATTTCATCTCTCAGTTTTCGCAAACGATATTGTGTCCATTCGGGATAGAGTGAGTTTGTATCCGCATAAGGGCGGACGTTGGTAATATAGCTGGAGTCATAAACGTTTGGCAATGTAGAACGATATGAAGTGATGGTCGTTATCCGCTCTTTCACACCTTTCGCCCGGGCAGCCAGATGACGGACTTCGCCGCCTTGTAGCATGACAGCATGACCAATTTGGGGGCCGTCAACCTTCACAGGTTTGTGTTAGTGAGGGTATTTCAGTCTCAGTAAGATGGATTCTTACATACCTTCTGTGCCTCTCCGTCTCCCTTCTTGATATAAGTTTCTCCTCCAATCATACCCTCAGTATCGCTCAGCATCAATACACAAACGTAAGGATACGAGTCATAGCTTTGGTCCAATTAACATTGCCAGTGTCACAAGCAAGACGGCTAGGGCATGAACTTACTGCCACGGAATGATAGCACTAGCGTCTTTCAAAGGGTTGTAGGTTCGGTCTTCGGGACTCAACTCAAGTTTCCCTACCACCGGCTCAACCTTGAGATTACTGGCCATTTCTGCGATGGTAGTGCCTTCAACTTGAATGTTAGTGTGCCCTATTTCTGTTGGCATCACCACCTCCAGAGGTACACCGACTGCTTCAGACACAATCATCATTGTCTCGGGGTGCGTCCAGAAGTCACTGACAAACTTTGACTGCTTCACCGCATCACGAAGTACCAAAGTCCCTGGGAATGGCGAGCTGGCACATTTGTCTATAACGTCCTTTTGGAATAGGGCCCTTCGGTAGGCTTTGACACCTTCGGTTGACAACAATGGAAATGGCGTTGTTCCTGCGATTAGTGAGGCAGTTGGACTCTGTTTTAGAAGCAAGTCTTGCATTGTAAATTTACTTGAAGGTGGGGTGTAGTTGAGGTGCACCTGTTGGATGAGATCTTAGAGGCGGAGTTTTGTTAAGTGTTGGAGTTTGTCTATATTCACATACTTTTGGATCGAACACCTCCTCCTTAGTGAGCTTTTGGGAAGAGTCCCCAATATATTGCCTCAGCAGGCTGAAAGGATTCATTATGGGCATAATATATAACGCCAACCCAGCAAAGTAATTGCTGTTGGTTTTCAAATTGGAAACCAGAGTTATGATTTAAGAGCATGCAAGATGTAGTTGAAGTCTAAATACATTGTTTAATAGTCGGTGCAACCAAAACTATAGTTACAAAAGTACTTGGCTTGGATTGACTCACTTGGGCAGTACGCTACAGCCCAGATAAGCCCTTCCTATCCAGGAAGGTCTGTCCGGGGTATATCACCAGAGCTGCATATTATAGGATCGCATGCCCACTTTTGAATGTTTGCTGTCCTTTTAAAGTGTGAGCTGGCAATTGAGATCACCCCCATGAGCTATGAGTTTGCTATTATTCCATAACCCTGCTGGACAAGAGATAGATCTACCGTTCTTTGTATCTCCCGAAATGCAACCCAAAGACAAGTTGTCGTCTTCTTTTCGCTTTATCTTATCAAAATTGTGGCCCGATAAGTTGGAAGTCCGACACTGGTCAGTTGGATATCACGGGAGCAGAGATGGAAGTTCCAAGTCTAAACCATAACATAAAATCACTATTCCGGAACTACCAGTACCTCCTAATTTAACAAAAGCGTGATGTTGAAAGGGCGAGGCAGGATAGATGTAGAGGTATGATGTTACATCTTTTCAAATATATCTAGGACATAAGGCTGTTGTTAAAGGAATGGGCATATATGCGTCCTAAGTGATTCACCCCAAGATCCAAAACATCCCAGTTTTCCCATGAAATTTCCAATAGTGTATCACCTGCAATCGCCCTCTCATTCGGGCAGCCATAGAGGATTTTAGCAGACATTGACTGAAAGACCTCGTGACCATCCATTTCCCGAAGCGGTTGATTATGTCATGCTCTCGGCTTTCCCCGCATCTCGCTTTGCGTCGGCTCAACAAGATCTCCAAACCCTTGAGGGTTTTCCCATTCTTTACTTTATCCCTTCGAATATCTCGATTATGCTTACACTGTGATCCAAATTACACTCCATAAAGACCTCATTGCAGCTGGAAAGGCTGTTCTCCCACCATCATGACCCTCTCATCCATTCTCCGCATTACCCCCCGCTTAACCCCGACCGCGGCCCGCAGAACATCGCGAGCTGTATCATCGGTCACTAACACATCAAATACAACCAAACCATTGGATTCTATTCTCATAGCCAATCGAGGAGAAATCGCTTTGTAAGTTGGGCACTGAATGAAGTGGAATTGGTGCTTACTTCGACATGCTAGACGAGTTGGACGCACTGCCGCGGAGCGTGGGATCCGCGTAACAACCCTCTACACCGACCCGGATAGCCGAGCTCAACATGCCTTGAGCTCCCCCTTCGCCTTTAATTTGGGATCTGTGTCAGCATACCTCGATGGTGATAGAATTATTGAGATTGCAAAGAAAGAAGGGTGTCAAGCTATACACCCTGGTTATGGCTTTGTTAGTTGCCTCTGCATATTGACACTCTTACATGGGATGCTAACTCGTAGCCTGATACCCAGTTGAGTGAGAACTCTGCATTTGCGCAAAAATGTACCGAGGCCGGGCTGGTCTTCATTGGCCCGCCCTATAAGGCCATTGAGGATATGGGCGATAAGAGGTACGTGCATTGTGATATCTGAATACTCACTGTGCTTACCATATGTGCCCTACCAGTCGTTCCAAAGAGATCATGACAGCTGCTGGTGTGCCATGCGTCCCAGGCTACCACGGACAAAATCAAGACCCTGCCTTCCTCGAGGAGCAGGCAGACCAGATCACATACCCAGTGCTTATCAAAGCCGTCAAAGGAGGCGGTGGAAAGGGCATGCGTATTGCTAGTTCCAAAGCTGTGTTTCAAGCTCAGCTTGAGTCGGCTAAGTCAGAGGCCATGAACTCATTTGGAGATGACAATGTTCTGGTGGAGAAGTATATCACCACACCGCGACACATCGAAGTCCAGGTATTTGCAGATAAGCATGGTAACTCCGTTGCACTAGGAGAGCGAGACTGCAGTATTCAACGGAGACACCAGAAGGTTCTAGAGGAATCTCCAGCGCCTCATCTCCCCGATGCAACTAGAAAAGACCTCTGGGCAAAGGCACGGGCGGCTGCAGAGGCCGTCGGCTACGAAGGTGCCGGTACAGTGGAGTTCATTTTTGATAATGACTCTGGGGACTTCTACTTTATGGAGATGAATACACGCCTCCAGGTCGAACATCCCGTGACGGAAATGGTCACAGGACAGGATCTTGTCCACTGGCAGATTTTGGTGGCTGAAGGAGCCAAGCTCCCCCTTACGCAAGAAGAGGTGGAAGAGCGTATCGCCCAGAGTGGACATGGCATTGAGGCCCGAATCTACGCCGAAAACCCAGCGCTAGGATTTATTCCTGACTCAGGGCGTCTACTCCATGTGCGAACGCCGGCTACTTCGGAGGACATCCGCATTGATGCAGGATTCGTGGAAGGAGACGATGTCTCAGCCCACTATGATCCCATGATCTCCAAGCTTATCGTGCGCGGTGCAAATCGTGAGGAGGCTCTCCGCAAGCTGGCTGCCGCTTTGGAGGAGTATGAAGTCGCAGGGCCCGTGACCAACATAGAGTTCCTAAAATCCATCTGCAAGAGCCCCGATTTCATCGCTGGTGAGGTCGAGACCGGCTACATTGAGAAGCACCGCGAAGAACTCTTTGCGCCCAAGACTATGGACGACGAGGTGCTGGCGCAGGTTGCATTGGCCTGCCTACACCGCGACAGGGTCCCTGGAGCGCGATCCTCAGCAGGTGTTGCGGGCTCAACGGTCGGGTTCACTCCTAGTTACCAAGAGCGACAGTTATCATTTACCGAGACCACGGGCCCAGGGTCTATCGACGGCCCCACGTTCGGTGTGCGAGTGCAGCAGACAGCAGATGACACATTCAACGTTGAAGTCGGCGGACGAGTCTTCGAGCAAGTGGTGAGCCGTATGGATCCCACGTCGCACATTGTCACATCCTTTTTCGCCCACACCCGGTTAGATACAACAGTGGTTCGAGACGAGGACACTATTATCGCATTCCAGCGAGGGACCCAGTACCGACTCACGGTGCCCCGGGCCAAGTGGATGGAGAAGGCATTGGGACTTAAGGATGTGACGAACAGCGTTCTGGCCCCGATGCCGTGTAAAGTGTTGCGGGTGGAGGTGCAAGCGGGAGACGTGGTGGAGAAGGACCAGCCGTTGGTTGTTATCGAGAGCATGAAGATGGAGACTGTGATTCGCAGCCCACAACGAGGAACCATTGCGCGGGTCGTGCATAAACAAGGAGTAAGTCATGCACCTTTCCTTTGACTTTGTTCTAGACTTCCCACCCCCGTGACACCTTTTCTTGGTTTCAAGATTTGGTTTGATTTTTGCACCCTCTGGCTACTTGCCTGGGCCGGTCTTTTATTTTTCTCAGCGGAGCTTAAAGCTGGGCGGATACAATTGACGATTCAAGAACAACTGACTAACATGTACCTTTCAGGATCAATGCAAAAGCGGAACACCGCTGGTGGAATTTGCCGAGGCCGAGTAGAGTGGGATTCTTGCTATTAAGATGTATCTCATGGCTCGCTATAGCGATGTCGTCCAAGGGTGGCACACAAATGTCGAGTTGGCGCTATTTCGATCTCATCTTACAATTACAGTGCGAGTCAAAAGCAACATGTCCTATGTAGATAAACCGCGTTCTTTAGTTTTCTGGGGTTGAAAGTACATGATTTGGTAAGCCGGATATCACAGCTTTATTCCATAATGGATTGAATTTGATCATTCTTGGGCGTTGACATGAAATACGAGCAATCAAGGAAGTTGCAGTCTCGAAGTGTGATGTGCTAGATAAGTAGATAGTAGTTTGAGTCACTGTTAGACATACTGCTTTGGACCGTATCAACTTCTGGAAATCGCTGCCTACCTTTAGATCCTTAATCCGCCACATATCTCCAAAGATCGCTGTCATTGTAAATGTCGTAGTCATCATCGCTGTAGCCTTTATCGGAGTAGTCCTCTCCTCAACCATCCCACTCCATTTCGAACCCGTCCCAATACCATTCTTCCCATAGTTCCACGACCACATTGAGTGTCCATCCAAGACTCATCATAACCCTTCTGGTATCTAAGCCTGGAGCCTCCTCGCAGACCTTGACGGCGATTTCTTCGAGAGGCAAAATTTCTCTAAGACGAGCATCAACCACCCCAAGGGCCTCGGCACAGATCTTGGGGTTGTCGAGTGATACGAGCCGATGTTCCATAATATTTGTGCTTCCCGGGGCCGCGATGATCTTCTTCAGGTTGGTGCAGTGGTACTGGATCTTTTCTAGGATGTAAAGACTGTATTCATCCAGGCTGACCTTGTCTCGGAAAATGTGAAGTCCAGGAAAGTGAATGCAGATACACCGAAGATGAGATGCGTTGATGGAGCCAATGGTGTCAAGGAATTGGGGAATGAGTTCAGACTGCCACCCGCTGAGGTTGAAGCAGTTATGGCCATATAATAGTGGTCTAGCCTCATGTAGGATTTTCGTGTTTGTAGAGAGGAGACTGGGTACTAGTCCGTGATGCTTTTGCCAGGGATCAACAGGCTCGCTGCGCACTAGGAGATACATATAGATCTCGGTGCGGAGTTCAGCAGGTAGTCTGAAGAAAGTTGCTAGCATCTTGATCGAGATACTGCAAACTCGGATGATATGTTGAATGTCGATGGATGTGGTCCAAGAACATCCCTGAGAAAGTTGACGAAGTGGGTGGAAGTAAAGTCGCACGGTTAGGTGTGTTTGTTGTTTGACTGTCAAAGGATCTGTCAAAGAATAGATCAAGCATAACAAAGGAGCTGTTTCAAGCGCCTATTATCACCATATCAATACAATGCCCAATTCTAGAGAAAGATAATATTCTCGGTATGCCTCTTTCTATTTTCGACTCTGTATACCCGATTTGATGACACTACTGATCACGTGAAATCAAAATCAAAAGAGAGATAGAGATCCCAGATCAGAAGTAAGAATATGAAGTGAATAATAAAGAATAGCAACTTGATAGCAAATAACCTCGAAATGATATAAAACTGGGGCCGGGGTCTCCCGGGCCCACATAAGCCCAGGTCCACTCCACTATTTACCCCATATTTAGATGTAGAGGGAAACTTGATTGTTTTTCCCTATACACGTATATTAGCTCTCTTTATTCAATAATCACATCATGTACAGAGTACTCGGTGGCAAAATGCACTGTGTATGACACAAAAATGACCAAATGAGGTAAATTGGCACTCGTAATTGGGCAAATGCATGCCCCCGAAATGCAGAAAGTGACTGGTCCTTTTCGAAAAAGTAACTAAGAGGCAAGGTACAGCTCAGGATCAAGCTCTAAGATATTTAAATGAGAAAGAATACCTTTAGCTTTGCTCTATACTAAATAATATAATGAACCAAGTTTCGTGTAATTCTTGAAAAAAAGCAAGGTATCTGATACAAACGCAAAGCGCCAATCTGACATCACCCGGCTCTTGTTTTCAAGAGCTCGAAATAAACCTCCAGACCTAAAGAGGACAAATTAAGGTCCAGTAAATATCGCCCCCCTCTATCCATTGGCTTATTTCACTGCAACTGTCGCATTCCCCAGCTCCTTGAGCTTTCAAAAAAAAAAAAAAAAAAGAAAAGAAAAAGTCAGGTCCGATGACCTGCGTTGTTTAATATCCTCTCTCCCCCTGGATAGACCCTTTCAAGGTTTCCTCCTGTCAATACCAATTTTCCCCAATTTCATTCTCACGTACATACATCGCATCTTTCTCAACCTTACTCCATATACCTCCACAGGTCCAGTAGATCTGAAGCTGTGCCATTCAAAATGTTCAAGCCTTCAGTCGCACGCAATGCTGTTAAGGCTCTGAACATCACCCGCCCTGCCTTTGCGGCCGCTCACCCAGCTACAGGCTTCACCCGCCCTCTCTCATACACTGCCTCACTCGGAAAGAAGAAGAGCGATGACCCCGCAGAGGACCCCATCCTCTCTGCTACAACCAAAGCTCCTGAGGGTGCTTCTGGTGTGGCTGAGGGCCAATTCGCTCGTACCGATGAAAGCGTCCATATCGAATACCCTCCCGACAGCGAGATGCCCGCTCAGCCGGTGGCTCAGGGGCGCGGTGGCATGCATTTCAAGCGTACTCTGGCCCAATTCTCACTTGAGAAGAAGGTCAGCGTCGTGACTGGTGGTGCTCGTGGCTTAGGTCTGGTCATGGGCCAAGGCCTTGTCGCTTCTGGATCGGATTTGGCTATTATTGATCTTAACAGTATGTTATACAGCCACTACAAATGAGCAGGCCATGCAATTTATCTTAACATCTACCACAGAGGACGAAGCCGAGTCCGCAGCTGCCTCGTTGATCGAGCAGTTCCGCAAGGAGAATCCCGGTCTGGAAGAGTACGTCCATTGCCATACAATGCCAGCTCGCTGCAGTGCCTAATTCCAAACCAGCATGCCCAACGTCACCGCTCATTACGCGGACGTCGCCAGCCCCGACTCTGTGCAGAACGCCATGGCCGAAGTCCTGGCCAAACACGGCCAGATCGATAACCTGGTCACCTCGGCCGGCTTCACCGAGAACTTCGAGGCCATCAACTACCCATTCGACCGTATGCAGAAACTGTGGGGCGTCAATGTCGACGGCACATACCTCTTCGCCATCAATGTTGCCAAGCACCTGATGGAGCGCAAGGCGCCCGGTAGCATCGTCATGATCGGCTCCATGTCCGGTTCTATTGTTAACGTTCCCCAGCCCCAGGCTCCGTACAACGCCGCGAAGGCTGCTGTGCGCCACCTTGCTGCTTCGCTCGCTGTGGAGTGGGCTGGCCATAATATCCGTGTTAACTGCATCAGCCCTGGCTACATGCTCACTGCTCTGTGAGTCCCTTCTACATGGATGATGAGATGCATTTGAAAGAAATATCTGGGAGAAATAATTGCTAATGTTGTCTTCATTCAGAACCCGGAAGATCCTTGATGAGAACCCCCAGCTTCGCGACCAATGGATCTCCCTCATCCCTGCCGGCAAGATGGGTACACCGGAAGATCTGATGGGTGCCGTCACCTTCTTGCTCAGCGATGCCTCCAAGTACATCACTGGGGCGGATCTCCGTGTTGACGGTGGTTACACCGTAACCTAAACACGTTACTAGTGCGCTATTCAGCCTTCCTTCATGATTTTCCTGTTACATCATACTAGCTTTTCTTTTATGGATGTGAATCCGATATATACCAGTCATATGTCACGGCCTGAGTTACGGGATAACTTGGCTATGCATCTTGGGTTTTGCATTTTTTGAAGCCACAAAATTCCCGAGTACTCCTTTCTGAGAGTAACTTGTTTAAAAATTTCATTGAGATTTTTTTCGCGTTCAATGATACAATGGTCACACAGCTTGAATCCTGCAGTATTGGGGAGAGCTCATAAAATACATAGCTCCGCACAAAAAGAGTTATACGGTGGTCTAGACCCCTTGGGTCCTGCCCAGACCACTCCCTCTCTCACGAATCTGCTATCCCGGCACCTCCTTGCAGAAAGATTCAACGTAAAAATGGAAGGAGTATTAATAGATCTAACGTGACTCACCTGCATTCCGGTATGCACCTCGGATGACTTAGAACTAGGAGTTCCGCCGGGACAAATTCCGATCTCCCCGTTACGATCTACATACTTGGTGCGGGTGCCAAGGGACATAGGCGACTCAATATGTCTCAATATACTCATATCGTCTTATATGTCCCAAAGAATTGAATAAGAGTAATATAAGATATGGTAGTATTGGAGTCACTTAGCTAGAGTAAACATGTCTGCTCATGACATCTCTAATATCATTGGCAAATGGATCAGATATTCAAACCCCCTTTGCGGTCAAGACATTGTCAAATTAGAGCTGGCAGTTTCCATGGGTGCAATCTTTAAACCGCCAACTTTGGAACCTTGAAAGTATCTAAGTCCAAAGAATTCTTACCGCAAGGCTCCGGAAATTGTACGACTTCGCCTTATTATCCGGAGACATGAGACTGTTTATCGTCCTTGGCCTCACATTGTTCAAAGAAAGAAAACTGACATTTGAATCAATCCATTGGCTTATCTGATCAGAAGTTCGATGTTTTCTAGCGACTTTGAGAACATTCGTACGCGTCACGGTCCAATATTGCAACGTCTGGTGCTTCCTCCTGAACCATGTCAAATGATGAATACCCATTTTATCCAGATTGGAGGTCCTATGGTTGTCGTTTCCACTGCAAAGGCTTGCTGTTGATCTTTTGTCCAACGGACGCTGGCCATAGCGAGGCTGGGAATGGGCCGCGTGAGATGAAGCTACCTCGCACAATTGCCCAGTGATGCAAATCTTGTATATAGTGAAATGTTAGATAGATATTTAAAAGAACTTCGCGAAACATAGTCATTCCAATATGCTCACCTTATCTGGGACATGTTTTTCCATAGCTCGGTGCTGATTTCCTGTTAAAGCCCCAAATTGATAACTCCCGTCTTGGCTACTTCGCTCTCATGTCGATCTCTTTTTTTATCTCCGACTCAGGCCACTTCCATGCTCGGTGCCGAACCCACTTAGCTCGGGGCTGAAGAATGTCCCTCTACTTCGTACTATTGTAAATAAAAAGCAACCCCCTCTTTGACAGTTCAACTCCCATTCCCATTTACAATCGCCCACAAGCTACCATGCGTTTCCCTTCCCCATTGAGCCTGGCCATACTAGCCAGCGCCACATCCGCTCAATTGACAACCCAACTATTCAACTTCACCAGCTCAATCAACATCGAAAACAGCGAGCTCCGTCCTAACGGCCATCTCCTCCTCACAACCTTCTACAAAGCCCATCTCTACACAATCAACCCGCTATCCCGAACCCCCAAAGCCGAGCTAGTCGCCACGCTTCCCGGCGCCACAGCTCTAACCGGTATTGCAGCCGTCGGTCACGACAAGTATGCCGTCGTAGGCGGGGTACGGGGCTCATACCACTACGACAACGAAACCATCTACACCGTCGACTTCAGCAAGAATGCCAAAACTCCCACTATCGAGACCGTCGCCCACATCCCCAACGCAGATATGCTAAACGGCATGGCCTCAATGCCATCGCAGCCGCATATTCTCCTGATCGCAGACGCGCGGTTAGGATCCATCTTCCGCGTCGACATTACCACTGGTACTTCGAAGGTCGTGTTGAAGAACGATGCTCTTGCTGCACCCGCGAACTCGTCCATGCCTATTGGCATCAATGGGCTGCAGGTTGTTGGAAATAATGTGTACTTCACCAATAGTGCACTTAATATATTCGCCCGGGTGCCTGTCAGCGAGGATGGACAGACCTTCGGTCATGTTCAGGTCATTGCACGTCTGGAGCGTGAGGCTGGTGATACTGATTCCGATTGGGACGATTTTGCTGTTGATGATAGGGGAAATGCTTATGTTGCGCAGCCTCTCAATACCATTGTTAAGATTACGCCGGATGGAACGCAGAGTGTTGTTGCTGGCGGCGGTGATAGTTTGACTTTTATTGGGCCTACGTCTGTGCAGATTGTGCCGGGAAGGAAGTTGGCTTATGTTACTACGCGTGGAGGTGATAAGGGGGGTGTTTCTTATGGTGGACAGGTTGTTGCTCTTCAGCTTCGCGAGTAGATAGTGGAGGATCTGAGGTGTACATTTATATGTAGAGAATAGAGGTTCTTATGATGCGATACTCCGAATAAACTCCTTCAAGTCGATGAACAATCCCACAATTACAACTAGAATATGAAAACCTGTGAAAAGGACGCCGAAAATAACCACTTTTGGCGCCAGAAACGGCCGCCTGTTTCTAGCCTCTCCATTTCCATGGGCGGGTTCCTAACATTATCATCCCTAAAAACAGAAACAGCAAGTGCAAAGATGACGAGAAAAGCGTCGCATACCAGTGGGATCGCACTGGATGGGGCACAACGATTAGTCAGGGTAATCATCATTGCTGCCCTAAAAGCGAGCCCATTCCTGTTGAAAATTGCCACTGGGTTGGCAAAGGTGATTGTGCCGATAATAGTTGCAGACCAAAAGAGATCACTCTAGCTACGAATAACCAGGAAGACACTTACGGTGCATATAACTGTGAGTTCACATTCTAATCTTAGGCACTGAGGGGGGACCCTGAACTAATCCAATTTTATAGGGGGTCGGAAGAAGGCACTTTGCTGCTCTCCCAATCCAACGGCCCTGGAGACTTTGACATGCGATGCCGATTTGTGCAGTGACTTTGACGAAGGTTGCGACGAGGAGGATGGCTTTGTAGGTGAAGGTGACGGGTATTATACCCTGCTTAGCAAGCGCTCCTATGAACTCTCTAATGGCAAAAGAATGTGGAGTTATGGACCGCCTCATGTCATTGAGTCAAGAGTGGCAACAGTACCCGGCAAGGCGAGGTCACTAAAGATAGCGATTGATGCGATCACGGGCTCGAGTCTATTCAAGGACGGGATGAAGAGGCTATTCAGACCGTACCCACCAGGGCTCAAGGTATTCAAAGGAGAGGGATCGTCCACTTTGGGTCTCGCTGGAGGCTTCAGGTGCGTCACTTTTCTTACATTCCGAAACGGGGTCAAACCAGCTGACCAGACTTCTTAGCATGTTACAAGATGTTTGTTAATCCACTGCTGTTCAACTCACCAAGTATGCCGATCCTCCAAAAAAGGGTTCTCACGCGGAGCATATGATGGAGGTGAATACCACTACTCTGTCGCATCCTTCTGGTTTTGAAGCATTGGCTGACCAGACGATCGAGCTAAATATGATCCTGAAGTTCCTAGTAACGACTTTGTCGGGAGATTTTCCAGACGGGAATCTGATGAAAGCCGCAAAGATAGATCTAGCGAACTTTTTGGCTAGATGGAACAAAGTATATGATGTATCTCTACCGCTGGTAGGACAACTTGTCACTGATGTTAAGGGTTGGGCTGCCCCAATGACTCCAAATGATCGTGTCTTTGAGATTTTAGGCTCCTACGCCTATCGCACGGGAATGTCTATCCTCGAGGCTGAGATGAACATTATCAAGATGACTCTTTGGATGGATTAAAATCCAATGGCAATCGGCGTATTCAATCATCATCTTAAAACTATAGCTGGCGCCACTTCGAAGAGTCCCGAGGACGCCGCTAAGAAGCTTTTGGGAGTTTTGCAGAAAGTAAGTCCATTAAGTTGAGTGACAAATGTTGGATGGATGTATATCCCCATACACTCTTACGTGGAGTGGTTTGATACTCTGGAAGTACCCTCGGATTGGGAGGCGCTCTATGTACGGCCACCTATGATGATTGACGAGTGCAGCGTAGTGAACGTTGAAGAAGAACGGCTCGCTTCATTCCGCCGGAAGTCTTAGAAGTATATCATTGCTGTCTGCGAGATCTAATCCATTGGCAATATTTCTTTTCATGGAATGGCAATTTATTCTATTAAGCTCATTGATAGCGTCTTGTTACGGACATACTAGTCTCCAATCACATATGGAGACCTGCAACTACTGATAGGCCACCGAGAGCCAACCGATCTATCCACAGTTTGCTCAATGGGAATGTAATGACAACTATGACCTGAAGTTCTCCGATGGGCCTTATACCCCAATCGGGTCCCCTTCCATAAAACTGTCCCTTTGAAATGGTTGCGCCAATTCCTACTGTGGTTTTCGTCATTGGGCAGTTCGCCGCCTCCATTGCCCTAACGAAGTTTTGCTGTAAGAACGCGATCACCTGCTCATGCGCTTTTCCTGGCATGATTTGGAATAAGACGTGCTCGTCGGTGAAAGTGGCCCTAGAGCCACTACGTTTTTTTTGCAGAAGTTGCTGAATTTCTTTCTGCCCGAGACCAGAGATCAGGAGATTGTGAGATCAGGAGATTGTGGGTGCATATGTATGTTGACATTCGCATCGATCGTTTGCTAGATGCGAGCAATCTTCTTCCGTGCTTGGGGTAGGTTGCGGGCACAAAACTGTTCTGTGTTAACTGGGACCCAGCCATGTATGTACTATGTAGCTTATCAACGGAATCAGGCCAGAAACTATACATGCAGGTCTGCAGGGTAAGCACACAATCTGAGCACCTTGGAAGTCTTCAATCCATTGATTCTTCGTGGTCATATGAACTTGCCAAACAGATCACTTACAATCCTCTTCGGCAAAACAACGCACACGATTCATGCCATGTTGTATTCTGGTCCGTCGCACTCTCCGGCCGTTGCTCCAAAAAAGCCGGGCTGTGGCGCGACGCGCATTCTCTCGGGCAGCATAGGGCGTGACAACCTCACTAGGCACAAGCAATCATATAGTCGTGATGGATGAATGTTTCCCAATACGCAATACGGAATAGGCCTATATATAGGGCCCATTTCCCACTTATATAAGGCCCGTGGGCAATACCCACCCGCCCATCTATAGGCGATATCGCAGTCTATCTAGGCCCTAGGCCTATATCTATATTTCTCCCCTCTTCATACTTTATATAACTACATAGAATCCACATATTGTACATTGAAGACATGAACTTCGTACCTTGCAAGGAAGGATATTGGCACCCCTAAGTGCCCAGATCACATTCCCAACCCACTGGCATCACATAGACAGAGGGGGGAATGCGAGAGATATGGCTGCCCCAGCCCATAGTCGATCAGCTCCACAACCAGCATCGGAATTCGAGCTTGAGTTGACAGAGAAATTAACGAGAAGTAGGTTGTGCGCAGTGACCATATGTGGAGGGTCAAGAGCTCACCTCGAAGCGGGATTGAAAGGGCATTGATTATGACACGCTAGTTCAGATAGCATTGTATTCGGCTCAGTATAACCGCATGCTTTATGAGTGCATTGAAATTGTGTCATTCTCAAACTGCCAACGCTGGTCTTCAATGAGTGCCCCCAGATCAGAGTATTCTCCTGTCCAGCATCGTTGTATCACAGGTCCAGCTGCCAGTCCGTCAACCGGCGGGTATCTTTTGGAGGCAAACAGATCGTCAATCAGTTCTTGGTATTTCTCCATCTCCTCCAGAGACTTAAATGGACCTGGGGACCTGTACGGCCAATGGCCAGTCATGATCGTATAGTAGATGGACCCGAGACTGAAAATGTCCGTGCTTTTCGTTGATTCCGGCGGATGGCAAGGATTAAAAGATCCGGCGTCGGGGAGATGCCGGCCATCTATTTCTCCATTTTTTAACCCCCCAAAGTCACAGAGTAGAAGATTGAGCTCGTTTCCGGCGACAGTATGTAATAAAAAGTTCTCAGGCCGAAGATCAGAGTGTATCACACCTTTCTGATGAATGAATTGGATCGCCTCCGCGGCTTGTATGCGACATTTGAATCGTAGAGACATATCGATGCTAGCATAGTTCTGGTCGATGTAGTTCTGTAGATTTCCATCGCTTGCTTCAACAAATAACAATCCAAATAGGTCATCTGAGATGCCCTTGAACCTAGGAAGAAGTCAATCACTGTCCACAAGAAGTTAGGGGCTAACGGACTCTATTATTCTTGGATGTAGCCCTAGGATTTGCAGAAGTCGTTCTTCCACCTCAAAACTCCGCTTCATGTCTCGAACGAACCATTTGTCTGCCACTGTCTTAGAATTCCACTAAGAGAATTGTGGATATTTGATGATAACACCCGGCGCCACGCGTGCAATACGGGAAGTTGAGCCTTCGCCCAAGATTTCGCCGACAAGAGGCTCGTACGGGACCGGGTCTTCTTTTTCAATATTTATGGCACCTAGTTCTTCCGTGACTGACGCTACGTATGTATCGTCTGCCATATCTGGGGGTTGTTTTCCATTGACGGGGCTTCTACAGCACTCAACATCATCTGGCTTCTCATGATTTGGGTGACGAATTTTAAAGAGCGAAGGTACTTTACAGAGAACGAGATGATACAGATGATATCGCAGAACAGAGAAAAAAGCGAAACCGTGATTCCAAATGCTCGTTAAAATGTTAGAGATGTGCCCGAAGGGAGTTTTGCGACGAGGAACTAGAGACAAAGAAAGGAGCTCTACCCAGCGGTATAGGTGCCAACTGCCAAAACCCAATGTTGATACCTTAATGCCTAGCTCTGGCCTGGTGGCCTGAATTAAAGACGGGCAGAAGAATTAAATTACCGGAATTCCATAACACTTCCCTTAACTAATAATCAAAGTAGCCTGATTTTGCTGGCGTTTACAACTCTCAAAAATGAAGCTTTTGATTAGCATACAACTCGACTTTCTCATATGGTTTGTAAGTGGTAAAAATGAAGCTTTTAATGTTCCTATTATAGGTAGTTTACAAGTCTAAAAACATGGAGATACTACCATTTGTATAGAGATGAAAAGCTTCAATTTTAACACTTGTAAACCGTCCAAGTATGTCGAGATCTCTCAATTTGTGTGGAGATCAAAAGCTTCATTTTAGAATCATTTACAGTACATTATTTTAGTAAAGAGTGGAAGCTGTAAGTTACTGTTCCACTTTCCTCGACACAAGAACACCACATCAAAATGCATAACTCAGCAACAAAAATACACACGGTATCAACTATAGGCACCACTCACAGGAAATCAAAAAGCCTCACGGAAGCTCTCTCGCCTCTTATTTAAGCCCCTCTCCAATCCCGGACTCCCTCGTCTTTTTCTCCCATCCGCCCCATATGCCCACATGATAGCCGTATATCTATTCTTAAGGAGCGAACAAATCTCCGACGGGAATACCGTCTCAACGGCAGTATTGATTATCGCCATAATCCACGTCTCCTCAGAATTGACCACAGTCGATAACAACATATCCACCACTTCACCCAGTAGCCTAAAATTGCAAGTCAGTGGATCGAGGGTATGGATGTTCTGCAATCGACCGAAGAATTTCTTGCTCGATGAGGCAATCTTCACCGTCTTACCCAGCCTCTGTTGAATAGATCGATTTGTGAACTCGGTATGCGATATATCCATGGTTGCGCCGGCAAAGAGAAAGTCCCCGAGGACCCGGATATAGAGTGCTTCTCTAGCTGTATCCGACGGTACCTCAAATGCCAGGTTGAGGTATGCGGCAAAGGCAGGCCAGCATTCCAGGTGATTACACCAGAGCATGATGTTGGGGTCAGCCCCTTTGTCGAGGAGTTTGGAGATGATATTGCTTCCAAGTAGATCCCAGAACTGTGCCTCTGTAATTGGGTTTGTGCCGCGTGTCCAGGATGTGATGTGACTGATCAAAGCAGTCCATCCAGACCAACTTTGTCTTGGGTCTGTGTTGAACCGCTTCTCGTTTGGGTCAATGTCTTGGGTTTCGACAACTAAGCGCAGCATCTCGACGCCGCGGTTCTGCCATGCTTGGTCGAGGGTTGGTTTGCTGTGCGCACCTTCTGGGACAAGTATGCACGGAATTAGTGAAGGACCTAGACTTGAGAGATAGTCTGGTTGCTCGGGTAGTTTCCAGGCGAGGTAGCCCATGTGTTGTCCTTTGATCAGCTGCTCTCGGACAAAACTGCCCGGTACTTGTCCACGACTGAGGTTTTTCAGGTGACTGAAATTAAGAAGGCTGCGGTCAAGATCCTCCAAGATCTTGTAAGTCATGGTGCTAGGAGTGGCAGATTCCTCTAATTCGGCGGCGCAAGCAAGAGCATTTGTGGTCAAGAATTGCAAGTAACAATTCTTATATGCCCCAAAATCATGGCGTACTACACACTCTTCGAAGTGGGTTCTCTTGATCATTGATGTGTACACTTTGAGAAGAGACGAGGTGAGATTGAACCTAGAGGGTGCTTTACCAGCGAGGAAAGTTGACATCTCTTGGGTTCTCAAAAAGTCCAGGACAGTTCGGTGTAGAAAAGTAACAGTGCCAGACTGAGGATTAAGTTCTAGTAATCCGCGTGAACGACTGTTCAAGCGCCATGCTGTCTCTTCTCTCAGCTCTTGCTCTTCTTGGCGATTATAGGTTAGGACTGGGACGCCGAAAACGTAGTCTTCATCTTCATATTCTTGATCATGGAAGCCGTAGGCCATCGCATGCAAAGGCTCCTTTGCTGCGATTGCTATTTGCATAGTGGTTGACATTTTGTTGTGGTAAAAGGGTTCAACCGACTCCAAGATTTGCCGGAAGAAGATCTCAAGCTCCTCTGGGAAGCTCTCCAGGCGCCGGCGAATATCCATGAAGCTATCTCTGTTGGTTAGACCCTCTCGCAAAAGTCTAGTCACAAGGAAGACCCAGAGGAAAACACCACACGCGCGTTTCTCGATATCTTTGATCAACGAATCACCCTGGGATGCCCTTGTAGCTAGCGCTGGCCATCGCGGGTGCTCGTATAGCCGACTTCGGATGTATTCGAGAATATCGTTTCGCGTCAGGTCCTGGATATACAGCTTGTTCTGTGTTTCACTGCCAAAGGCTTCCTCGAACACGTTCCATGGTCGGCTTGAGAGACAGATCTTAATGTTGGGTGATTTGGCAACATCCTTGAGAACCTGGCATAGTTCGGGGTGGTCGCCATCGTACTCATCCAGGCCATCGACAAAGAAGCAGAACTGCACGGGAGTCTTGTCCCAGCATGCAACCTTCCTCAATGTTTCCTTCAGAGTGGACAGGCTCCACTGTAAAAGATCTTCCGCATTGTCCAGGCTTAACTGCATGCTCTCACAAACAGGTTCTATGAGCTCTGAGCATTGCCTGAAAATCCCGTGGAGCAATGTGCGAAGAAGGCCATGCTGGGACTTTTGCATTGCAGTACCTGCACTCCAGAAGTAGTGACTTGAAATGACCGTTCGCTTTGAGCCCGACCATTCTGATAAGAAGTCGAGGGTCATTGGCTCATCGGCGATGAACTTCATAAATGTTGACTTGCCTGAGCCAGGTTTGCCAGAAACCCAAAACACTCCATTTCCTCGCTTTAGCCATGTGGGGAGGAAAGTTGCCGCAGCTGGGGCATTTTCGTCCGGTTCGTAGGCCCATCTGAAGGTCCTCTGATGGGCTTCTGAAATTGAGGTGTGTCGAACTGGTCTGGCATCGAAGCTCAGACTTTTCAGGATTGCCTGCTCTTTCTCGACGGTCTTTTGGGAAAGAGATAGTCCGGAGAGATGCTGTTCAAGAGAATCTATCTCTTTGACTGAGGGTGGTGACTCTTGATTTGCATTCTGAACCAGTTGTATACACAGCCGAAAGTCATCCAGTGCAGCCATTATCCGGTCAATCTTGACTGACTGATCGAATTGCAACCTGTTACTTTCAGTCTGGAGCTGCGTGAGCCGACATGCATTAACCTCCTGAGCGTGACTACAGATAGAGACTTAGGTCAGTATTTCTGGCTGGGACAGGCTGTTGGCAGCGATAAAGTAATAAACACACCTTGCCAGAGCGCAAATATGAAAAGTCATTGTCATCTGAGTCCTTTGTAGACGACGTTCCAAATCTTCAATATCTTCCTTCTCCCACAATGACTTCAATGCAGTGCGAAAGCTTTGCCAGCGTCCTCGCGACCCATCTTGTACTTTAAGCTTGCGTACAACGAGCAAGAGTTTCTCGCAATCCGATTGGCAAAGAAGCGACAAAGTTCGAAGCGAGGTGCTATTCTTATTAGACTTGCTACCTGGTCCGTTTAGATAGCTGCTGGCATTATCACGCCCAGAAAGGAGCTCGGAGTTAAAATCGTTAAGCTGCCCATAGAGCGTGTCTAGCGTCAGGATGTCGTCTGTACATCCTGAAGAGGACCTGCGGACTTCTACGGCGATTTTGACCAGATTTGACGCGAATTGAACAAACTGCACAACATTGCTAGCCAGTCCGAGAGCCGTGAGAGGATCCATGTTGGATCAATGCGATTTTGTATAATCTTCTCAAAATATCAGTTTGCGCGAGGTGGGAATGTTAAGGGGAGTCTAATCTAGGAGGGATCAAAGAGGGGACATGAGGCTGAGTCGCGAGAGTCCGAGACAATTGCCAAGAGTATTCTCTGACACGTCTAATACACCGCCACATCGGACACTTAGCAGGGCTCTTATCACCCAATGAGATATCCTGTTAAAACCGGAAATCGTGTCGTAGCCTCAACATGTTGGAGAACCAGAGCCAATAATATCGAAGCTCGCATTTACACTAAGGAATCAGCACAAAGCTAGTAAAGCCACGCGTCGGTTTGATCGTGCACGCAATACTACTAAGGAATTCCATAGAAGACAACGACCTTGCGGCACGGGGCTTTAAGGAGATGGCAAGGTACTAGGGGAGTTTACCACAGAGCCTAGCGGTTATATTGGACTGATAGTCAGGAGCGACGCGAATCGTTTCCGCAGCTTTATTTATGTAAATCGCAATAAAACCGCAATATGTCGACTTATACTACAGATCCTTTACATCGAGAGGTAACAGCAATTAAAATATTGTCAGCGAAGCCGATTTCTTTCAGACACGGCCTCCACGACCTCCTTGTCAGGGCCCTAGTACTAAAGGCGTTCCGACTAAGCATCAGTATCATCTGACTACTAACTAGTATCTTTGACGGGTGGGGCTTTTCTATCCTAGCCGCTTCTTCTTTTGACGTCGGACTAAGGATGTAAAAGGTATATGCCTAATATTGATCATCTAGGCTGTCTGTTAGGTAGTATATGTCCATAACACTGATTATGGATCTGTTTAATTTTGATGACCCTTCATTACTGCACTGTCTGTATTTTAGATCTTAATTTTCTATTATGCTAGCACTAGAACAATGATGTAAAAATAGAATATGCCGTGGTCTATCACTAGGCAGTATAAGAGAAAATATTTAATGATATATAAATCGTAGATGTTATTGTCATTATAAAGTAGCCCTAGAAACAGAGATGCATAGATCCACTCCACAGAGGGGCTGAGATATGTTGGTTATTCTCGCTGGTCAAAGCATGGGAGTAGTGAAGTCGTTCTTCCCCAGATTGGGGGTTTAGCAATCGGCGACAAGACAAGAGTCGTAGACAGTGATTGTGTGAGTCGAGGCTAGCCGAGGGGGATCAGAAACAAGTTAGTTTGCTAGTTCAGTCCAGCAAATTATCCAGTATATGAATGAGCGAGATTGAGATACAAAGAGCATAGAATGAACTGGACAACTAAGTCTTTGGGACATTTTATGCCTGGGTGTTTCAACCTAGGGCTCGCTGCCAGTTGCGAGAGGTACTGGTAGACATAAAGCAAGTATTAAAATCAGATTTAATGAAGTGTGCTATTGCATAGTCAATCTCTGCAGCAAGTTCAACGATACCCACAGATCGCTTGATCCGGCTGTCACCTTCTCATTGGAGTGGGGAGTTCTACTATCCCTCTATCAGTGATCGGACAAATGCCATTTTCCTTACTATATAAATCACAAAGCCAAGAAGGAATGTGGGAAGCCAGGTTCATGTCAGAGATTGCTAGATCAGAGACGACAGTCAAGGAAAACTAAATTCTAATATTGCTATACTAGAATGTGCTTGTAGCGACGTTGTCCTGACTATATCCGAAACGGCGGGTTTGATATCTGCAGTTCAAGGAAAAGATATGGGTCTTCTAGATCGTTTGCAGTGGATTTTCAGTGGAGAAACCTGGAGAAAGTACACCAGACCCAATCACAATCTTCCCCGGGTTTTCTCCGCATACCGCATCATTGAGAATTTTCTCTCCCATTGGATGTACCGAATTAAGGGGCAAATGGATGTGAATGTCACCTCGGCATAGCTCCTTGATTTGGCTTGAAGGATTTTCCCCAGGTCGTATTGGGAGTGTGCTGTGTCACATTTAGCAGGTCGGCCGCCGATAGGGCTGTCTCTGCTACATCCCTGCTTGCAAAAGGACACGCAATTCGGAATGTAATGATTCGGAGGCTTTTTTTAGGCTTCTCTTTTATTCTTTCTTATCTATACATATGTATAGTATTTAAGTATTGTGTAGTATAGTTCCTTCCTTTCCTGTACAATATAGACATTGACGTCTATAAGGAATAGTGAAGTCCAATCCCCTCGACCAAGTTCGAGAAGGGAATTTAGGGATATTTAAAGATATTCAGGGAGATCTAGGGAGATCTATAGGCAAATTGGGGAGATTTAAGGAAGATCTCTTCGGTCCGGTTTAGAATTGAAGGGGACTTCCCCCACCTTGACCGCTACAGGCAAGGGCGAACCCTGGGGTACATTTCTCAAATTCTTTGTTTCTCGACTTCTCTGCATTTTTCTTCTTTGAGTGCATGAAGCTCTTACCATGATCTTTCTACCTAAAAACCAGTTGAGCATGTACAAACGCTCCAACTGATGTACCTCAGCTTCAAGTTCAACCTTGAACATCTTGGAGCTCCAAAGTATCAACTTGCCACTTCGAAGTATTACGACATCCAGAGAATACGAGATTTCTTGTCTTTACAAAGCTCATCCGTTGGGCCTTTTTCTTTTGCCAAAAGCGTTCTGTTTGTGCTGGATACAAAGGATGATAGCAAGCCTTGACTTTACATCAGCACGACTAGTCTACGCGCCATTCAGAAGTATCACTTGATTCTACCCCTCCTCGGTCTTGCCATTCTCACCTCACTCATTTCACACTTCTCGCCGTGAAAAACCAACATCCCGGTGTCATCTCAAGCTCGACTGCTCAAACAAACGTACAAGATGGAACCAAAGCTCCCCCAAGGTCTTGTGGCCATGTCAAGAGTGTCCCCTAGTGGGATCTTGAAGCAGGAGAAATTAAGTAATAGTGCTTACAAGAGCCTTTGGCAAGGTACATCCCCTATTGGTCCCGTGGTGGAGGGGCTGACTGACAACCAACAGCCTATTCGACCTCGCACCTGGCCAGCAAAGATGAGACCGAACGTCGCCTAGAACATCTCTTCTGGAGGATATGGGGTGCTAAACGACTCTCAAGTCGTATAAATCTCCATACCCTAGATCGTCTTATCCTACGAATCAAGGCACCGGCAGTATTACCTGTCCGACAAAGCCTCACCGTCTCACCGTTGCCTGGGAATGGCGACAAAGAAGAAAAGGTAAACAAAATCCTGTTCCACACCGCACTACATCAACCCCATAGTGACGATTCATGTAAGCCAATCAATAAGAATCAACCAGGCTGCGCAGCCGGAGCCTGTTCTCCTCACTCAATATTGAAGAAGCCCCAGCATTCGGAGATTGAAACGCATACAACAACCCGCTTGCTTCTTGACACTCCCCTCGGCACAAAAATAACACTCCAACCCTCTAACTCTCCCACCGCAAACATGGCTGATGAGCCCACCCCCACCCCCAATATGGGTAACATGGGCCATCAGCGTCGCAAGAAGGCCTCGATGGATTCTGATTCTACTCTCCTGCCAGAAAAGGTTGGCAACCATGGTTCCAAGAAAACATCTATTGTTGATGAGCCTACCATCATTCCGGACAATGTTGGCCAGCAAGGTCCCAAGAAGACCTACCTTACCGCGACACGCAACGGACGAGGCCCACGCCGCCGGCCTGTCTTCAACCGCCGCAAGTCCTCGCAGACATCTATCCCGAAAACCCCGCCTCCCACGCGCCGGCGCTCCGAGCCATCCACCAAGGCCGATGGCGCCGACACTCTCTACGAAGACAGCTATGTAGAGTTGGGCCTACTGCAGCACCTCAGCTTCCGCGACGAGGAAGACCAGATCGCGCGTGATCTAGGACGTGAGATTGCGCCTGAGCCGAAGCCCGCTAAGCCATCTGTTCCGCTATTCGACGACGAATTTCTCGATGAACCTTCTGCCATGGAGGCCGTGAAAGCAGCTCAAAAGACGGATCCTGTTCCCTTTCCCCGTGCTTCTTCCCTCCGACACCCGATGTTGAGCCCCGAGGACTTCTGCAAGATCACCCCGTCGTTCGGTGTTATGGAGAGCCACCTCGATATGCCTGGTGGACCGGAACTTGTTGCTCCCGATGATGTTGAAGGGGACTGGACCGATATCGATGCTATTGATTCGACACTTCCTGTCTTGCAGCCTTTCAAGAACTTGGTCTCGCACCATGAGAATGTTGATCAAGACCTCCCAGCTGTGCAGCCCATTGCCCCCGTTGTTAAGAAGGCCTCGTTGCTGTCATCTGCCATGAAGAGTGTGAAGTTGTGATTTATCATCACCGAGGGACCGAGTCTTAACCTGGATGACTACAATTACTCTAAGGCACATCGTTTTTAGCTCAGACTTCGCCGGCTCTCGACATACTGTACATTACCATGCCTCAGAGCATGCTCACCTGAAGATCCCGAAAATACCGGATGCTTGAAGAGGATAGCATCCCAGCAGATGGGGGTTACTATGGAAGACAAAGAGGGGGCATTCGTTCATTGTATCGAAATTGATGGCTTGAGAACCGAATACAAGAAACATTCATATCCATGATATTCCAAGTGCCCGCTTAGAGCAAGTTCTGTGCATTCTATTTCAATATTTGCACAGTAAATGACAAAAGCAAATCAGTCTCTACTAGTGAGACTACATACATTCAAGTCACTGAACTATGTCTGAAAAGAATCTTGATGTTTTGTATTGGGAGAACGCCATCCATAAAAATAGGCAAAAGCACTATACACCATGACTCCCAATCCCAGTGCCAGATACAAAAGAACAAACGAATGCGAATTCTATTCAACCACCTTATTCATCCGATGCCATCAAGGCATCATCCATAAGATATCCCAGTCAGCACACCCACTATCAAAGCGAGCATACACCCCCTCAAAATCCACCTAAATCTGCCCACCCTTCTCAGAATCAAACCCAGCCTCAGAAGCAGTCGACCTGCGACTCTTCAACCAGCGCACCAAGACCCAAGAAGCAGTCATAACCCAGAACACCAAGTTAATAATATCAATCCAAACAGCATGGCGCATACGATTAATCTTCGACGCATCACCAAGCTCAGAAGTGGTAGCAGCATCCACCTTCGCACCCGAGCCCTCCACAGGATGAACACCAATATACATCTTCCCGAAGATACCAAAGAGCGTCAACCACAGCACAGTGACAACAAACTCCCACGCAAACTGCGGCAAGAGCAGTGCAGGCCCAGGGCCGGCACCGGGCTTAGCTTTGCGCATCACGAAGGGGAGGATGAGGTGGATTGCTGCGGTAACGGTTGCCAGGAAGGCTGTGATGAGTGCGTACACCCATTTCGAGTGCCAGGTGTGTTTGTCTGAGTGGTCGTGGTGGACGTCTTTTCCGTACAGGCCGATGACTGTTAGACCGAAGACGAATTGGAGGAAGCGAACCGTTGAGAAGAGCATGAAGGTCATTTTGGCGCTTTTGGTTTGCTCTTGTGGGGGCGACTCGAAGTGCATTGTTGTGCCGGGTGTTGCGCCGGCTGGGTAGCCGCTCATTGGGTGTTGTTCGGGTTGGTAATTTGGTGGGTAGACGCCAGTGGTTTGGTATTTTTGGAGATCTTTCTTGGCTTTGTATTTTTTGGCTTGGGAGTAGCCGAGTTTGAGGAGAGGGACGGCCAAAAAAGACATTTTAGTTCTTTTGGGTTTGTGTGGTGATGTAGTTGTTGATGTTGGAAGGTGTGAATGAAAGTAAGGTATATGCCTTGAAAATATGGCGCACAGCGCAGAGATTATGTTGAGAATAGAGAAAGGTGAATTCGAATTCGAATGAGAGAAGACGAAGGTTCCAAGATTTTGCAGACCAGTGCCAAATAAGAGGAATGAAGCTATTGTCGAGATTGTATAGATGGGTGGGAACAAAGAGAAGATTGCCCAGCGTATTCAAAAGATATAATAGGAATAGAAGAGAACAAAAGAAACAAGAATGAGAAGAGAATGAAAGACGAGTCTGGTTTGATCAATGGCACAGCGCCATGGCTGTTCTTTATAGACCAGCCCTATCCTCGTTCCCCGAGCATATTCGTCAGACCTTGAAGACAACAAAGGCCAATGTTTCTATTTTCTGGCATCTGCAGCCTAGGATGAAACGACTCTCCTTCTTTGAGCGCGCGGTTCGCCCTGACGTTTCTCCACTGTGTACATATCGTTGTCTTTCATCCAAAGACACTGAGTCGGGGACGGTAAGATGAAACGGGTAGATCAAAATAGAATGCCGAACACCCCTGGAAACACAAGCTAACACAAATCTTACATCAAGCTAACACGATAGGTCTTGCAGAACTCGGTGGGGTAGCTTCAGTTCGCGCGCGCCAACTCGGGTTTGATGTGGTTTCAAGTGCGGTTGCTCGAGGTCCAATCAAAATACATCTATTTTTGGGAGCTTTAATATGCAAATGAAGATCTAAGAAAAAAATACATGCTACGAGAATGGACATTAGATCATTTCACATCTCATTCAGTACATATCATGGACATTACAATTACAAGACACAACCAGTAACTCCAACAGGAACTTTGTCCGATCAGTTGCTCGCCATACCAACATGCTTGAGAGGGGATTTCCTTCCAAAAATCCCAGAACACCACTCTCAAAAAAATACCCAAACACCCAGACCCGTAAAAAAAAACAAATGCAATGATGAAATACCAACTATGGGGACGCGGTAGGTCGACTACGCCGGTCGAGTTGCTCCGGAATCCGCAGAACCCTTGATGGCTGGAACAGAAGCCGCGATCTTGGGATGATTTCCAGTGGGTAGTGGAGGCTTGAGGTCGGTGGGGGACGCAGGGGCGGAAGGTGGGACTGGTGAATTTTCATCATCATCATACTCATGTCCTTGGTATTCATCATCGGGAAGACCCGACCCACCGGCAGAGGAGTGGTCCACCGAAGCGCGGTCGTATCCCTGTTGGTAAGGCTGTGAGCCATTCTTGGATGCGTTCTTCGTCGCCTTCTTGGTCTTGCGACCCTTCATCTTGGCCTTCTCCAAAAGTCGTTTCTTCTCCGCTAGTCGCTTGCGCTCTTTGCGGTCTTTCATCTCATACTGTCGGATTAGGGCTTCGGGCGGAGTCCCAAAGATGCTCTCATATTCACAGAATTCACAAATCCAGATGTCCTGGAGACTCGGGGGATGGTGAAGGTTCGTATATTGTTGTTGAATCTTGCGTTGGCGTGCAGACAATGCGTATATGCTGCCTGGTGACCGTTTCTTCTTGGGGCCCACGGGAGTTGGCTCTCCACCTTGAGCGGGTGCTTGCGTACCGGGTGGGGCCTGGTGGCTCATGGGGCCAGTCTGTGTCCCTTGTGTGGAGAGCCCCTTCTGTTTTTGACTTGCCGGTCCGAGTGGTGAAGTAGGGGATCGATAAGGGATCGAATAGTTTCGCTGCATAGCCATCCCCTTGGACGAGTCGGACTCACATGTGAAGGTAAACTGTGTCTTGGTCGGAGTGGTATTTTCTTTTTCTTTCTCTAACAGGCTAACGTTGCTGGGACCTCGAGGAGGGGAGGAGTGTGTTGCGGCATTGGCGATCGCGGTGGAGATAATTCCCTGGTCAGAAGGAGATTCACCTGGTGTGCAAGTTAGAACACTGTATGGGGGAATGGAGGAGAAATATGCTTACCAGAAGGGCCAGGGGACGACATCAACCCATCCCGCCGATTGGGCGTCCGGGCATTCATCCATCCATTCTGAGCATTGGGCGATAACGGGTTTCTGCTGCTGCTACGAACAGCAGGACGTCCCAACCGACCTCTCCCTGAACCAGATATTCCATTTCCTAAAGGAGACGCAGGGTTTCCACTCCCATAATATGTGCCAGTCGCATCAGTCGGGGTAGGAACCCGTGCGGGGGTTGAGCTTGCCAACCCCATGCTGGCGAACTCCGGAGACAGCGCAGAATGGTGTCCTCCCAAGTTTCCAGGTGTAGGTATCTTTCGCTTTTTTTTGTTATTCGTATTCTCAAACGCGTCGTAACCGTCCCCGGTTGAAGATTTTGTCTGCGGTGTGTCGTGGGGGAAAGGATGTGGATTGCCAGACGCGGGAGGTGACATGGACGACCTCCGAATAACACCGCTCCTCCGAACAACCATCGGACCGCCTTCATCACCGCTCTCCAACTCTACCAACGTCTCAAATTCATGGGTGTCAACTTCTGGTGACAATTCAGTCTCCACAGTCTGCTGCACATAAACTTTGGATTCATTCACCGCCTCTTCGGAATCCGCAGAGACACCATAGAATATTTGAGATGCCGGCGGCGTGGGAGGATAGAATAGAGTGTCGGCGGCATCAGAAGAAAGGCGTGAGCGGAGGGTCCGTCTAGGTAGAGGACGGATCAGACGATCGGGGTAAATGGTAGAGGGCGTGTCAGGGGACGAATTGAACACCCCGTCTACATGGCATCGTCAGCATTAGTCAACTAGTTGATCGTCATCCTGAATTGGGGAATTTCCGATCATCCGGACCAGACGTCCCTGAGCAGACATACTCAATGTAGCTGTCATCATGCAAGATATCCACGCTCGCCATCAACCGCCGACGATTCTATGAGGATGGTATTCCAGCCCTTTGGCTCTGTCCTTTTATCCCCCGCCACCGTATTTGCTTCGGAAGGGGCCAGTAATCCAAAAGTCGGGGGTGATGTTGAGGTTCGAATTTGGGGGCGTACTGTCTTCAATGTCTGTGGTGCGCGGTCATGAGCTTTCCATTCAATAACAACATCCCGATAATTGTATAGGCGGTGGGGTCAACATATAACTGGGAATCAATCCAATCCCCGCGTTCCTCTGCCGTCCACAATCTCGGGGACACGAATATCGACCTACCCACAAAAGAGTGCTATTACTCAGCACCTTATGAATCCAAGATCGGTATGGTATCCAAAGTCAGAAGTAAAGCAAACCTGGACCTAGATCCAGTGCTAGAGTCAAGGCAAGGGAATAACTAGAATAACTATCAAGAGGGGTTGAGGGATATGAAGAGAAAGAGACAAGTCACGGGAATTTAGAAAACACGCTAATCTACTTTTGGTAATGCTCCTGGTGACTTCGGCGAGAACTGGCATTATACTTAAGTACATGACTCTTCCAAGGTTGAAGAACTTCTCTGTAGGCCAGACACCTGGTGAGCACGTCGTTGGTGTATCTTCTAGGTACCATCATGGACTGCATCCATGGTTATCAGCCTACATAATACTATTGCACAGAAAGGTTCTACTTGGGAAAAAGGGATCCCTCTCTCCGATCATCTTCAGATAGGTACTCCCGGTACCTGAATTCACAGGGAAGCATCCAAGAGCTGGTGTGAGGGATTGATTGCATGCTGGATATGGATTTGCTGATCACATCATGAACCAAACCTAGCCCTAACTTATGCAACAAATCTCGATCGGGTGTGATGGTACCTGTTGAACCCCTCCGGAAGGCTTTTCTCAAAGCTTCATTCGCCCCTCCTACCACCAACACACCTCGGAGCATGTTTCGGACAAATAATTACATCATCTGGATGTTGGAAAAATCGATGCTATAAGTTTTTCACTTGCAACTGGACCAAAGTTTTCTTGCCGGCGCCGAAAACGGGTTCGGCTCTGAATGGGAGGCACAATCGGTACAGGAGGTGGCCAGACATACAAAACTTGAGACGAAAGGAGTCATTAGATTGGTCAATCCTATTGTTCCTACAACTTTGAGTCTTGCGGCTTAACCCTTCCAAGGCCATTTAACCGTGGTAGACCTTTTTTGGCCTCGTCCTACAGTGCTCCTTGAGTTATTTCCGGACATATCGCATCGGTTTCCAGAGGAGAACGTCGGCAGCCCTATACAGTATTGCATGATGTACCTTGTCCCCTGGTCAGGTTTCTTTGTCTGGCAAGCCCTCTGGTTGATTTATCCTGTGGTAACAGAGCAACTCCCACTAGTGGACCACAAAGCCATTGTACTCTGTAAATATTTGGTTGAAAGAACGGCAAAATGTAGACTAAAACCATGATTAAAATCCCTCATAGGCAATGGAGGAAAAAAAAAAAAAGTGAAACACGAACAGCATGAGTGGTGAAAGATTCGCGCGTCGAAGAGGCGTCGAGAGCGGGGAAACCGGCGATTGGATCTTTTGGAGTCCCATTCCGGCACTTTTCTCCTTCTCTTCTTCCTCCCCGCCATTACAAGGAATTATTTCTCGGACTATGTAGTCATCGGGCTCTTCATCGAGCCTTGTGACGACTTTATACAGATCTGCGATTCCCAATTGTCCTGCTCCCTTTGACTTAACTCCCCTCCCCAAGAGCTCTCAATCGCGCGCGAGAGCTCCCTCGCAAACGGCTTTTCTCGAGTGCTGGAATCACACCAACCAACGTCTCAAAAACTTGTTGATTTTGCCTAGTCTAACCTTCAGAGCTCTTTTTTACTCTACAATCCTTAACCCTCCCCCACCATGACTCCTCGTCGTTCCTCTCGGGCTCGCACCTCCCAGCCCTCTCCTGCCCTCCTACAACACACCAACTCTTCCTCCAGCTCCTCAAACTCCCTTACTCGAGAGAGAAGCACTCGATCGAATCACAAAAATCCTTCTCCTCGCGAATCGACCGGCAACCGCTCTCAGTCCATCGATGATGCTGAGGGTGGCTCGAAAGACCTTCCACATACGCGGCAGCGCCAGCGCGCCAACGACGACGACGATGATCCACCCCGTGAAGAAGACGAGGATGACCTAGATGATGAGGAGGAGGAAGTAACTCGATGTCTCTGCGGTCAGCAAGAATATCCGGGATTGCCTCCTTCTCGTCGCGAGGCACTCGGTCGCGGCACCATCAAGCTAGAGTCGGGACAAGTTCCCACTGATCCATCTGATCCCATGTCAGATGACATTGGGAGCATGTTCATCCAGTGTGACTTATGTAAAGTCTGGCAACATGGTGGTTGTGTTGGAATCATGGACGAGGCAACGAGTCCTGACGAATATTTCTGCGAGGAGTGCCGGAAGGATTTGCACAAGATCAAAGACGAACCTCATGGGTGAGTGAACCCCCGTTATTATTTGAATTTACTCGGCCCTACATGCCCCTACATTTGTGTCAACCTATACCTCGGTGGTTGTGCTTTGCTATTGCTGCTTGGAGGGGCTGTTTTTCTGAGGCAGTTTCGCGCACAATCACTCCCCATTTATGAGATACAAATGGCTCCTCTATGTTGCTATATAGAATGCTTTGAAGACGCATACTAACAATCCCGCAGACAACACTCCTCTACCTACCTTCCTGTTGCACCAGAACCAGTGCCGTCGCCTCCTCCTCCACCACCACCACCTCCACCACCCCCAGCCCCAGCCCCAGCCCCAACGGTGGCACCGGCAGTGCCTGAGGTACCAGTGGTGCCAGCCGTCCCAGTCATTCCGGCGGTGGCCCCGTCCCCCGGCCCCTCCTCTCGTGCCTCGTCGAGAGACATATCACGGCGTTCCAAGGATCCCAAGTCCCGGAGCAGCGAGAGTGCCGCCGCACATGCCAAGCGGCGATCGACAATGAACAGCCGGGATGCCGCTTACGACGAAGAAGAATTGATTCGACGCGCAATTGAGGAGAGCAAGGCCGAGACCAAAAGCAATGCGGATGAAACGGACACACATCTGGGCAAGCGAAGTCGAAGTGACAGTGTGATGTGCGTATCCCTAGGCTGAACAGCGTTGACTCGGATAATGTGGCTGACCAGTTACCCAGGAACAGAGAAGGAGCGAAACGTCCGCGAACTACTTCACCCTCGCCCAGCGCCGTCTCGAAGCATAGCAATATAGCATCTCACCCGCCTTCAGATGATGAGACGAAACAAAAACCCGCCGTCAATGGAACTCGCAGACAGAGAGCTACGTCTCGAGGCCAGATCGAGAAAGAGCCTGGGAATGACGCCGATGAGGGCGAGAGAGAGGCTCCTGAAGCGGCGAATCGTCGAAAAGAACGTTCAAACCGGCGCAAAGGAGATGGTGAGTGACACAGTCCAAAGTGCATAATTGCCACTTAGTAACACAGTCTTAACAGAATCCGAGCACGAAATCGGTTCCCCAACCAAGACAGCACCGCCAGAGCCTGAGCCGTCCCAAGCAAGCCCAAACACCCCTACTCCGCAGGAGCCCACGCCTGTTCGTCCGTCAACACGCAAGTCCGGTCGACCTCCCGCGCGTCGCGGTCGTGTTGGACGAAACCAATATACGAAAGATCGGGACACCAACGGGAATGGAGATGTCGGGTATATGGCGAACTCGCCGCGCCGCGGCCAGTCCCACGAAATTGGCGGAGAATCCCCTCGGGTTGGCTACAGCGGTGTAAATGGAGCACACATGAATGGTGGGGAGTCAGGACGGCCAAGCAAGCCACGCCACATGCACCCACAGCGAACAACGATGAACGAGATGAAGCGCCGAGTAGCAGCCATCCTGGAGTTCATCTCGCGCATGCAAGTGGAGATGGCCGTTGCCGGCGAGAACTCCACGCCTACGGGCAATGGCGACCGGGCCCAGGGCCTGCTCTTGAAGAGCATGGTCGATCAGATCGACAGCGCTATGCCATCCACGCGCAGCGATGGCGGCGAGTCCGGCCCCGCAACCACAGACGGCGGCTACGGCGAGTCGTCGACGAACCACGAAAAGGATTTCAAGGAGCTCAGCAGCGTCGAGATGATGGACGTTCTCACTCGCCATCTGCTTAAGTGGCAGCAGGAGTACGGCAAATTTGGAGAACGGTAGTCTTCGCCACTACCACACAGCTGGTTTCACTCTTCTTCTCGGTCCATCTCATCTTTTGAGCTTATCCGCTGCTTCGCACCACGATACCCATCTTAATTTGCTTTTCTCATTCTATCGATGTACACTAACTAGACCTCATCTCAGTTGTTTTTTCTTTTCTCTTTTGTCTTCTCCATGTTATTCCATACTGGTCCGGCGTCATGATCATACTGGAAAACAAGGATGTTATGTACCCAGTGGCAACCCATCGTCTTGCTTGGTTCTTGCTTGGTTCCAAGGTTCCATTGCCCATGTTATTTTTCTATCTGTTTATTTGTGATCCATGCTTTGCTATGACTATTATGTCTTGCTGCTCGGTGTGGTCGTTCTTCTAAGAATCCCTCTTCTTGTCCTTTTCTGTCTTTCCTTGTTTTGGTGCCCGGGTTTGATTTTTGGTGTTCTGGGGAAAAGTCAGGGCCTATATATGGCTGTTTGTCTGTCTGTAAGAAATTCTTTCTTTCTCTAGTGGGAATAGTATCACTACTCTTTTGTCTGTTGCAGATATTCAAGGTGTTAGGGGCGGAATGGTGTTCCTTACCAAGTATGGAGTATATTGCACATAGATACCTTGTCTGTGTGAGAAGACACTGGTTCATAGCTGAAGAACGGAGACTGGTCAACGTAGTGACAAAGCCAATGGCTCTCCCGAGCTCTCCTTCGTGGGCATCTCGCTTGACCCTGTTGATAGGCTGTGCCAAATAACGTTGCACTTGGTATCAAATATAAGACCGAATCGCCGACTATATTTAGAGTCAAAATGCAGCTCGGTTAGCTTCCCATTGCCTTTTGATATTACACTATAGGCTCGGAAATGGGTATCGAGTATGTATTGTATGATATATTTCCGTCTTTGTAATTGACAAACAAGGTCATCTCTTATAGACATCTGACCTGGATGGGACGTCTCGAGCTGAGCTCCAACAACCTGTCAACCCAAAGCCGCCTAGGCATCAGCTAGATAAATTAGGTAAACATTTCAACTACAGCAAAGCTTCAAACTTTTCTAAGTCGATAGTTTATTGTCTATGAGCTGGATTAATATAACTACTCCCTGCTTGTCACTTGTCACTTGTTCCAAGTGTGATCGCACCGAAATTGTCCTATACTTGCCTATGTATATATTATCCACTTTCATAGTTCATCTCTGTTAATCAAGAATGCAGAACATAGATCCTCTTTATATTTACTGTCCTTACAAGTGAATTTGACTCAATAACAGGTGCATCCATACATTGCGATATAAATCATATGGAAGCTGGGTTGATAATGCAGTGTACCCCATTGAAATCTTCTTTTTGTCTTCTAGTAACCAAGTCCTGTCAGAATTTTGTAAGCAACCAGAAAACTCTGATAATAGCAGAAACAGACAGCAGATGTGACAGTGTCCTTGTCGGCGCAAATCCGACGACATATGAAGGGTAGAAAACGAAGACTTTCAACAATACATGAAGACCTAGGAGATTCAATATTTGCTGGTCAGCAGGGGCCAGTATTTGAGTGAGACATGCTCCAGCTGCAAATAATGGGAAATTTCGACCAGCGAGTGATGGGCCGACATGAGCCGCAGTGGCAAGCCCTCCATATTCCCACGATGCTTGCGAGGGTGATCATTGTCGAGACCGTGTGATCTGGACATGGTTTGCCCGGCGACGGAGAAAGAGCTGCTGCCGGCAAAAGTCCAAAATGCATATAGGACAGCCAGCGCAGGAATTGCACGAATAGGCGCTACATCGCTGCCAACTGTGTAGTCGACAACAATCTCGACAAGCTTTTGGACTGTGCTTTCGGGCTTCGTGATTGCAGCTGCTACACGTGCGAGTGCATTTTCTTGTTAGTATGCAACCATATCCAACCATGAGACGTACTAACTAGGTCTACTGGTCCAGTAGCGGCGAGAAATATACCGGATGGGTTGTGTCTTGATTCCCAGAACCAGGTCTCTGTTAGTATATGCATATTATTAGTGACGGGGGGAGATATCAAGACTCATATGCCGTTGGACATGATGTCGTGGATGTCGTGGTTTTCCTTTTATCAACTCGTCCCAGTGTTTAGTATTAGTAGCGGATGGAAGTTCGTCGGGCTTTCTCAAACCGAGGGATTATAGCATGTCTCATGTGGGGTCCACGGATCAAGCCGGGAAGCTGGAAGTCCTCAATTCCAACTACAAAATGATCAAAGCTGTGACAATATACTCCATAGAAGGGAGATATTCGGATACTGACATGACGAAGAACGTTGCTTCTGGGTACGATTGCGAACTAGTCAGATATGTTATTCAGTAGAATAATATACATTCAGGCATATGCATAAAGCCTAAAGCCATGGAATGAAGACACAAGATATCCCGGAGCCATTCCGGTGAACCGGAACCATCCCGGAGATTGTCATCCCGGCTGCAGCTTCTTCAAAGACATAATTTTGGTTGCAAAAGCCGAGTGTTATCTGCTTTGTTGATCCAACAATACCTCAATAGATACTTAATGCTAGAAATAAGTACTTATAGCATTGCTATATCGGAGAAATTGCAGGTAGTCAACATGTTACTGGAATCTCAACCCAAGGTTTTTCGAGTATCAAGACTTCCATTGTCACACCGCGCATGATACGAAATACCTCAAAAGGCGAAAATAGATCCAAGGAGAAATTGGAAGTTTGGACCCGGAAAGGGACTACGAACACATTTGGGGATTATCGATTAGCTACAAAGTCCACAACTTCATGAATCTTTCCATGTCCCATGTTCATATTCCCCATTCATTATTGTCCTCGAGTGAAGAAGAGGCTGGCAAAGATTTGTACAAGTCCACGCATCGAGTGCGATATATCGGAAACTGCGTGGTTCTTGTTTCTTAACATTGTCCATCGGTTCCTAGAACTCGAAAAACAATCGACTACATCAGCTCGCTACATGACCACTCAATGAAAATATACCTGGGGGACTTCTCGCATGTCGATGGTTAAATTTATATGTTTTGCATACTTCCAGTAGTACGATATCAGCTACTTGTCACACCAGGGCTGTCAGATCTCCCAGAAAAAGAAATTATAGTAGCTCATGTCTTTTTTGGAGAGAAATCTCAAGATTCTTTCCCATTGAAGGAGTAAAGCTTCTGCCGCCATTCCCGAGAGCGGGGACGAGATTATATCATATATGGGGACGATTGAGAATTCGCTTGTCTCAGGAACCAAGTATGTGCGTCTGATTACTGAGACCCGTTGATCAATTCGCATTTCGTTACTTTTCATGGGGCTAGGTCGTCGCATGGCAGTAACCCAGGTGTCTCTGTGTACCAACAAATCTCGAAACTTTCCAAGGTTGGACATTCAGCTATTTCGGTCGCAACTTGCCAAATAATCAAATTATCTGTTGCGCAAGCAGATGGTTATTCGCATTGTAGTTGACTCAACAGTAGCTCGGTAGATGACACAGTCCCGTGGATAGTACATACAAAATGAAGTTGTTTATAGTAGTGTTTCACAATCAATTACAATCCTGTTACTCAATGATTATTTTACTTCCATAGGACATTATGCAAGTAGAATAGCTACTATAATACTGATCTTCTCAAACTTCTAGCTGTCAATAGAAACCAACTGATGTTAAAATAAACCCACCATGTAGATGTACAACATACAGCTCGGTTCAGCTGACCCCGGAAAGAGTGGTGGTATATAGTCCATAGTCCGTAGGGATATGAGCGAGCTCTAATAACATAAGATGAAGAACGGTGGAGCTGTGCAACCAACACTGAAGGGCGTGGAACAATTGGAGATACAAGCATGTTGTACAAAATTGTTAGGACAGTTGAAAAAAAGTTCTGCTCCGTGATCCATAGATATTCTTATATTATCATTTTGGTGTTGCAAACTGAAAAGTCTTGAGTTCTATCAATGTACTCCATACAGAGTGAAGGCTGTAGTCATGGCTGGATTTGCAAGTCCACTTATATTCCGTCCACGGGTAGACAATTGGTCCCGCCCCCATGGGAAACAATTGTACCATGGTACTCCGTGCTCCATACGGAGAACCCCGTGAAAAGGGGCCACATATCAACATTGGAAGATCACTCCATTATTGGACGAGGTCCAATGGTGATGTGACTCGAGTCAAAACATGCGTTTGGTAACGCTCTTCAGATGTTTCATCACAGAGAAAACAAAAGTGCGAAAGTTACCGTTATTTGAGACACATTTCCCAGCCTCTTTTGCGGTAAGAGGGTCTAGGCATGAGCTGCATGCGCTGGCTGGCGTTGGCTGGCGCCTCGCAGTGGTTGGGCCGGGGCTGGGGACCCAAAAGAGGGTCTGAGGAGCTTGATGAATCACTTTCCAGTGGAGAAGTGCATTGAGCGGTATTGGTATTGGTATCAATTTACCGTATGCTGTAACATGCTGTGTTGTCAATGGTGTCAGATATGGGCCAATTGCTGGCTAGCAAACACCCAGTGGCAGAATGAAAAGCACAAGGATACTTCTTAAGCCGAGGGAATCACAGTGACCATGTCTCCGCAACCCCAATGCAATTGTGCCGATGTGATGGAGCCAAACGCGATCGGCGCCAAGAGGATCCAGATGTCCGATTCGACCCGGAGGTTGCCATGGAGATGGAGTCGGTGGCGCAGTGACAATACGCGCAGGCTGGCCAGCCCCCCATGTGAAAGGGCCCGATGTGTATTGCAGTTCGGGGTATCCATCACTATGGAGATATGCGTTCCTAGAGGGCTTAGATTGATTGACTGGAGGAAGAAACAAGAGAATTCAATTGTCAGACACATTGTACAACTCTGATAGGACAATTCAAATACCATAGAGAGACAGTAAGGAGGAGAGTGAGCCTCGGTGATCAGCGGAGAACCCAAACCGGCAAGGCGGCGTAAACAAAGATCTGGCATAAATAAACGTGATGCTCGCCAACTGCGCTGCCCTCTTTCTTCTTCCTCTTCCATTCCTACGATCTAGCATTCTTCATCTCTTAAGCTTATCTTTTCCCCTCCATTCCAATCATCTACCTATCTCTTGCAGGAAAAAAAGATCTTCTCTTTTTCTCCTCCACCCCCACTTCGAGAAAGACTTCCCTTTCAAGTCTTTTCTTGTTTAGTCTTTCGAGTTGTTTAACGACAGTTCGAAAGGCATTCGAGAAGAGACGCTCAAAAGTCCGTCAATCTGGACTTTGACGCCCGTGTTCCCATCCCCTTCAGTGTCTTCCCGTCGTCGTACCGGAGTGACGCTGTCTCTGAAACTACTCAGACTCGAGTAGAGGGAGAAGTCAATTTCGATCGTACTTCGCGCGCCGAACGGGAAGATACTCGAAGTTCCGCTCCCCTTCCCGCTCCTGTTCACGGAAAGGAAGAAGTCGAGTTTCGCGTCCAAGAAGAGCGTTCTCGCATTCAAGAAGAGCACCCTCGGTACACGCAGCAGCCGCAGCAGTACTCGCAATCGCACTCGCGCGAGCACCAGCACCAGTCCTCGCACAACTACGCCCCTGAAGTTGAGCTTACTCGTGAACGGTATGTAATTGTTTTTCCTGGTATTGGGTTTTTTGTTTTTTTACCCCCAGCCTCCAGAGATCCACTTGTGAAAGTGGAGACCTGCAGCTGAACTAGCATTATTTGTTGTGAGATCTCCTATCTCGGTTTAGATTGGTTACGGATTTGGTCGGGGACTAAAATTACGTGTCATCAAAACCTGATCCACTTCAATTAGCGGTGACCGGGCTTGTTTTGTTTATATGTTTATGGTACCCGTGCATGTGGGCTGACCTTTCTTAGCTACCCCAGTTACCAACAACCTTCTGTCGACTACGAAGACCGTACTCAAGTCTACGATAAAGTCGTCGAGAACCAACTCGACCTTACTGAAAGAGACTACCGTCAACGTACCTCTCCCTCCTACGACCTCGACGTCTCTTACGACCGTCGTTATCGTCAGCCCGTAGACTCCGCCTACGGTTACCAAGCCCAGTCCGTCGACGTTTCGTACGACCGGATCTCCGAGCCCCAGACCGACTCTTACAAGGCAGACGACGTCTACCTTCGTGAAGTTCAGCCCCGTACTCGTTACTCCACCCCGTCTCAAGTAAACGTCTCTCAGTCCACTACCCGTGACACCGCCCCCACTCGCAAAATGGGTTACTACGACGACGAAGGCCAGTACCACTCTTTCCGCCGCGGCGTTGAGCGTGCTGCCGACCGTGTCATGCACCCCTTCTCCCACTCTGAGCATGAGGAGTCTCATGCCGGTGAGGTCGCTGCTCCCCGTGAGAACGTCCGCATCGTCGAGCCCCGCAACCGCGGCTCCTCCGGCGAGACCGTGCCCATCCCCTGCCACTTCATCCGCGTCGGCGACATCCTGATCCTTCAGGGCCGCCCTTGCCAGGTGATCCGCATTTCGGTCTCCCCCCAGACTGGCCAGCACCGTTACCTCGGTGTCGACCTCTTCACCCGCAAGCTGCAGGAAGAGTCCAGCTTCGTCGCCAACCCCTCTCCCTCCGTGGTTGTCCAGACTATGCTCGGCCCCGTCTTCAAGACCTACCGCATCCTGGACCTCCGTGATGATAACCGTCTCGTCGCTATGACCGAGAGCGGTGATGTCAAGCAGGGTATCTCCGTCATCACCCAGGGCAACCTCTTCAAGCGCATCGGCGATGCCTTCGCCGACGGCCGTGGTTCCGTCCGTGCCCTCGTCATCAACGACGGTGGCCGTGAGCTCGTCGTCGACTACAAGGTCATCCACGGCTCCCGTCTGTAAATTTTTTTTTCTGGGTTTCTCCTAGAGGGGGTCTGGATACGTTTGTCCCTCATCCATGGTGTGATGAATAGTTATTTGTTTTCTTTTCCTTTTGCTTGTGTGATTTAATTTTCTTTTGTATGACGATCTCATGTATGCAACTTTTTGTGTGCTGGTGAAAACTTGAATGGATTTATCTGTACTCAATTAGCCTTGACTTCCTTGTAACTAGCTCATAATGCAAAAATCGGGGCCAGGTCCACAGTATCTACTCCGCTTTTTTACTTTTCTACCTCATATTGAAGTTGGGCAGAACCCCATCTTGCATAAATTATTGGCTTGGCGAAGATCAAGTTTTGCCGCTTTTTGCCTACGATATTCCTTCAAGTTAAATGCAAATATATTCCAAAATCTGCTATTCTCTTTTACGATGTTGTTGAGGTAGGTGGAAATATAGTTGTTAGTTATAGATCTTGGGAAACATATTTCATAACCATGGTAGGCCGCGGCTGTCTCCACGCCGACCTTTGGCACGTCCGGCCATTTCCACGGTTTTCTCGACTTTTCTATAGATCCATGTATATTTGACAGCCACGCAGTACCCGTGGACTATTTATTGATCAAATATGGTTCAAAATGGGGGTTGGAAAAAGGAAGCTGTTGCTGGAGTAGGGTGCACCAGAGGCTTATCATTCCAGTTAGCTAGAAAATGAATCCGTATAATTTTTCTAGAGCTACGAAATGTAATCATAATCACCCCTGGATGGAGTCTATAGATGCTCACCTATTTCGAAGCCGAGCCGGCTGAGCCTCATCTTGATATCCGTGTTCTTTTTGATAGGAGTTTTCACCTTTCGCGTTGCTCGCTCTTACAATCCCGTTCATTTCACGTTGATTTCCCTCCCACATATCTGGGGTCCCACGGTAAGTCTCACACGCTACTCAGATCCGACCTGTCACTCAAATCAACATTTGCACTAAAGTCAAATTATCCTCATCTCTTCGCTCGACGTTGTGACCCACCGCATCGTTGTCTACCCTCGACCATTCCACTGAGTGGCCATATACCATCTTTTCCAGCACAAATTGCTATCATTAATCCCAGACAACGAAGCCGAGGACAGGTGTACATTCTGACTGAAGAACCGGATGGCGCAGGTGCGGCTTATGGGAAAGTTGACAAGTAAACAGAACTTGACCAGACACGCGCAGATGGGGACAACAATATCGACAATGAAGACTGGGGCCGATTAACCTATCCCAGTGAATAATGCACAAGCTCATGGGGTGAGTTGTACTTGTGCTTGCTTTATCCCTGACCAATCAAAGGCACATATCTAATCCCCTATTCCCTGGGCTGACCAAGCTCTTCTTTATCTAGCCCAGGGACGAGATTTCGTGTCGCGGTCATTACCTACACACTGTCCAGCAGATGAACGTGCAGAGGAAGCCATACTTATGTATAAGGCGGTATTATGATCCAGGATCAGTTGGAAGATTGTCTAAATCCACACCTTTGAATCCCTTCGCTCCACGCGCCGGATCTCATTTCATCAAGATCATGGGACTCATATGATACCTATGGCTGTGCTATGGGCGTGGGGTCATAACATGCCAGACGGAGCATGTGTTGTCTTCGCTTGCTGCATCTGATCGCAAGGTATTTACTCTCAGGCAATGCAATGCGACAGAACCAGTTTCGATCTATCTTTACTGATAAGGCATTATTTTTCCTTAGTACACCATATCCGCCGAAGTTGGTCATGCATGAGATTCATCTCCCGGCAATGAAACTTATGTCTGCCTTACAAACGATGTATTTTTGTCGTACAGGGCTTGGAAATGGGGTATGTACATGCTTCCAAGAATGGAGAGCGGCTTAACAGTTCGGCCCCCGGTAATATGGAACCTTAAATTTCGATATTCATCTTGCCTATTTAATCCCTGTTAGTGCCTCTGGGTGCTTAATAGTACCTCAACTTCCCCTCCAACCTCAAGTCTAGGAGATCATGACTTACACTAGTCTCCCCGCGCTTGCCTTCGAGCTATGGACATCCCTCGCATTACATCTATGGAATGCGGACATAAAATTATACCGCCTGGAATGTACCCAGTTCAATAATATAGCACTTCTCCGCCTCAAGCGCGTCTCTTCTGCCCACTCACCCGTCATATAAGTCTTTCGCGGCATTTCAGCCAACGAAAAGTTACGTTGAGGGAGTCTGGCAAGATCATCAGCGATTACTGCGTCAGCAGAAAGATCGCCGACAACAGTGATCTGCGCGCATTCTTAGACAGCGTCAGGCAGTTTCCTGCTTTGAAAAGAGTCACTATCACACCCCCAGCCCATGGTCATCTCTTCGTTCCGCTGCACCAGACCCCCATGATCCGCGCCTTCCCGAAGGGATTTAATTATTTCATTCCACGGGATGGCTCTTCCCCACAATAGCAAATGATCATGCAACTGGGTATGAGTGGGACGAGTACCCAGAGCGTAGATAACGGCACCGCGGGCTCTGCACTACGATGCGTGCCCTCGTTAACGAGCCAAATTCTGTTTCCAAACTGGTTATGACTTCCAATCATCTCCCGACTGGGATAAACGGTACGAGCTTCGACTAGCCTTGCGAAGAGTCAACAATTTGCCACCGTCATGAAAAGTCTAGGCTTCCACCGTCTTGACATTGTCATGCTCATAAGTGGAGAAGGCGATAAAGATAGCCTCGACCGATGTTAGCGGTCCTTCCTACATGGCCGGCTACGCCGTGCACTCGGCGAGGGAAAAGACATGGAACGTTTTACGCTATGCATGATAGTCACTAACAATAACTCCTAGGATAAGGACAGCTACGATGCACCCAGACCACTTGATCTCCTGATTCCGCTATAGAGTATCGTGCCAGTGGACAAATGGCCGAGGCTGCGCCACTTTGAACTGTCCCGCTTCTTAATCTCATAGTCTGATGTAATTCCCCCCCCTGTCAAGCTTAGCATGCTCAAGTTCCTTATCGACGGTGGAGATTGGCATGGTCTGCTAGAGGACATGTGCAACATAGTACATAAGAACAGGATGTGGGGAGAGTAAGATGTTGCTGTAAGGCCAAAGGCTAGGACTGGATTATCCTATATGAAGCGTGAGATTGGACGAAGCCAGGGGCTTAGAAAGGAGGCTCATGATTTCATCTACGGTGAGGGGAAGAATCCTTTCCATGACAGTTATTGTGATACTATGGAGTTGGAGTCCTGAAGGATGCATTTGTACCTAATTTTCAACGCCCCAATCTGAAATGGGATGATATGATTAAGAGGAGCATTGCCAAGGACGCCTAATAAGCGCTACGTAGGACTCCGTACGGATTCAATAATTAGTCTTCAGGTGTTTCATACCGCTCGATAACAATTTGCAAGAGACAATAAGCGCAACCAACCCCCGCAACCCCCGCAACTCCCGGCTGTTATCACTTGGCACTGTAACCTAAGCCCTCATATTGATAACTACCGTCGGGCCTCCGCCTGTAGGGGACTAGCCGGTCCTGTGAAATTGCTTCCCCTCTGCCAAGTGCAGCAAGCCTGCCTCTTGGCATACCCCTTGGGACCCTGCCAATCATGCACCATTGTACTTTATCATCGCGTGATTCGTGTGGTCACGGACAAGCCCGAAGAATAGGTATAAAAACGGCCTGCCCTTGACTCGGAATAGTATCGATTCGCGCATTACTCAACGATGAAGTTGTTTTTGTTGATTACCCACCTATCCGTGGCCTTGGCTGGAGCTGGTCGGAGGAAGCACCTGGTTGAACCGGTATGTACGCATGGTATATTTTGGGTGTCGTGATTATGTCTGACTTGTTAGGATGAATTCCCCAATGATATCAAACTGAAGGACCTCCTAAAGGGGACCCAACATCTTGAGGATCTCGCTTATGCGCACCCCGAGCGCAATCGCGTCTTTGGTGGTACCGCACATAACGCCACTGTTGACTACCTCTATCGAGAGTTGAAGAAGACTGGCTACTATAATGTGTACAAGCAGCCACAGGTGCACACATGGACTACTGCGAAGACCTCGCTGTCGCTCGACGGCGAGGATATCGCAGCGAGTGCCATGACATACAGTCCCAGCGTTGATATTACTGCGGAGCTGGCCGTGGTCGCCAACCTTGGATGCACTGTAGCGGACTACCCGGCTGATGTTGCTGGTAAAATCGCCTTAGTAAAACGTGGAGAATGTACCTTCGCAGACAAGTCGGTGGTGGGTGCTGCAGCCAAGGCAGCTGCGGTGATTATCTACAACAACGAAGCAGGTTCTCTTAGTGGAACCCTTGGTGCAGTGAAAAGTGAGCTTGGCCCTTATGCCGCCATTGCAGGAGTCACTGATGTCGACGGCAAGGCCTTGCTCGATGCGGCAGCGAAGGGCCCCGTGACTGTGGTTTATAAGATCGACAGCAGAGCCGAGGATCGCGTTACATTCAACGTGATTGCAGAGACAAAGGGTGGTGATCACAACAACGTCATCTCATTGGGAGGCCACACCGACTCAGTCGATGCCGGCCCAGGCATCAACGATGATGGCTCTGGTATCATCAGCAACCTCGTGGTCGCAAAAGCATTGACCCGTTACTCTGTCAAGAATGCCGTGAGATTTTGCTTCTGGACGGGCGAGGAGTTCGGCCTGTTGGGTAGCGAGTACTACACCTCGCACCTTACCGAGGATGAACTCATGAAGATCAGACTTTACCTCAACTTCGATATGATTGCCTCGCCCAACTATGCCCTCATGATCTACGATGGTGATGGAAGCGCCTTTAACGAGACTGGACCTTCAGGTTCTGCCGAGATCGAGCACATGTTTGAGAAATATTTCAAATCCAAGAAGCTACCGACTATTGCCACTGAGTTCGATGGCCGATCCGACTATGACGGTTTCATTTCTCGTGGAATCCCCGCCGGTGGACTTTTCACTGGTGCCGAAGGCGTCATGACCGAAGAAGAAGCAAAGCTGTTCGGAGGCCAAGCAGGTGTAGCCTACGATGTGAATTACCATGCCGCCGGTGATGACATGAAGAACCTCAACCACAAGGCATTCCTGATTAACGCGAAGGCTACAGCTTTCTCTGTCGCAAAATATGCCAACAGCCTTCGTGGGTTCCCCAAGCGTGTGGCCCCCACCGAGGTCAAGAAAAGAGCACCCCGGGCACATGCTCACACCAAGAAGGCCGGATGTTTCCACTCTCTGGTCGAGATCTAATCGGTGTGTTCACCTATTACGGATCGCCAATGTTGGTATAAGCTAGCATTAAGTCAATCTATCTTTCTCTGGTAATTAAAATTGTTGTCTACCACGAATATATCACATATTCTGTCAAATATGGGCTTTGAGATTTGAGTAACCAAGAGTAGAGATATGTGGTAGATATGGCGTGGTTATTCAGAGAATGTATTTGTATGGTATCGAATGTATACATATAATCCTAATAAATAGTTCTAGCTGCCCTGTGATACAGGACATAAGTATGACGACGGCATGTTTCTCTTCATCTACCTAGGTAGCTTTGTAGTGTTATGCCTCAGGTGTCTTTCGTTTGGAGAGGCGACGTTCCTTCCGATTTGACCAAACTTGGCCCCAATGACGAACATCAACCTTTCTCTCACGCTGTGCTCGCTCAGTGCAAAGAGTTCATTGCCTCCTTTGATTATTTTCTTGCCTCGTTTCTCAAGTCAAAGGAAACCATGAACTCGTCTTCATGGCATGCCTTCTGATTAGGTGAGAGCTTGCATTCCGCTTCCTCGAAGATCGTGAGACATCCATCGAAAATCAAACACCACCCTGATGTTGATGTGTCTGCTCGGTAAGGCCTAGAATATATGCCTACCTCCCCTCAGAGTTTTACTGACCCTGTCAATAAAAAGACCTATGACAGCACGATTGACGCCTTTAGAACCCTGCTGTTGAGTCGTGGCGGGACAAGTAACTGCTCGACTGGTGCAAAAGTAGCGCCATCAAGAATGACGAAAAAATATTATAGACGGGCACTGGTAAGTCATCCCATAGTTTACGGGTTTGATGGGAACTTTAGGCTAGTGATCACTGTGACTTGTGATCGCAGCAGTGAAATTCAACGTGGCTGGACTACAGCTCCAGAAAGGAGCCGGACTTTTGTTCATGACCGACAACTATCCCCTCCAACCGTTGGGTATATCGATGTACGGGAATCTTTTTGGGTTCATCACGATAACCGCGTTCTTTTGCCTGATAACAGACCAGCAAGCTACATGTTAACCACAGAGACCTAGAAGGGAACTGAAGACATCAAAATATAGCTAAATGTCCCTTTATTTTGGTTCTTTCAACTTTTTCACGTCAACCAATCTCGCTCCCACCATCCATTCTTTCAACCAGCATGTGGGCATCGACTGACAACTCAACCACAACTGGGTTAATTCCAGTGGTGGTGCCAGCCACAAGACCCCCGGCCACGGACCCGCAGTGGATGCCCTCGCCAGGTCGAGGAATGAACTGGGGAGCTGCACAAGGTACGATTATATAGCATGTCGGTTATTATCATAAGTGAGACTGTCAGAGAATTGCGTCTCTGGTACCGTTGAGGTGTACATGTGTGACACAAATGGCATCTACTTTTCTGAGTCAAATGCAATATGTCCAGTTCGTTCAGATCATTCCCATTATTCAAATTCTCATCATAACGTTCTCATGTCTCTCCAAGACCTTCTTCTACTGTTCCAAATGGCAAATTACAAAATACGTAATTGTCCAATAGCATCAGATATAAGGACCTAGTCGCGCAGACCCCCGATCAGATCCAGAATCGCTCGTGCCACCTCATCTGGACTTTCCTGGGGCGTCCAATGCCCAACCCCATCCACAAACCGAACGATACGTAGATCAGCGCACGAAACCCCGTTCTTCATCTTCTCGATGGCACCAGGCTCCTGATAGTTACCCCAGTCCAGTTTTCCCGAGACAAAAGCACAAGGCGGCTCGAGCTTCTTCCCAGCGAAGACATCAAAGTCTTTCGTATACCGGCCCCCAGCAGCAGTGCGAACACGATACCAATTCAATCCACCCTGGAAGCCCGTGCGACCATACTCACTCGCATAAACAGCAAGCTCCTCATCCGGCAGCCACGAGTGTGAGGCCAGACTGTCGGACGGCTCATGCGCCATATCGCGCGCCACCGTCGCAGGCATCGTCTCATTTAACGGCATGATGTAATACCCAGGTAACTGAAGCAAGTCGGCCGCAGACCACTTCCCAAGCGGATGTGGCCGATTGCCCGGCCACGAACCACTTTTCAGATGGAAGTATCCCCGCAAGAAGCGATGCATCTCCTCAGGCCCTAGATCTGACATCTCAGGCCCAGCCTCCTTGGTCGAGTAATACCACTTATAATGCTTGTGCCCGAGCTCCGCAAGCGTCTCATGGATCCCCACCGCAGCAGCCGACCCCTCAGCACCGCCCGCACCACCGGCTGCTGCCGTATCAGACCCACCCGCCGCGGCATCCGCATTCGCCGTATCAAACGGTAAATCTGGGGCCCCATTAAACGGATGGCTCATGAGCGCCACGCTGTGGAAGAAATCCGGTCGCATTAGGGCGCACATGGCTGCCGATACAGCGCCACAGTCGTGGCCGGCAACGCAGCGCACGGAGCGGTACCCTAGTGCATGTACGAGGAGCACAATATCCCGCACTAGGCTAGACAGAGAGAAGGTAGCCAGGTCGACGTCCTCATAGCTGGCCGTGTCCCAGCCTGTGGTGCGGCCGAAGCCACGCTGATCCGGGGCTACAACGTAGAAGCCTGCTGCTTCTAGTTTTGGGAGCACGCGGCGCCATGAGTAGGCGATTTCTGGGAAGCCGTGCAGCAATATTATCAGTGGTTTGTCGTTTGCTGGGGTCTTGCCAGCTTCTAGTATGTGGATGTTTAGATCGTTGGTCTGGATGTTGCGGCTTGTTATGCCTGCGGGGAGGGGGAGGGGTGGGAGGGTCATTGTTGAGATTGCAATCTAGATGTGATATGTATAAAATAGTATATGGGATATATGGAATATATGGGAAAGGTACGGAGTAAAGACATCTACATAATATATACCGAGGTAAGACTGAACACAATATAAACAATGCATAAAAAAAGCCCAAGGCGGTAAACCAAGTTCTGTGCCTGAAATCAAAAGTCATGACGTTCGTCTCGATCTCGGATCTGCCTGGATCTGCCTAGACCTGCTTTAATCTTCTTTTTTTCCTTTCACCCTGCTTTTCGAATGCTCTACCTCTCTCGCTTCGTATCTCCTTGTTTCTGACCCTAACTTGGTCAATCCCTCCCGAGTTGTTCCCCCTCGGCTCCTCAGCTTCCCAGTTTCTACATCTTATTATAGCTACCCATCACATCATCAGGAGATCCACATTCCCTTCATCCACTTCAATATCGGATCCCGGCGCTGCACCAAGCAGTGTCCGGCCATCCCGTCTTTGATCTGTTCTAGTCCTTACAAGGTCCGAGACTCTGAACAATGGTCTTCGGCCGTCGCAAGAGAAGTGCCTCTGTCCATCACCAGGTATGTTCCACGCGTCGAATACCTTGGCAAGGATAACAGATTTCCCTATCTGCGAATGGGTCCTGCATGACTTGATGCAATCCAACGGGTAGCTGCAACTTATGCATGAAAATGAAACTGACAGGTCCCCTTCCTTCCTACTAGCCTCTCTCCTCACCCGCCGCGCAATCCGCCCAGTCCGCCGCCAGCCATGCTTTCCTAAAATCCCAACCCTCCACAGCCAGCTTATCCTCCGCAGCGGCAGCAGCTGCGCTTCGCAACTCCACGCCCACCCCGACCCCCATCGAAAATGTCCAGACAAAACGCATGGTCCAGCGGCGCAGCTCGACCCAGTCACAGGTTAACCCCCTTGGCGGTCGCCGCTCGGCCAGCGTGGGCGGGACGCTGCGCCGCTCCAGTAGCAATAGTTCGATGAGCGCACGCACTTTTCGCGACCAGTCCCCCCATCGCCCAGCTACAAGCTCTGGACCCGTCGGGCCCGTCCCTGTACCCGTCGATGTGCCGCCGTTACCTAGTCTCCCGGCCCAGTTTACACCGCGGAAGCTGCCGAACCGCCGCGCACTGAGCATGGAACCGTCAATGCGTTCGCCTCCATCGTCTCCGCCGCGCACTGGAGCGAGGGGCGTGGATCGGGAACATGGGCGAGGGTCTCCCATTCAACTAGCTACGCATCAACGCGTAACTAGTCTTGGGACTGTTCCAGAATTGGAACGATCAGCGAGTCGAAATTCGGTGAACTTCTCATACCCCCTGGGCTCGCGGGCTACCTCGCCAACCGCGATGTCTGAGAGTAATCCGATGAGCCTCCACGATGCTATTCAAGAATCGATTGCTGAGGTATCTGACAAACATCCAATGGGGAAACCTACGGCACAGCTCTCTGGCAGTCTAGAGGAAAGCCCCATTGTAAACAAATCTGGTCCTTTGGCTGGCACCGCAGTTGCTGCAGCCCAAGCGGTTAGTGTGCCAAAGAACAGCCCAAGTGCGAATGGTCGGACTGGAAAGCTGCATAATTCGCTTATAGAGGCCGATCCTCTAGACCAATATACGGGTAACGCAGTGTCTGTCGTGGCCAGCGTGGAAAGTGAACACCCATCCTCCCGATCTCTTCCTGCGCCATCCACCATCCGAGAAGAAGTAGAACCCAAAGATGATGGCATGAATGTCGAAGATATTCCCATGCGGCAAGGCAGAGACCGGATGACGAGTGCCTCTCCAACTGCTGATCACGTAGAGGCAGTGCCAGTGCCGTCATCCCCCTCGACGGAACTGCAAATAGGGCAGCAGCCAAACCGTCAGTCGAGCAGCCCAGGTCGAACTGCTCGCTTCTCCAGGTTACTCTCAGTGGCTGGAGCCGGTGATCAAGTTCACCAGCCTCCGCCCAGATCAGTATCTCCTGTCAAATCGGCCTTGAAACACCCAAGAGAAACCTCCTTATCGCCTAATAGGAGGGCTGAGGCAACCGGTCGAGTCCTACCACTGAGCGAGTTATCAGATGGAACCTCGGTGGCTTCTGACGAAGGATCCCGGGTTGATGCCAAGAAGAAGTCTGTCAAGGTCAGTTTCGATGATGAGGCTGAGGTTTTCAATGCAGCAGCCAGCCCTCCTACCTCGCCAGAAGAATATATGCCTGATTCCCAACCCGGCGGTAAATCCAAGTCTCGTATGAGTTGGCTTGGTGTTGGCAAGAAGAAGTCGCCCGCGGAGTTTGCGAGCGACGATGACTGGGATGTAGTCATGAAACCCCGACAAGTTCTTCCATCTTTCGGTAGCATTCGAGGAAGCCGAGGCGGCGCTCATAAGAGGTCGCCAATCCCTGATTTCAGTGACAATGAGTCCAGCTGTTCGACTGAATCTGATGTGGTGCCAAAGCCGGGTATATCTCTCTCAAATGACCACACTGTCGGAAGTTTGCCGCCTAAGACGCAAAAAGATGAATATTTCCACCCACGCGATTTGAGCGCTTTGGAGCAATTATCTGTCAACGGCACTTTGCATACTTTGCATTCAGATACCAGCCCAGGGGCCAAACGAGCGGCCAGAGTCACCCATGACGCCACTGATAAACAGCCGTATTCCAGCGTGGGCTCTGAACTATCTGTGCCTGCTATTGCTGTCGAGCCTGCTACGCCCCCAGCAGACGAAACCAACCAAAATCTCGACGTGAAGAGAGCTAGCCTAGACCAGTATAGGATTCCGGGAGGATTCCCGCCCTCCAGCTCAGACCGCAGTCTCGATTCGGCTGCGAAGAAGACCAGCGCCCAGGCCGTGGCGAGCGCTGTTCCAAAGCTGGATGACTTGGACGCAGAGGAGTCGTCTGGTGATAGCATCTACAGCGATGCAGCGGAAGACATTGACGGTGATGGGTTTGGATCCATCAATGCCATTGTTGATAATCGATCAGCACCTAGATCGGTACCTATTGAGGAGAATGCGAGCGAATCCCGGGACGCAACGCCAAGGCCTATCAATAGAGCCGCCATCGTGGATAGTCAGTCACAAGATGTGACAGATCAACCACTTGCGGATTCGCGCTGCATGACACCGACTCAAGACTCGGTCAACCGCCTGGTAGAGGAATCTCCTGCCTCTTCGGTTGGCCATGGACTTAGTTCTGCACACTCGCCAGTGCCAGTGCCGTTGCAAACTCGCAATGTGACTGCTCAGGATGACAGCGTCCAAGCACAGCGCACCGCGCGAACCCGCCCCATGTCGGTGGATGTGAATGGCACGTCTCGTATGCAGGACCCTCGGTGGTCGAGCAACGATGCTTCTCCACGAGGTGGCAAGGCTAAACCACGTCCCATGTCTCTTGGTCCAGTTTTCCACAATTCAGGAGGCCAACCAGGTGTTCCTGGCAGTCTGCGCCGGCAAATGTCGAATGAAAGTGATTCTTCAAGCAGTTTCAAACGATCTTCTCCCCGTGGAGATCCCCACTCCTTGCGACGGACGATGAGAGCCGGCGCTGCTGGTGCTAACGTCCGAGTGCAAGCTCCAACGGAACGCAACGAGTCTCCCCTTGAACATCGTCCTCTTTCATCTGGCTCCTCGAATGGCACAATGCGTAAGACTCTCCGAGGACCTGCGGGAGGTGAGCGATATACGTTCTTCTCAACAAACAAGAAGGCCCCGCCAAGAGCGAAGTTTACCAAGGCGCCCCCTAAGTTGGCGCGCTCAACTCGGTTCGCAAATTCAGATGGCGAGGATGAAGCCCGACCCCGGGTCTTCGCCAGTCGATTCGTAGATTCCAGCGACGAAGAGCCTGGAAGCAACAAGCTACGTCCTGTCCGCGGTATCCCTCGTCGCCAAGGTGCCGACGACGGTGACTCGACAGAGTTGGAGGATAGTTCGGAAGAGAGCGCCCGGCAGCAAGCACATCCAGTGCTTGCGTCCCAGCCAACGACCTCTTCACCTGGATCCTACGGGAAAAACGCAACAAACATGTCTGGAATGGCAGCTGTAGCCAAACAACGTGGCATGTCGCAGAGAGACTTAGAGGAGTTCATCATGGCGCCTCCCCGTGGTCGGAAGCCAGGACTTCTCACCCGGCTAGGGATTAAGAAACCCAAGAACTCAGACAATAGAGCTCGCGAAGCTGGCGTCGAAAGCCCCTCGCGGGGAGACATCCCCCTAGAGCGGTCGCCTCTGGAACGCGATCAATTACGCAGCGAGGGCATGGTGAATGGAAACCGCGGCATGACCACAACCACGGTGTCTGCTGGGAATCCCGAGCCGACTCGCCCATCCAGGCTGGTGAAGAGAAACTCTAAACGCCAGTCGACGGGGCCAAACCCTTGGCCGCTTCACCCCAGTGCCAAGGAAGAAGAGCCTCTCCAGCCAGTCGCGGAACAGCCAAACAGCGCCCCGTCATCTGTTCTCCAAACGCAAGACCCTGCGCCGCCAACACATAGTGCAGGTGCAGTACACAATGAGAGCGCCCTTGTCAATGGGAATGGCGCTCACGGTGCATCTCCGATTGCGAAGGAGCCCGGGGTACCCCGCGACGGACCAGATCCAAACAATGACAGCACTTCTGAATTCACGAACCCCGATGACCATGGGCTTTCGGCGCGCGACATCGTGATCACTGGCTCTGGACGAAAGAAACGATTTCCTCTTCTTCGGAAGGCATTCGGTCTGCGGAATTGATCATGCTGCGGATCTGAACTGGCTTCGTTTGATCTTTATTTGAGTCAGACGATTGAACAGATACCCATGTTTCACGTTTCAGTTCAAATGCTTTTTAATTCCCTTCTTTGATCCCCTTCTTTCTTTTCTCCTTCTCCAATCAACCTTTTCTACAAGGAAAGACTTGTGGCCTAAAATGGCTACCGTTGTCTTGCCTTCAAAAATCGATTCCATCTTCGCCGATATCTAATCTCTAATGACTGATATACGCCCTTTGGTTTGCTTCTTCTGGCTCACCCTTCTCTTTCTTTTTTCTTCTTGGCTGTGGCCTGTATTCCACCTTTCTCGCTCTCTTCGGGAGAAACTCTGACCTGCAACAGGGTGTTATACTCTCCCTCCTTCCTCTTCTGGTTCTTCCTTCTATTTCCTTTTATCTTCCGGTGTGGCCCATTGGAGTTCTTCGCTTCCATGATACCCTCGTTCTTCCTTCCCACACTGTATTATTGTCGTTCTTTTATATCTCAACCCCGATCCCTTATAAGGGCCGGGCGAGCTCTAAAACGAGATGTTGCGTCGTCTTGGCCGTTTTCAGACTTACTTTTCATAGATTTGGTCAACAAAAAACACAATATGATCCGCCCTAATTCTTCATCTACATTTTATAATTCAAGTCAGTAAATTTTGCGCTAGGATAACAAGTCTGTTGTGCTGGTCTTGCTACCTAAAGGTTGTATTATTTTCTCTACTTGGTGCCATATCGGGAATGTAGGTGGAGATTCCGGCTCTATATAATCGACTACATTTATATCCACCGCGTCTTCGTATGCCAATTCTGAATCCCCATGATAATCCAGAAATATATTTTTGCAGTAGACTATGGCTGACATTCATAAAGATATTCTGGCTTTCCCTGTATCAAAAAGGTCTTCATTATCACGAGATGCCGAACATTCTCGTAGTTCATACTGGCCCTGTAATAATGCATCTCGAATAACACGATGGTGCTTTCTGAATTGGACAGTGCCCGTCTCCATTCCTGCCAGCACATCAAAATGGAACTGCCGGAGTTCATATCTCATCTGTTCAGCAAATGATGGCTGTTTTAGGGCGGGTACATATTCGTAAAGATAGGAGATTTGGCATGCCAAGTGAAGCAGCAACATAGCATCATCACTAGGATAGTCTAGCCAGCTATCGATCAGTGCATCAAGGAATCCTGGTAGTGGTGGGAATGACAGATTTTCGTGTGATGACGCCGCTGCCAAAGACGCATCGTCAGAAGGTGAGTTGCCTATCAGAGGAAACTTCCACTATTCAGCTGGAAGAAGAACAGTCATTGTCTGGCTGGTCGGGGCAACAAGATGTTTTTGTGGGAGTTCCACCTTCGCATTTCCGATTTTACGTGGCCCTTGCGAATCAATAACCCATCCAGCCTTGATGAGTAATTCAGCTGCCCTGTCAAGGTCCGAGACAAGTAGAAAGAGATTGAACTTGAATGTAGGAACATCATAATGGCGAAGAGCATCTTCGAACCAGATGACGTAGGGGATTTGGTGGTCTGATAACACTTGACATGGCTTATATCTTCTCTCGGTGCTGGACTCTTGATGGGGCATGATGCATATGAAGCTAACAATACTGAGTGCAGTTACTGATTCAAATGTGGTGGTTTTTGAGTGTAGGTGTCTGATGTTGTAGATTGGTAACAAGAAGCGATGTCGTCCGGTATCTAAAGGAAGGAAGCTTCAATCTCGCGACTGACACGGTACAAATAAACCCACGCCATGTGACTTGAGGCATCAGTCATAAAATCATCGAATGCTAATTCTATGGATGGATTAAAATCTATATCTAAATTTAATATCATTCTGCCAATGAGAGTTGAACAGAGCAGAAGTTGTCACAAGTGTGATATTCCGTTAGCGGATGGTTGAGGTGTCCCACAATCAGACCAATATTGTACACCGTAAAGTGATAAGCCTGGCATGACTACTCTGTGTTATCCCATTACTGGCCGCACTTCTATATCTGGAACGGACGCAAGGATAAATTCAAAAGAAGAGATATAGAGTAGGAAAAACCGAGAGGGAAGAATAACGTTCACTCTGCTAAGCTAAGGCTCTTATTATCAAAGGACAGGAACTTGCGGGTCAAGGGCCACATGGCTCTAATTATTTGTGAAACAACCTATAAGTTGTTAGTATGAGTACTGAGCTTTCAAATCCGAATCAGATACAACAAACCATTCTGCAGGTCATACCCAGCTCCAATTTAAGAATCCTGGCCACTCTACTTTCGGACAAAAGCTTCAACGAAGGCTTTGCTCGCGTTTGGAACCTCAGAAGCTTTGGGGAGGTGATTGGGGTTTTCAGCGCAGTAATAAAGAAGGAACAAAATATATTGAGCATCAGTCCTCTTCTTAGATTCACTAGCCCGACTGAGTATAGATCCGCATTTTGCATTCAGAAGCAGTGCCGGCTTTAGAACCTTCACGTTTCGAACTGTGATCACTTCGGTCGTTTCATCAAACGTTTCCCGGCACAAAGCAGGAGGCGCGAGGATCTCGATCTCCACAGGTTTGGCAGCCCTATACCACGTGTGGTATATCCTTGTTTCAACCTCGAAGTCGGGGGAGTCCCGCAGCAGCTTTCTCATAGCAGGAGTATGTCCCCGAAGAACAACAAAGTCGATATCTTCGGTTGCTCGTTCAGAGCCTAGAGCGGTACAAGCACTGCAACCGACAAGGGCGTACTTTTCGCCCCCGAGTGCATTCCCAAGCGCCGTGAGAGCTTCACGAAGTGCTTCTGGGGCATGTGGTTCGAAGACATAGTCAACAGAGTAACGGCAGACATGTTTAGATGGCAAGTACTTGATGATAGATTGGGTGGTTATTTAGGGTCATCTTACTTGCATTCCTACCTATGGGTTGGCAAAGCCTGGCACTGCCTACTAGGCAGTAGTTGAGATGTAGAATGACATACTAGCAGCTAAAGAATGGGAGAAAACATCTAAAATTAGTGTTTTAGCTAGAAGCATACTAGCTAGCTATAAAACTACTATCAGCAATGGAAATAATATTGGGAAGAATACAGAGTAGACATGCTGGCTTATCACTTTACAATTTACAATATAGGGACGATGATGGAATATCTCAAGGGCAGCAAAGCATAAGACATATGTAATATTTCACATGTATACCCAGGGGTTACCTATATTTCGGCCTAGAGGGTCTGTGAGCGCACAATTCCGGGAGGATTATAAGCAACATCTCACCCTTCTCACCCAGAGTCGGGCGACTGTAAGGGACCTCTCATCCACTTCTTACCCGGGCAGTATCTACCTGACTACTGGACGCTTATAAGCCAATCATTATATGGCCAATTCTCAGTGTACTTTTCGCACCCCTGGCATTAAAACAGTGACCTAGTTCAGAATGAGAGCAATAGAGGGGTCTGATACGCTGGGAACGGCTAACGTGAGACGAAGGGTGGAATGTGCGACGCCAATATCATGACCGTGGAAGGGACTCTTAAAACAGGATCAAAATCGAATAATTTCTGTCTCCAACTGACGATATAACCGTTAAGCGTACATGTAGTAGTGTTGATAGTGAATTGGTTGCTAGAGATAGCCAGAGACAATCAGACATAATTGCACGTGACTTGCTAAGAATAGATAGGCGATAGTCAAAAACATACGGAATGCGTTTCAGGTTCGATAGATCTCGCTTTGTTATTGTCTACTTGATGCTCATAGTTAAAATCTTTTAGTGGTTCTTTTAATAAACCCATCTGGACTTGTTTCTGATAATATGACTAATAGGAGTGGATCCAAATGGACTAAGGCCGCTTGGCCTAATGGTTAAGGCACCCGACTCCTAGTTAATAGTGTCATCGGGAGATTGTGAGTTCGAATCTCATAGTGGTCGACATATTTTTGCTCCCCAAACCTATCGGGAATAGATCGATTGGCTACCAATTTTTTTTTGAGATAAATGAACAAGACGCTGCGAGAGGAGGAGGAGAAGCGCTAATCAATTAGAACACTTGTGTACTCCAACTTAGAGAGTTAGTACGTTGATCTTAATCGGGAAGGTCGGACCAGTCAACAAACACCACCATAATAGTCCTCTGAATGGACACATATCGCACATTCAGATTTCAGGATAATAGATATCTCATTAATCCCACCAATGAAGGAGAGGTAATGTAGGCCTGAGCGAAGGCCATGTACAAAACGGGCAGGCGCCATGTCGAAGGCGAGCAATATTTATCGACGAAGAAAGAACTTCTCCCAGCTTTCTCTCTCACTCTCTGCTATGTCATTTTAGAAGACCATACGATAGCTCGGGTTTCTGCCTGAAAGGATATTCGCCACATAACTCATACAATATACAATATACAATCTGATCTTTGAAATGGTATAGTTTATTGATTGAAGGGCATATTAGTCTCTTTCTTGATATCTTGTCAACTATCCTTGTCGCTGTATCTCTTGTAATATTCCTAATAAATCTCATGGCCTATATCTTGGTGGCTGATCTTCTTGAACATGATCCAACGGGTGCTCCCAGCTACCACTCACCGGCCCAAGTAAGGCGGCATTCCTGATTCGATAGTAAGAACTCCCACCAAGCTCAAAAGCCTCCTGAATTTGAGCCTTTTCCTTAGGGTCGAGTTTGAAACCCCGAGCCTTCTCACAACAGGAACATTCCACCGTGCAATGACCAACCGAATGGTTTCGTCCAGTACAACTAGAACAGCGTCCGCAGTCTCGTGCACAGCAACCCCCCCCCCTCCCTTCCAGCACAATCTTCGCAAAGCACAATATGCATATACCACCTCGGATGTGAGCGCCAATAATCGATTCCTCGAGTCAGAGGGCCATCAATAAACGAACGTCTAATATTCCACCATTCCCGCTCCAACATCCAATATTGCTTCGAGAGATCCGAAATCTCCCCTTGTAAGCGTAGAATGCGAATTGATATATCATGAGTAATTGGTATCCTGAGGAGTTCTTGTATATCTTCTCTCAAAGCCATCTCCCGGTGAGTATTCTGCCGGAGTTCAAGTTCCGTCTGTAATAGCGCTCTCATATCAGCAGGATCTAAATTGTGATATTTTGTTAGCCAGACATTTAATCGGTGTCTTTGAAGTGAGGCGATATCTCCGGACGCTTCGAGGTCAAGCTCCTCTTGGGATTGGTCCCCATACATGCGCGCGAGCGCGAGCATCTTCAATATCTCGAGATGCTGAAGTCAAAGAAGAAAGGCCGAGCTTCGATGGGATGAATCAACAAACTTTTTGGTCGAGGTGAGTGCTGCTTCAAGCGGGTTGTTTTTCAATGGGCATGTTGTTGTATGAGTAAGTTTTGGGAGAGTCCACGGGTGATGAGGTCAGGTCAGGTCATCTCCGCATCCTGAAAAGCAATCGGAATCGTTACCGGTGCGAGACCTCAGCTAATACAAACTTGAAATTGTGATATCGTCCTATGCCTGAGCAATAAGACACATCGATCTATCAATCCAATTGTGGTGGAAGTTGCATGATACACGAGCACAATCCCCAAACAATAGGGGCATGCTGAGGCCGAAATCTACTCCACAAGATCGTCAACAAATTGGACAGGTATATTCGTTCAGTAGAACTATAGAAACAAAACCCAAACACCAGCCAACACCAGAAAGACCCAAAACGTCAATTATATAGTCCTTCAGGAAGACATAGACATGCAGTATCATCAGCACTGATTTTGAAGCGTCATGGATTAATGAAAACCAGGGGTATGGCGCAAAAGAACGACAAAAGCAAGGCGCGCGCAAATGCAATCAAGAAAGCCCGACATATATCTACATGTACACGCCGAATGCGACAGCCAGCAATAGCGGCACAATAGCCACAGCCGACAGTCTCGGCTGTAGCATGGCAGCACCTGAACCAATGGAACTGGTGGTGTACATGTACTCGAATGTGATGGCGGATGAATTGAAGCAATTGTCGCGAGTGACCGCCTCTACGGACGCATCACCATCCTCTGCGAACTCAATATCCACGCACTAGAAACAAGTCAGTATATTGATTCCCAGGTCGGAAATAAGAGGGCTGGAACATACATTGTATAGCGAAGCGCCGTGCTTGGCGACCTCGACCAGCTGAATTGTGGCATAGTCACCCGGGCTGACGGTGATATTGGGCGGCAGGGGCACCTGGGGCAGACAGACGGTACCGGGGTAAGGGTTGTTGGTCGGGCCGACAAGCTGGAAAGGCGGGACGACTGGGTGGCTCATGTTTTGGGGGACTTCGCCGAAGCCGAGATTGATATATATCAGGGCAGTGGCGTGGCCTGGGAACCAGCCCGGCTGGAAGGCGACAGCACCACCGCTGACGGGCCACTTGGTTCGGTTGGTCGACATGGGCATGCCACCACCTATAAAAAAAGTCGAGTCAGTGATTGATATCCAGTGGCGAGAACATAGGTCCTGCTTACAAGGATAAATCCACTGCATGCCATATGGGTAGGTTAATGAGCCATTTTTCGCATCATAGCCGACACCAAGACCATGAGCTTGTTCAATGGTGCCGTTGGTGTGCAAGTTGTTTCCTCGATAACCGGGGTAAGTGATGACGGTGTGAGCGTGCGCCAGCCCTAAGCATAGCAGGAGGAGGACAGAAGCCCATCGCGATATGGATTGTGTGAAACTCATGGTGAGATGCGACAGTGATGACAATTTCCAAGAGCTGAATAGGAAAATATTATTCCTGACGCTGAGCGAAACTCCGACTCAATTTCTCCGATCGCAGGACAAACGAAGCGGGTAGGAGAGGCTGGGCAATGTTAATGGCAAGATGGACACCAAAATCAGAGAAGCTCCAAGACCAAGCCATGATTTTCGAGGGCTGAATGGTCCTTTTGAGGGGTACCGGCCATTCACTGGGGCGGACGAGTCAGAACCCAGGAAGGCAGATGTGACCGAGACTGCAGGGTGATGCATCTGTGACTGGCTCCGAGTCGTGATGAAGAGCAGGGGTAGGCTAGGATCATCACAGCCCGCTGCAAGTGCCATCACCTAAAGGGTGATACTGCATGATGATTTGCTGAACGACCAGCGGTGGAAGCGCCGAGGGGGGACGCTAACGTTGGAAAGAACTTGGGCGCTTACAGAACATGTGCTGATCAAGTTCTGGATTGTTGGATTTTTTTTTCCTGCAAACCATTGCACACTAATCCACCTAAATATGTACCTAGGTATCTTTATATCACCTTGGAGTGTTATGTCTACGGAGTACTCTATAGTTCATACTCTAACTAGTTACTCTGTACTCCCCAATTCTTACCTAAGCCCATTATACCGAGGTCCCGCCAAGCATTTCCCCCACATCTCCAAAAAAAAAAAGCTTCACCAAATATAAATCCAAGACTGACAATAATTTATATACTATAAGTTGCTTCGCTTCGCTCCGCAATCATAATTATATATAAAATATGCCCCATACATCTCACCCCTCTCGCCCAAAACGACAAACCCAAAAACGAACCCAAGTGACCGACGATGATGGCTGGACCCATGTCGCGAGCGGCGGCAACGTGCGGCGCGTAATGCGCACACGCCCGAGAGGCACAACTACAATCAAGGAATCCGAAGCTGGGATATCCTCTGACCAGATTGAACCCACATTGACCCCTGCAGAGGCACCAGGTCGACTCACACTGTCCGAGCTGCAGGCGCAGTTCCAAACTCATCGTGAGAGGTGGGAGGGTTCGGAGAGTTGGAATAAGTTGACGAGCGTTTTGGATGAACGGCTGAGGAAGGCGCAGGAACAAGCTTCTTCTGATGTTGCTTCCTCTTCTTCCAACCAGTCGTCAGATGGCGTTCCTTCCGCCCCGGCCCGCTGCCCTGTCGACGCCATTGTCTGTATTGGGCTTGGGAGCCCGAGTGGGTTCTTGCGTGATGGATGGGTTGATCGGCGCGCTGTATCGCTTTATCAGCTTGCTGCGCTTGCGAGTATCAAGGATCAAGTGGCTTGTTCGTTTCCCGACCTTTTTGGATTTAGTTTTTGTGCTTTGGTTTCATTTTTGGATATATTCTTTTTGGCCATATCTTGGATCTATGATCATCTTCTTGACTTGGACTATCACCATCGCGTACACATTACATCTTATCCCACGCTAACCACACACCCGCATCATAGCCACAATCTCCTCCAACCTCAAAGTCTACGCCCAAGACCCTGTCTTCAACACACTAGATGAAGCCCTGCTCGCAGCCCTGAATATAACAGTCATCAAACACCCAGAGGCGTTCTCGCACATTACGGCGAACACAATGCTCTTCTGTCCCGGTGCAGAACGCAAACACCTTGAATTGTTGTTGCCGTCAAACCCGTGGTTGTTATTCGGTGGTCCGCTCGAGCATGCGGACGCTGGTGGTGTACTGCAAGGCTATGTGGATGGCGCTGGGTCGTATTGTTTGCCGGTGTTTGAAGCACTTGAGCATGCATTTTGGAATATGAGGCTCTATTGGGCTGAGGAGGTGGGCGAGGAGTGATATCTATATAAAAACTTTTGGGATTTTGGGGATTTTGGTTTATTAGAGATGCATGGGGTTATAGACTATAGACTAGGTATGCATGGGATTGGAGTTGGTATAATGCTTGAGATTGAGTCAAATATGATGTTTTCAGACCTTTCGAAGAAGGTTGGAACCAACGTGCCTTCCAAATTCCCCATCACCTAGGGTGCCTTCCTATTTGGGAACATCGTCACCTACCCAAGTTCCCCCGTCTTAAGGCACTGGGGCATAAATACCTGCCCCGTCCCACTTTCTTTCTCTTTTCTTTTCTTCCCCCAACAGTTCAGTCTCACGTCCAATGATAGATCTATTGAGGTCACTGATTGGATCGTTGCTGCGGCTCAGGTTAGGCTGAAACTAGATTGGGACTACCCGTCTAATGGCACGAAGCATGTCTCGGGGGGGGGGAACCTGCGGGCAGTGCTCCTTCGACCGCTGTGGATACAGACTGTACTTTCTTGGGTCTTGGGTTCTCCATTGACCGTCAGGAGCTGAACTGTTTAAATTTTTGTGAACCAAAACCTTAGAAGGGGCTCTGCTCTCATCTCCTTCGACCCAATTTTGGAACCTTTATTACAGAGATAGCTCTCTGTTATCCGAAGAATTTTCTGAGGGTACTTTGTTCAAGGTTCTTCTTTATGGTTCCATTTGGATTATTGGTTTGTTCCTATGTGTTGTACTATAACGTTGGTGGAAAACTTACTTGAAGGTAAACAAATGATCAAGATTAATGAAAGAAGTGACTGGATATGACAGTGCTTATACGTATTTCGAGAAATGATGAATTGACCTATTATATACATGGAGGCCGAGCATAGGTAGTATAGCTATGGAAGGCAAAACACAAACACAAAAACGATCCTGTGAATATCCCATGAAGACAAATATCCACCGCAAAAACAAGTATTGAAGACCCTCATAAATACAGCCAAGGAATGAAACCAAAGATATGCAAGGTAAAATCAAGTATGACCCGAAAAACGGGCAGCAATGGATAAAGAGTGCAAGGAAAAAAAAAGGAAAGGAGAGATGATGGAACGTCAGGCAAGGAACCCCCGAGATATTGAATCGAAATGGAAGAGGTAAATCCGAGGAAAGGTGTGAGGGTGAGAGGTAACAGCTTCGGGGGTTCCGGTATCAGAAAGACAAACGCCAGTGCAGAGAAAGCAAATCAAGACTAAGAAGACGATATTTATGCACATAAAAGAAAATTTCATGATCATGATTCCATAAAAGAGCCACGGCCGGATTTGATGGCATATCAAGAGGCAGTCTTGCCGCCGCAGTCGGGGATCTTGAGACCCTTCTTGAGCTTGCGTCCGGAGTCCATCAGACCCCATTTATCCTCCCATTCCTCTTTCCCGGGCGTGTTGAATTGGATTTTCCATGGTTCGTCGAAAGCCTCGAACCTGTAGAGGGTGTTAGTGATCTAAATAGACCGAGCGGTTGATGAATGAAACACATACCAGAAATAATCAGTTCCATTTTCCAACGCCGGACAGATCCAGTCAGCCATGAAAATGTTCATGTTATCGATACTGGCGATAGAACCAGGCGTGTCGTCGTCACAGACTTCGCTATCACCGCAGTCCTTGCCGCCGCCACTGGGCCACCCGACCTCTGAGATGATTTGCTTCTTGTTCGTACCCTCGGTCAAGATCACGTCATGGCTCTGCCAGAAATTCCATGTCCAGGCAACAGCTTTGGTGACATTGACACCGGCGAAGAAGGGATGGACGTTGGACATGACGACATCCACTTCATCCACCAACTCCGCATTCCAGTTATCACCGAGGTCGGAGGTGGCAATCAATAGATCATCCAGGTTGCGCTTCTTGACCTCGCTCGTGACATCTTTGATGTACGAGATTAAAGTTGTCTGGGCAGATGCCTTGTCCTTGCCGGCGCGGTAGAGAGCTTCGTTGCCGACAATGACACCCTTATAGATGGATGTGTCTTTGGAGTCATCCAAGAGTTTGTAGAGGTGCTTGATCTGTCGTTCGGTAGATGTTTTATTGGAGTCAATCCATACACCGAGCCAAAGTTTCATATCCTTCAGCTCGAGACGATCGATCGCATGAAGAACCATCTCAGTCTGATTGCAGTCGGTACCGTAAAGACGCACGGTATTGGTCAACTGCGACAGGACAGCCATGTCACGGGTGACATTGTTCTGCGACGGAGGCCACTTCACACAATCGGGGTACTGCACGCCCCACGGCGTGTAATCCATTCCAGGGAAGACCTTGTGGAGATCCGTGTTGCCCATCAGGGCCTTGATCTCGGAGGAATCCTTGTCGAGGTCACCATGGGTCTTCGCATCACCCGTCGCAGTTCCTTCTTCCTCAGCAGCCTTGGACTTGTCGTCCTTATGCCGGCTTCCAATTGTACCACCCACCGCACCACCGACAATCGCACCCACAATCACAAAGGCAAGAACAAGACCGACAATCCAGCCCATCTTCTTGCGCCCCTCTATTCCATTACCTGGAGATCTCCCCGACGTCCCATTACCACCGCTCTCCAACCCACCGGGAACCGAGTTATATGCGACATCAGCAGCCTTCTCGCGACCAAGGAAGCCCTTCAGAAGACCACCACCAGCGACACCAGCAGCCGCGCCCGCCGCAGCAGGCGCTCGACTGCGCGGGGGACCAAAGTCCTCATCCCCATCGTCGGCGATGTCATCGGGGTTAATGTTCGACATCTCGCCATTACTGTACGCGGTGGAGTGTCGCTGATAAGGCCCATCGGTGATACTCGTATACGGCGCGGGGTATTGGTATGTGCTGTGCGCAGGATCGCTCAGATGCACTGAAGATTGACTAGGAGTCTGCATGGCTGGCGAGGCGACCAGGCCGCCCCTCGCCATATTCAAAGCGTGGGCGTGTTCGTGACGAAACGAGTCGGCGCCGCTATAGCCTGCTGAGGGCACGTATGGTGTGTCTGAGCCGGTTGTGTTATAGTCGCGCTCGGCCGGGCCAGTGTATCCGTCGTGTATGCCCTGAGAAGCGTCGATCCCGCTTTGGCGACTGTGTGTATTTGCGATTCCTAGAGCGATTCCGCTGATTCCGCCGCCCGGCGAGCCGGGGCCGAGGTTGTCGACGCCTGGTGTGATAGTTTGATTCTCGCGAGCTCCGTGGACGTAACGATGGGCTGGGGGTTGTGGAGTGTCCATTTCTATGTCGTTTGACATTTGGGAGTTGCGGGTGTCCGGTGCCAAGTGGACCGGACTTTTGAATAATAAAAGTTGAAAGAAGTTGGACCCGCGAACGGAGAAAAATGCAGGGAAGGTGCCAAGGCAGAATTTAAACTGAATGCAGTCGATTCACAACTGAGACAAAGGAAATTGGAATCCTTCGAATACGTATGGGGGCTTGACACTAACAAGTCAAAGCGAGTGCAACATTAAGCGGGTAAATATGGCGTGGCCGGGACAACGGGAACTGGGATATCAGCTAATAACTCAGCTAAACCGCCTAAATATCAGGTATAATAGAACATTGAAATCAGTTTATGATGATTCTATTATTGGAATACCGTGAACGTGGTTATACAACATTCCAGGGTCCTTTTCCAGGGCTTCCAGGGTCCAATATGGAGCCCCTTGATACTATTTTTATCTGGCCATGTGGTTAACTGTCAACTGTCAAGATTTTTCTATATAAACACATTCATATATCACATTCAACGTTAAAATAAAAGTCGTGGTATCATCTGAGGCCATATCCTAGATCATATCAAATCGTATCCTCCAAATTCCTCCTGTTTTTGGAATTTTTGTTTTTGTTCCGCAAACCGAACGCCCTCGCATACCTCAACCGCAAACGATATACCCCCCAAAAAAAAAAAAAAAAAAACATCAAAACTAAAACTAAGAAAGTAAATACCAGAAGATAATCTAGCCTGAATTCAACCTTCAACTTCCTCCGCACTTCGCTGAGCAGCATTCTCAGAACCAGACTCCAGACGACGCCCGCGCTCTAGGAAGCGTCGCTTGCCACGACGAGTATCAAAATGATCAGGAATATCAACTGCATCCTGGCCCGCAGCGAGCATACTGCTTCGCATTTTATCGCGATAGGCATCCACTATTCGAAAACGGTTAGCGGGGTCTCTCATTATGTCTCAGCCGCAGTCAGATCATCCATGGGCACGTGTTGATGGGTTCGGGGGAACAAAGTAGATCAACCAAAAAAGTGTAAAATCGGATGAAAACAAGAGAAATACTTACAAGACCGCTGTAAAAATAACATTCGTCCCGCAAACACGCGACTCTGACTCCAGCTCATACGGTAGCCGAGGTCATTAAGCATCAATTCCTTATGGTGTTTTCTGCGGGAGACCTTCGGCACCTCGATTTCAGTATCGGCGTCCAGTGACGGCGCAGGCACAGTCGTGCGGCCGATAGTTGATGCCTCGGGATCGTCCGCCTGCTCGGCATCATCGCGGAAGAAGCGCTTAGCGGGGACAACGCGGTTCTCGTCGCGCATCTGGATGGGAAAGTAGGTACGCGGGTAGACGGCGTTTGACTCGCGGTAGGAGTCTGGGATCTCGTCCATGTTGACCTTGTCAAGGACGACCTTAACGCGAACACGACAGCCACGCTGTGGGTCGTCGACTAGGATGAATTTGCGGCGTTTGCCGTCTGGAAGGTGACTGAAGAGATCGTCGTTTGTTGGACCTTGCTCTTCGATGTCGTGGTCGGTTGAGTCCATGCGGGCGGAGGTTGCAATTGTGTGGCGGCTTAGTGAGGTGAGGCTATTGTCGCGGAGGAGAGGGGGCATGGAGGGGCCGCTAGCGCTGCCGCCTGGGGTTAGGGTTGTTGGGGCGTCATGGAAGATGTGGGCGGGGCGGAGATCAGGGATTGAGGGTTGAGGGAGGCGTGCGTCCATGCTCCGGTGACCCGGGTAGTCTGTGCCTATAGGGAGGGGGGACATGAATTAGCCTACGCTGTACAACTGCATGTTTGACATGTCGGGGAGAGGAGGTTCAGTTCCAAAGAAAGAAGAGCCAAAGCACAAGAAGCGCGGTATCAAATGGTAGAAAGGCGACAAAACAGGAAGCTGAACAGGGTATGAAATAGAACAGATAAGAACAGGACCAGGTAGGGATACAAGAGAGTACACATCTCATACAACCGTTGACACATCCTCATACACACATACACACATGGACCGGACCAGACAAAACACAAAACTCCCACATATACATATACACACAAGACATCCGGTCCAACCAAAAAAAAAAAGGGTCCAAGGAGAAAATACATGAGTGATCCCGCCCCTCTTTGCAAAAAAAGAAAGAAAAGAAAAGAAAAGAAAAAGATTGACGGAACAAAGCACATCACATGTGGTGAAACATACCGCTAACTTCCTCATTAGGACTGCCATCAGGTTGATGATGATGATGCATCTGCGGCGGACCCATCGACATGGGACCCAAATTTGGGCGGGAAATAGGAGCTGGCATAGCACTCATGCCCGGACCAGGTGGACCACCTGGGCCAATAGGGCCTTGCTGCGCCATATGAGCAGACTGAGCGGGGACCGACTGTCTTCGGTTAATTTTAGCCATACGACGAACGCGTCTGCTGCGCAGTCTCGGGTCCTGATTGCTGTTGCGCCAACTATCGACAGCACGCTGGATTAATCCACGCTTGCCCCTCAGAGCAGGATTCAGCTCGGCCAGTGCCCAGCCGACAGCATTGCATTCTGTTTCGTAGACCAGCCGGTTCCCGCGATATTGGTCCTTACTGCAACAGGCGCGCGGGTACACACAGTTCTCTGTTTTGAACTCTTGCGTGAGCGTGTCCACGATGACGGATTCCACGTCACACCGGATGGTGTATTCCATCTTCACCCGATCTCGGGAATATTCGAAGGCGATCCACTGCACGCCGTTACTGTCTTGTCGCACGACTAGCGGGGTAGTGGCTGGGATGGGCCCTGGTGCCGCGCTGGAGGTGGCGCCGCCTAGTGGTGGGCTTGCGTGGGGGTTGCTGGCAGACATTGCGTGGCTGCTGGTTGCGGTGAGAGGAGGGTTCAGCATTGTTTGCTGTGGAGTGGTGGGGTGCTGGGAGGAATCGAGTTTCATGATGGGGCTGCTAGACATGCCAGACGTAGGGAGGTGGGGTGATTGGTGTGGTGGCACCTGGGATAGGGCTTTCTGAGGGGGCATCATCAATGGCTGTGATGTGAGCGGATGCTGCTGGGGAGAATGGTGGGCCCCATATGGCGAGGGCTGAACCGGATTCATGGGCGAGTATGGAGGATAGCCGAACATCTGCGGTGGCATCTGTGGCGACTGCGAGTACATGTTGCGGCCATGTTGTTCATGCGGTTGAGAAGCTACCGATGCTGGTGAGCTTGATTGAGGAGTGTGGTAAATAGAGGGATAAGGTCTCTGCATTTGAGCGGTAGATGCCATGAGTTCAGGTGGCCCTAATCCTTGAGGGTTAGTTGATGTCTTCGATAAGAATGCAATGGCCAAAATCATCAAGAAACCCAAGCGCCAATCCGTCACTTCTCAATGCCAATAATTTCATACCAACTGCCAAAAAACAAGGAATCGGGGCTTACCACTAGAAGGGTAATGTGTCGACGCTGGGGTCGTTGTATAGGGAGAATGGGTGGTGTAGTAGGGCGATTCCTGAGGTGGCGGTCCGTAGGGATTATGATGGTGCAGGACTCCGTTTCCTAATGGATGGGATGGAGGGTAGGTGGTAGGAGTAATAGAAAGAGAGGGCTGAACAGGTGAGGCAGGGCCTTGCTTCTGTGCTAGATTTGATCGAGGTTGTAATGCCTGAGAGTGTTGGGAACCGAGACGACCAGAGTTGCCGTGTCGAAGCTGTAACAGAAACACACATCAGTGACTAGGACTTGGATGGCCCCCGACAGGTTGCCAGAAAGATACGATAAGCAAGATTCGAGTCAGAAAATGCACGGTGCTACAAGCCGAGAACGTGGACATAGGAAAGAAAGAAAAGGAACTTGTAAACACAGCCAGTAGTGTCCGGAGTGACATCAGTGTATGACCTCTCCGGTCTAGCGTGGGAATTTGAATCTTGCAGGTATGCAGAATCTCATCATAGAGGTGAGGGGTTGGATTGGGCCACAGATAGTAATCCTCGAACAGGGATTGTCTTAGGGTGCGTAACAAATGGGCCAGGGTATAGCCGGGATAGTCCGTCCAGGGCTAAAGAATAGCATGGATCTGTGTAGCGTTGGTGTGTCCTTGATATCGCGAGTGGGGGTTTTGTTTTTTTTTCTTCCGAAGGGACAAAGCACTCCAAAACTGGATGTAGATAGCAGTCCTATGCCGCTACACGGACTTTAGGCATTGTTTTTTGCTCTCAATTGAAACCATTTTCCTTGTATGGCCGAAGTGAGGCTCTAGTCGGAGCAGGGCTTTGGTGGGTCCGGAAGAGAGCATACAAATTGGACTGAGCTCCAGATGTTGCCAAATCAATTGTGGGGTCAATCGACATGAGTTGACTGTCTTCTGAGATATTGACTCTGCTCATCCAGCCCCAGTCCGAGGTTGAAGTGTCGAAGAGGGTATCCAAAGGCGTGATAGATCAAGTGTCGAAAAGAGGTTCCACTGGACATAGAGCTCCCCGGCAACCACATATTGAAACCAAGAAAGATAGGAATGATATTGAAATAGGAAACATCTCACAGAATCTATAGGGTAGACGGGAACTCGAAAGGAAAAAAAGAGATAAGGTACGCAATGTGAAATGATACTCACGGGATCATCAATAGAATCTTCCTTGTACTTCGTCGCTGGAGGACCAAGGTCGGGCTGTACCATGCCGGTCATGAACGACCTCTCTCACGGCCCAAGACAGAATCTTGCAGACTTGAAAAGAGTACAAGATTGAGAAAGGGAGAACTGGGATGGGGTTGCTTTTGGGAGAAAGAGAAGGTAAAAAAAAAAAAAAAAAAAAGGGAAAGGTGAAACCACGAGGGCGATCCCGAACTGAGGCTAAACAGTAGCTGCGCGACACACTAGGTGACTGGGGTTCAGGGGGCCGTGTCAATGTGAAGGCAAGTGGAGGGTCCAGGGTCGTTTATTTAGCTGCACCCTCCATTCTTATTTTCGGAGGCAAACCTCGTTCTGACGGAAGAGCTAGAGTAAAAGGGTTCTTAAAAGAGAATAATATAAAGAATAATATAAAGAATAAAAGAAAGAAAGAAATCTTAAAAAAAAACAAAAGCCCAATATGGAATAAATAATAATAAAACCTACCAAGTGTATCAGGATCTTGTAACTAGCGGGAAAGTGGTGTAATAATGACCAGGATGGACGCAGGAGATTAACTCGAGTCCGGTAAACATCCGAGCTTTAAAATTAAATGTGTCATCAGTCTAGCCGAGAGGAAAAATAGACGCTTGGGAATGATGTGCAGAGCAGTGGTGGAGAAGGATGTGCTACGGCATATCCAGTGGAGAGAGAATCTATATTGCCGCAACGGCTTAGGTCTTCTCGGATCCGGTGGAGTGATCGTGATACGTTTGTATGAAAGTGTAAATAAATAACTCTGAGACCTGGTAGTTTCAAGCATTGTGATTGCGTAGTTCAATGCTCCATAGAACTGGGAAATAATATGAGATAATATAAGGAAAAGAGGGGGGGGGGAAGGCCTCAGCCATATCTAACTCCATATAGCGTAGAAATTGGACTACATTTGTACTTTTACTGTAAGTATTCAACGGGTTACGGGAAAATCCGTTTGCTCATGACGTTCAAGATCGAATAACCAATGACCCACAGAGTCTAGAATACTTGAAGATGTGGACCTCGGGACTCGAGGCTAAAAAAGAGAGCTAGTTGACGTTGCCCTCGGATCGTGCACAGGTCAGTTTCAGGTACGGCTTGGGCTGAGAAAATTCTCGTCGGAGTATATCGAAGATCGGCGGAATAATACTTGAAAAGAGTAAATGAAAAAAAAGGTATTAAATTCCTTCGTATATTATAAGTTACACCGATCTTCTTTCCACGGCCTCTAAGGAAATTCATAAATAAACTCGAAACAGCCTAACGGCGCCTTTTCTCTTTGACTCTGCGTTCGTGGGACCCGTGTAACTCTGTCCCAGGTCGATCCCACGAACCAGTACTCCATGCTTCATACAAAGTATGGCTTATATGTGCTTGACACAGAGAGAAAAAAGAAAAAGGACCCTGGTATACGCGTCTAATGCCCTAGAACAGCACGATCGAATCCCTCTCTTGGACAACGCTAGAATAATAGCCTGCCGTAATAATAGCCAATCGACTTGAGATTCACTCAAGGATGCGGGCCTCCACCCGGGTTCGCTCTATCCCGGAACTATTCTAGTGGCATCTTAGTCAATCTTGGCATTAATGTTCATCCACTATGGTTTGATAGAAAGAGAAAGAAAAAGGAATGGGAAAACAAGAAAAGAAAAGAAAGATACAAGCCCCAGCCTCCCAATTTTCTCCGGCTTCTGACACCAGCCGATGCATAGTACTCGAATCCTTTTCAAGCATTTTGCCCCTGTGCTTGTGAAATGGCACGCTAAATTGGCTAGGCACCCATATGGAATTTAATTAATCTTTTATACTCTACCCTTGTCCTTTGTACCCTTTGAGGGTGGAGACATCCCGGGATGGACTATCCTCGGAGGTAATAACGATCCATGGAACAGTGAGTTTGATATAGAACATTTAACTTTCTAGTTTCCAAGGTTATATTCTCGTATAGCCATGGGTAATCTGAGGCTCTCTAAAAATCTACCTTGTACAGAGTAACTTGGAGAATGAGGGAAGCATGTCAATTGTTGCGCAGTGACTTTGCATGAAGGTGAAATTACGGGCGTACAGGAGTCCAACTTCGGAGGTTTAGACCATGCATTAAAAAAAATCCAAAAAGAAAATATACACTCTTTTGAGAGTGCTTCCAGAATCAGGCTAGTCCCTAGATCGTCCATTCAGCTCTACCACATCAAAGACACGGAAAAGGTAGGGTTAGAATGGACCAATGATTTTCTGCCCAATGGATCATCAAATATGGGGGATTCGAGTGTTCGAGGCACAACTCTCGAGACTCAGCCCTGAAGGTTGGAGCTAAAACCAAAGTGCACGGTTGTTCCCCCCCCCCCCCCCCTTTTTTTTTTTCTCTCTTCTCATTTTTTGTTAAAGAAACGGTGCCATTTTTCCACGGAGGACTACCATTGGCGTGTAAGTCTATGATCGATGATCCCGCGGTCTTCCGTCGCGTTAAGCCGTACCCGCAGTCCCACATAACTTTTCTCCAAGCTCCATCAACTTGGAAAAAATTGTGATAGCGTGACCCACATGGTCCATGCGGACTCCGTGGATATGGCATGTTTAGATATGTCAAACTGTCCTTTTTGATAATCTCTCAAAATATCTCAATCCTAACCAAAGCTGAGAATTTGTTACACAAGTGTCACTGAAAGTGGCTGGGGTTAACCGGGGACGCCATCGGGGACGAACCAGAGGGCAAACCCCTGGGCGGATCAACCGACAATCCTGGCCCCCTTTTTGCTCTAAATTGTGCCACTACCGCCCCGGATCGACTGTGGACTTGGGTCCAGAGCATCAAGTCTTTTTAGCTATTTGCCGACTTCGCTTAACTATTTCGTGCCGGTCTCCCGTCTCGATCTGTCGATCCAGGTGTACATCATGTTCAAACAAAGACCCCAGGTGGCCTGTGCGACAAAGGTAACACCGTTTGAATTTGGGCTTTTCATCTCTTATGCGGGAGACTAAACCCTAAACCCGATCAAGCAAGAGCAGGCCATGCAGTCACTTTGTCATCAAGGGGGCTTGAACTAAGGTGCCATGACCTCGAGCTGCTGGATAGTACATATCAAAGTTCAAACGCGCCATCTAGCGCCAACACCCAACTAGAAGTAGATAGAGCATGTCCTCCGTAGGTTGTATTCGCCTCGGGATTGAAACCCCGAAGCAGAAATACCCGGGATAAGTCCTCCGTGATCTTTTAGTCAGTTGCTCGATTTCTTTGTTTCATGATCGACAGAATGATCATGCAAACCAAGTTTGAAGCACCGACGTCCACGTTGACCTGGGGTGTGTAACCCTTGCTTCCAGCTATCAGTCAGGCGAGCTATCTCTCTCTCCCTTCACCTCCAGAACTAGCTCGAATGCGAGAAATTTTCCTCTGATCAAGCCACACCGAACTCCGGGGAGATACATATTCATCGGAGCTCGGCAGGTTGTCGATACCGATATGTCCGATCAGTCAATATCGACGCTCGGTCCCGAGTATGGGAACATATGCCAATGGCAATTGAGGGGCTATAAGCCACAATCTAGTAGATCGCGGGTCGGGCTATAGTACGGAGTACGAGGGATTCAAGTTGAAGTCTTGATAGTCTTGGCCCCCTTGGCGACCAAGGATCCTGCCGAGGTGCCCGGGGGAGAAGGATTTTTCTCCATTCACAGAAATATATTTTTCTTTTACAAGCCCCCAAATTAAAGTTGCCGCACCCTGGTCTTTCGTCCATGCGGATATTGACCACCCTGCTTAGTCTGCAATGATCTGCCCCAGGGCTATCAACGGCTTCCATTCCTTGAAGAGACTATTAATTAATTAATTATTATTATATTGCTCTATGATTCATTCCAAACTTTACAGGCCCTCATGCCAATGAGAATAAACAAAAAAATAAATTAAAACATTCTCCGCACTCCGGGACTCTAAGACGGATATGGCCCCCCTCGGACCAAGCGGGATGGCGCCGAGAAGAGGAAATGATAACCCGCTCCAAAAAGAACGCACAATTCGAATACGTTGCATCGGTCTCTCCGACCTCTGACTCGTTTCCATACTTCGCAAGTTGCAACTTGTTATTTTGAACATAACTCCATAGAGAACTAGGTCGATAGATCGTTCAACGGCCCCACCATCCGGATCCGAATAATGGAGCTTAGAACGTGCGATGGAGTATTTTTATCTTTAACCGAGCTCTCTATTCTGTACTTTGTACAGCCAAGATCACAAATTGGTGATCACACCGGTTTACTCCGTACTCCGGCCCCAGCCGCCCAAAGCCGTGGGGAATCGGGGACAATGATCGGGGAAAGATCATAACCCGGGGTCCGACTTGATACTATCTGGTACAAGGATTGTACCATTTGTATTCAATCGAAATGTAACGAAAGGTACACCGTACTAAACACATGCAGATTTTATTCCAGTTGCAACTATATGTAGTTGATATACGAGTTTCAGCTCTTCCACGCGCCTTCACGGACACCGTTCCCTCGAACCACTTTCTAAAAAGTTTCTAGCCCGAACCATAAGCAAAAGTCAAAATACTCAAAAGTTAGTTCTCACCGCAAACTGCAAACTTTGTGAGCCATCCCATGTGGAAAAAGGTGGTTTAACACCTGCATGTGGGCGTGCGGTAGCGCGTCGCGTGGCCGTATTTGATGCATGGTTTCATAATCTCTGTGCTATCTTCAGCCTGGTGGAAAATCCCCCCAAAAAGTCCATTCACTATCAGTGAAAGAAATGGAAATTTTCGAGGTTGATCGCTGCAGAGATGGGGATAATAATTACCATACCGGTGACAGATCCTATGGGAATTATACATAAACTGAGCTGGCTATCTGCATACTGCACCGTTTAATCATGATCAGCTTCGGTTACTATTACATTAGATCGTAGCTATCCCAAGTATCATACAGCCCCGAATAATAACAGAAATCCGAAACCTGTTGTCGCCCTTGTCCTATAACCCCAGATGTAGGTGATAAGCACTATATCATTAGATCGTAACTAATTTGTCCGCCCCATTGGCAATTGACACAATCGGGGTAAAGGTCAGATGTGTCAGGATGTAGGGGGGTCAAGTGAGCGCGTTTGTGTTTGCTTTTTTTTGGCTTTTGCCCCCATGTGCCACGACGATCTTCGACGAGTTCGGGTTGCACCCCAATCTTCGTATGTAGGCGTAAATACGGAGTGTACACACAATATAATATTCCTTAGTGGACAGTCTGATATCGTAATCAATTCGGACATGCTCCATACGGAGTGCGGAGTTACGGAGTCAAGAGGGAAATTAGAAATCAATGACGTTAGAAGATCGTGTCAAGGATCAGCACGTTCTCTTAGGTTTCATCTCCACAACGGAGGTAAGCACTGTATATGAATAAATTTACGGGAAAGAGACCAGATTGGACAATTCCAAGATTCCCTTACAATATAATACTTGAATCCAATATAATGTCCCCCCGATAGCCAAGCACACGGACCCAAAAGCCCTGGGCCCGGAAACAAGCTCTCTCCACCTTCCTTGATTCTGATTTATACGATCGACTTTCCAGATTCCAATATAGCTTTTAGCTTCTACTATTATCTAGTATCATACGCTATACTATTTTTCTCCAGGTGGAGTCATTTCCCCCTTCGCCACACCCATGACTCGCGTGCATCCAATATAGATTGCTACCCGGGTTTCATCGCCATCCATTAGTGGCCAACGGTCAACTCCACAGATTTTGGATTCGCAAATCGGATGTGATTTCACATATGGAGTACAGATGACTCAACCCCGACAGTAATAGTACATCATATATCGTATACGGGGTACGTATGCATAACAATGCTCTACAACATACGGAGTACTATGTACAATGGTTCTTGGTCTTTCGTTACTTGAGGCACATTAAATCCCGCATATCGTCTACATATAATACGTGTTATAATTATCATGATCTCGGCGACTATTCGGCTGTGATGAGAATGTCTCCGATGGTATCAAATCTCCTCTTGTAACACTACTATAACTATTTGGGTGCGATATCCGTGTACACTAGACAGACTAAAGGCTGTAAACACTTGACCAGTAAGGGCTGATACCTATTCTGATAATTGTGGTGCAATGCGTACATACGGAGTAGTTATAACCGTGGATTCTAAGTCTTGGTACGCCCGGCCTATATCTGCGCTGCTATTACTATTCGCCCGGGCAAATTGCAAGCTAGCAATAAGGGGAAATAGGCGGGATGAGCCTCCAACAGGGGGAATAGCTCGTTTATAATATATAGAATGTGTAGGGTATGTTGAAAACATTTATACCGGAAAGTCCGTATAGAGTACTCCGAAAGAACTTGATTAGAAACCTGTAGATGTCCAGTTTTATGCCTCATTTCCAATCTCCACCAGAGTACCGGTGAAATCCGAAACCCGACATCCAACACAGAATCTCCCTAAATGTTTGCTAGTGGCGTATGTCTAGAACATGCAGCCACTATGCAACTACAATAATCTGAGTGTCCCCCTTTTTTTTCTACTTTTTTGTCCATCTTCCCAAGTTGGATTGGTGGTTTGTTTTCTTTTTCAGTGATCACCCGTATGATTGGAGGTTTAGGGTTTAGGCGCTGTTGGATAATTCCCGATGGGTTGGCAGAGACACTCCTAGAAAAAACAGGAAAAAAAAAAGAAAACATTGCATTCTGACACAATTGCATTTGCAGGCGTGGCGCTCTTTGCTTTTTGCCTTCCCCTCCTGCGCTTTTAGGAAGGGCGCTTGATTTGTATTTTCCTTAGCGCTCTCGTGCTCTCGATAGGTGCAGGCGCACATACCAATGAAAGAAGTAAACATCTAGAAGTGGAGAAGCCAAGCTCCAACTGCTTTCCCTCTTCCCAGATAATGTAATAATATGACTAGGTCTGCAGACCCATATTGACCCAGCAAGACGTGAGAGTAACACAAAAAGCTGAAAAGATACGGAGTAACTCATGCGAGAACGGAAAAAATGCCATGCCGATCCATCCAATGAGCCGCGCGACTCGAAGCTAGACTCGTGTTGTTATATTTGATCGAATATGGGTGGCTATGGATATGGATATGGCTGTGGATGCGAGCGCGGGTGGCCTAGCGACTGATCATCGTTGGGTTCCGCAATCAAAAACGTCGGGAGTTGATTGGCTCGGAAAGAAACGAGCGGCGTGTTGCGCTGCATGTGCAGGCGTCGTCGATCTTGGACGTCCTGTCAAACAATATGACAGGTGCCTACGGAGTGCATCCAACACAGTCATGGCTCATGGTGTGGAAGCGGTGTAAGTCTGAGATAACCCAGAAGAGGAAAAGACACTCGAGTTTGAGATGGGTTTGTACGGAGTACATTGGGAGACACATAAATTGGACGGGCACTTGCTTTTGCCTGCAGGGGCTTGTCGCATGGTCTCCGTCCCCAGAAGGATAGGTGCATAAGTTACATTTGTTAGAGCCAACATGAGAACCGACGGTTTCCACGGCCCCAATGCGCTGATCGAACGCTATTGTGGTTTCAACTGGGATCGACGCGATTTCGCTCTGCGGGGCATATCCAAGTCTCGACTGAAATATTCCCCTATACCGGCGCAGCAGACGGGTTACTCATTCTAGGCCTTTCAGCCTCATGCATTGAGTTGGTCGACGCGCGTGGGCGCGACGGCAAGGATATCTTCGGTGCGGTTGGCGTAGCGGCCGCCTCGAGCTGCTTCCAGGGCTCTTCCTCGCCCTCGTCCTCGTCGTCACTAGAAGACTCTTCGCCCCGGCGGCCGTGGCGGTGAGTCTCATCTCTGGACTTACGTCTGTCGCGTAGCTGTTCCTTGTGCCGGGTGTCTATGTAATGCAATGGTGAGTATTTTACTTCTAGTGTGGTTGTAAGATATACATAGCAGGGTGACTTCAACTTACCTCTGATCTCCTGTGTCTTCACAGCATATTGCTGGATCTCCTCCTTGCTCAAAACCCTCAACACAATCACATAATCCGACCGCTCCTCAAACCGCTCATTGCCCGCTTCCAGTGCCTCCGGATTCACGAGCCGCCGGTCGATCTTCGTCCACCGAGCTCCGGGTGGGATCCCTTGCTTATGAGCGTCTTTGAGGGGAGCAACCCCCTCCCTCACCGGATTGGGCTCCTCTGGGAATGCCGGGCGTGGAGCCTTGAGAATTCCCTTGGGAGGAGCGTCGGGCTCCTTTGGAGCAGCCGGCTCGACAGCAATAAGTCTTCTGGGGTCATCTTTAGCCATGTCGACCGGCGGCGATCGTCGCGGCTCAATAGCGTGACCATCCTCCGGTGTGCGATAGGAGCGAGAAGAGCGGTATCCGCGTGAGTGGTCTCGGTCTCGCCTGTGGTGCGAGTGGCCCCGACTCCGGTCGCGGTCACGGTCACTGTCTGTATCGGTGATGCTGTGTCTGTGACGTGCGGGCTCACGCCTGTAGTTTCGCAAATCTTCGTCAGATGTGTCACCATCATCGCTGTGCGTCCGCCGACGGGAGTGGTGTCGCGTTCGACCGTGGCGACGGGCATCAGCGGGATCAAGGTAGGCCTGCTTGGTTCTTTCATCGGCTGGAACTGCTTCTACCAGCTCCCGCGATGGGGGCTGGACGGCATCGCGGTCATGCTCGCCGTGTGGGCGTCTGTGTTTATGTCGAGACGGGCGGTGGTGTTCGTAGTCCGACATGTCGGAGTATCCGCCTCCCAAGGCCGCTGTTCCGAGTCCCATAGTAGCGAGGGCGCCAGAGTCATGGGGCTTGGAGTGGTGGTCTTCTGGGTAGTGGCTCTCCCGATCATTCGCGTGGCGCGCTTTATAGGCACGGCGGCGGCGGCGGCGCTCGTCGTGTCGGGAAGGGTATTCGCCGTCAGAGTCTTGGGGTGCGGCAACCAGGGCTTGATCGTGGAATCCATCCTTCGATCTGTGCGGCTCTCGGTGGTCATCCTTGCCATACGCTGAGCTTCGCGGCCGTTCACGGCCCATCTTGTCAAGGCCCCAGGATGTCGGAGGTGGGCCATGATGACGTTCTTTCCGCGCTGTCCACTGGGGGTCTTCCGCACCAGTGATACTGAGCGGTCGATCGAGCGAGTATCTCGGCCCGCGATGACGCGCCTTGACAGGGTAGTCCCGGTCAAACTGCTCACGGGCATTGGTGTATGAATAGGCATCAAAGTCATCTATGTCGTCACCTTTCCTCAGACCGTCATACGCTGGATAGCGTGGACGAGTCGGTGGATGGACACGGGGGTGATGCGAACTGTGATCAGTTCTGTGACTGGCATCATTCCGTGGGTCGATATGGCCCGTGTCGCTCGTATAGTCGGTGCTGTAGATTCGGCGATGTGCGGGATTTCGAGGGGAAGCAGAGACTATGTGATGGCCGGAATCTGTGGGGAGAGGGCTCGGGGTACGGCGGTGAGTTGGGTGGTGCTGGTGCACGGGCGAGAGATGCTGACGGGATGATGAAGGTACAGCTAGACGCACTGGTGTCTCGTAGTCCGCTGCCGTTGAGGTGTGGCTTCTGTGCCTGGTGCGGGGCTGGACGGTGTACTCGGTGCGTTTTTTGGCAGACGCAGTCGGATCCTGGACTCGATGGGAGGATATTTGGTGGGCTTCGAGTTTCGATGGTCGCCCTGAGCGGTACCCGAAAGCACTAGCGTATCCTGTATCGGACGGATAGTCTTCGTAATCGTAGCGCCTGGGCGCATCATAAGGATCGTAGGATGAGTTTAATTGTACCATGCCGGTTGAAGCTCTCATGGGATCAATCATGGAGTGTCGGCCTCGACTGGGAGACATATTTCGGTAGTGACTCGACATTTTTGAGGCACTGTAGATGCGATGGGTATAGATGATAAAAACGCCTGACCGGTTTGAAATCAGGTGTGACGGTCTGTTCTTCGGTCGGCTTCGGGGGAGTATTTAAGAATTCAAGTCGGGCTTTGTAGAAATGCCCAACCAGGTCGGTTGGCTCGGAGTAAAGACTCGGCACAAAGTCGAGGAGATTGGCGAGAACTTGACACGAATCCCGGAGCCCAATAGTTGCCCAACTCAACAATGGAGGGGATTCAGAGTGTTGAAATGAAACGTGTGAACAATGACGCAAAAGTGGGTTGGGGTTTGACAAAGGTTAGTAAGAATGCCAAGATATTTTCAGGGCTGAGAATCGGTCTAAGAAAGGAAGTGCGAGATGAAAGAGACAAATTAGATAAAATAAAGAATGTATATAAATATGTTATCCATGGATCTAGAATGTCGAACCTTGGGAACTGAGGCTGTCAACCGTGGAATTTGTTCCCGCTCTATGAAACTCCTTGCTTCATATGCAAAACACTCCCGGAGCCTCTTTCTTTCGCCCGGGTAAGTCCTGTGATGTGTGTTTAAGGGTTATGATATCACTTGAGCCCCATACAAAGGGGGAATCCTGAAGGGATTTCGGCAAATCTTGGGGAAACCTAATTATATATTTTCTGAATTCTACTCTTCCATACCTATTGTTTTCTCCTAACTTATTGTACAAGAATATTCGGCCGCTTATATAGCCTCGTATAGACCATTTAGTAGTCCCAGATATTCCTTTTACGTATATAGCCAGGGACAACATAGAGGCTGTGAAATTGGGGGATTTAATTGTCAATATGAATGAGGTCATAGATAGAACCATCCTAATATCTGTTCAGGGAACTCCAATGTAGCCTCTGACTTCATTAAGCGTACATTTTTAGACAGTTTGGTTGTCTTTCTCATCTTCAGGTTGAAGGGTAAAAGCATCACAAGCAATTATTAACGTATTTATGTCCATGAGATCCAATTGGACATTTCCGCCACAATCCCAACGAATCTCACTCAGGTACTTCTTTCCAATCAGTCGGACTCAATGTAAAACGCAGGTCTCATCTTAATAAGAGTACATGGTTGTACCTGGGTACTTCGATACCAAGGTTCGGGTCCAACGAAAACCTAACCTCACAGAAAGTTCCCCCTACGAAGTACAAACCCAGTCTCACCCCTGATCATCACGTTGCCCACAAAGAGGTTATACACGAACCGGTACTACCCACAGGCTCATTCTTTCCCAGGAACAGTGGGCATTACAAGGATAATGTCTTGGCATATATCATCCACCATAATCAAAGCAATAAGAGCTAGCGAACAGGGTGAACAAAGTCCCCCGAGCAGGGCGGAATTCCCTCCTTCCGATTCACCCTTACACCCCACCCGCGGGAGAGGCATGGAGATGCCCCAACCGAGGCGCAGACTCCGCACAAGAAACCCGCACGAAACAAAAATCCAGGATACTGCAACTAAACGCCCAACAACCCGGTCGCAGTCCAAGATATGATTCCGCCTGGCCACCCGGAAACCCATTACTAGATGTCTTACTTTCAATATAGATGGCTTGCCTCAGGTGGAAAGCGGGAAATGCGCGTACAGCCCCCCATCATGACCCGATCCTCTCCCGAAGACGGCATGTACGCACTCACTAAGGCCAACGCTAATGGCTAAAGCTTCCGGGTTCCTGGTATCCCCGAGTCCCGGTACCCAGGTCGTGGGTCACTAGGCGCAGTGCTGGCTGAGCACGGCCTGGGTCGCGGGTGATATGCCGGTATCAAATAGACGGGTGTGCCGCCATTTCTCTTGCTCTGGCTGGTTGATTTTCCTTTCGCTTCACTCCTGCCTATGCACTGCCGACTGCTGTTCTGATGTGTCGCTTTACCCACTGGGTTTTTGCTCCCTGTATTGGGTTTTCTACCCTGTGCGTGTTGTCCTTTGGACCTTTGGGTCGCGCCTGTTGACATCGGGTTTCGAGCGGGCTTCTCTACGTGGACCTTGGGTGTGCAATGGAAGCACTGATTATGGGCGCTTGTCCGCCGGAGCTCGATATAAAGATCTCCTCTATAGCAGGCCTTTGGATGTCCTCACACTGCTTCATACAATCAGACTTCGAATCGGCTTGAGACAACTATATCTACAGTTCGAATTCTTCAGTCAACTTCTTCAAAAGCTTTAAGATCTCGCAGATCCAACTATCTTCTCTACCAATCTGTATATCCATCCGACACTTCAAGTCACTATGTCTACCTACATCATGTCCAGCGCCATGTCCAGCGCCATGTCCAACAAGTTCTCGAATACCGAGACCAACAGCGAAGGACAGACTTCAACTCTTTTACATGGCTTGGACTTGACCCAGCTTAACAATTCCTCTTATGCCGATGCCATGAGCAGCGCGATGATATCTCGTGCACGGTCAACTCTGGCTCCGGATGCCATCTCCAGGCTCACGCTCACGCCCGACTACCTGTCTACCGGCGCCCCAAGACTGGTGCCAGTATGGAGGAGGTGCTGCCAGTGCACCAATTTGGCCAATCCAATTCTGGCGCCGGAGAAGTGCTCTATTTGCTCTCATTCCGAGTGTCCCTCTTGCACCACAGAGAATGTTCCCGCATAGATCTTACGGAGCTTGTTGCTATGCTTGGGGTGTTTCGATCTTACTTTGTTGCTCTCTTTCCTTTCCTTTCCTTTTTTTTCCTTTCATTTTCAACTGGTCGTCATATTTCTTGTTTCTTTTGTTTGTTGATCATGGATAACGTTTGGACACAGTGCCGATGATACGAATGATCCGCCTGCCCAAGCGCAAGCCACATGTATTGAGGAGTTATGTAAAAGGTATAGATAGGTAGCTGTTTGTTTTATGTCGAATTTCTTTTTTTTAAATCGGGGACACCCTATGTTCATCTATATCTCCTATCCTTCACATATATATATTGAGGTTCAAGTGGAGGGAAACTTTTCCTTCGGGTATTCCATGCTTTTTTATAGTAAGCTTAGATAAGCGAGTGAATGATCAATAAAACGCATGATATCGTTGGATTGAAAACATATAAATATGAGTTGTAGAGGAATATTGAATAAAAGCCACCGAGTTAGACAGCGTAAACGTGTCAATGTGCAGGGAGAGCATATCTGCGGCCAATCTCTTTCATTACCTAGTTTATTTACCATCCAATGGCTCAAGTTTCTAGTATCAAAAGGTCAATGAACTGCTGACCTGGGGAGACCTATACGTAATAGTGACATTCAGCCCTACGGTTGCCCGGCGGGTGGCCTTCGGCAAATAAAATAACCTGACACCAGGTCAGGCCAATAAAAGTGTATATAGTGGAGGCATGCTGCATTAAGTTATAGCGGTATCCAGAATATGGAAGTAAAGCGCCCCGAACTATTGATCGCTAGGAGATTTGTCCCGGTGGCTATGCCCCGAAGGTGGGGACTGTGGAACTGCCCCGTTCTCGGGCGGTGGGGCCAGTCCAGCCTCCAACTTTAAGCGGGTCACCACGGGTCCCATGGCAAAATGACTCTCCATGCTACTGTGATCGGCACACGGGCTCTGCTTGATCGGCAGCAGCCAATCGGCGACATTGTATCCCATGACCTGCTGGAGATTTTTCAATGGGCTGCCCAGGTCGAAGGGATTCTCGCCCGGCAGAGTGTGGAGGATGGCGAAGACGTGGCGTTCGCCCTGGGAAGGGGTGGTGTGTGGACTGGTTGGAGACGGCGATGCTTGGAGTGGGTAGGAGACCATGCGGAATGTCGGAGCCCAGGGGGACTCGGCTGCCCACAGTCGCTCGAGAAGGTATTCTGGAACACGGATGGCGAGGGTCCAGACGGCGGTGCGCCGGTTTAGGTTTTCGATTGTGGTGATGTTGAAGACACCCATTTGAACTGAGCTCAGGGTCATTCCGGCGGTGAAGAAGGCGAACAGGCCACTCCTAGTGGTTTTTATTAGACAAGGTAAATTTCCTAGTATCCTGTGGATGGGCACTTACAGTCCAATGCAGACACACCAGTAGGGATTTGCTCCTCCGGTCTGGTTAAAAGGTTAGTAACAAGCACCCGATGAGTTAGTATAATAGCTCGGGGAAGTCTCACCTCGCGTCGGATCTCCGCTGTAAAATAAGCAGACACTATAAGAACAAAGGTGCAGAAAATTGCAGTATAAGCAACGAATTGAATGAAGAATTTGAACGATGTCTCCGAGACCACGCCCCCAACCCTACATTCTGTTAGCTGGATACTGAGTTTGCGGTAGGTGCACAGCTTTATCATACCAAGGGCAATAGTGATCCATTTTGCGCACACAGCGACCCAACTCACGGCAGTGGTGCGCCCTATCTGTCTTGTACTGACAACACGTAGAGCACCACAGGGGCCGGCCGTCCTCCTGGCAGACGAAAACATCTTTGGTATAGAAGCTCTCTAACCAAACATCTGACTGAACTTGGATGTCTACAGTAGTGGAGTTCGAGCCTCTCTCCACATCCGTATCTGCCTGGTTTGGACTCTTCTCCGGATCGGCTTTGCGCGCGCTTTTCTTCCCACGACGGCGCTTCGATTGCTTTGCGCTCTCGTCATCTGCCAGTTTTTGTTCGCCGAGGGGGAGGTATCCGGGATTCCAGAGGACATGATAATAAAGATGTATATATGAAACGACCATGGGGATTAAAAGCACGTAATAGATCGCGAGGATCGCGGCGCCAGCACCAACTCGCGGGCCTCGGTTATGGGAGGGTAACGGATGAATTAAATAGTCGACTTGAATTTCAGATCGTTAGTTTCCTAGTCAAGAAGCCCTCAGATTCACGCGGAACTCACTGCATAATGGTTTCGTGACCGCATAAGAAGCGTATACCACAGCGCCGAGTAACACGGGCGGAATGAGCCTGGATACTACGACGTTGACGCGCTTCTGCGCGGGAGACGCCATATATACGGGGTCAATACAACAATATCAAATGCATGAATCTAACAAATTCTGGGGGGGGGGGATCGCAAGAAGCCGGATTCGAGTCGACGTTGAATCAAACAGTGCAAACCTGACATAATCGGAGCTGTCCCTGTTCCCGTTCGGGTCATGGATCGGGGCGGGAGGACCTTGGGACCTTGGGACCATACAGATCTCACCTTTACAACCTCAGCTACTATGTTAACACGGGAAATGGTGGCTGGGTCTATTACTCATTTCTATACATCTCAGCTGCGACCGTCAGATAAGGCCCAATGTCAGATCACCTATATTCTCGTTTTAGACCTTGACCGGTTATACTCGATAGAAACTCGATATAGCTAAAAAGGCACCTGGCATGGAGTTTCCATGGGGTTTCCACGGGTGAGAATTTAAATTAGAACTCAGCCTTCGGGTCTCACAGCATCTTTTGTGAGAAGAAAAAATATTATCTCAACCAACAATGATGAAACAAACGTAAGGCTTTTTTTTTCATATTCAGGTATCAGAAATCAGAGCCTGGGTGACTTAGGCAACACTGGGAAGAGTGGGACACCTGACTCTATGACTCTAAATTTTGGGTTTCGAAGCAAGCGTTGCCTGGAAAACCAGGGAAGAGTGGAGTATACGACACACTGTGGAAACCAATTGATCGAACTCATTTTTCGCAAGGCATCAATCGCAAAAGGAATTCGAGTTTATGACACCGAACGTAGACCGTTATTTCAGGGCAACCACGTCACCAGAACCCGTTGACACCCATACATTCTCCCGGGTAAGCTAGTTAATGCGAGACGGTGTGAGGATTTTCTTAGCCCTGGATAGTGGGGACCCCGTTTGACTCAAAACGCCGGGTCTTCAGAATGACACACATTCCTTACATTCTAGACGCAAGTCAGTGGCCTGGGCAATAGCAGAGCCCCGGGGTACACTAAGCCACTTTCTCGGGCAATCCATCTCCCCGGAAGATGTGCGACCAGGACAACTTGCACCCCATCGCCCCAATAGCTGCCCGGGCGAGAAATTTGGCCTTAACCCGAAATGGTCGCAAGGCAGCCTGGGCTGTTGACTGTTCAAGGAACGCTGCCTTGCGCTTCTGGTTCTATATTACGTCTAATGTAATTCTTCACGATATATAGCTTTCAATGATCCCCGTGCAGAAATCCAATTCCATTCTCAAACTCAATCAACATCCAAAGTATTAGGACCTTCTCGCTCTATAAAGACCTCGACTCTGCTTTCAATCAATCCACTCTGTCTCTAATATCAATCCAATCTACCCAACTCATCTCAACAATGGCATCTCTGTGGTACTGCTGCGGCTGCAACTTCGGCCCTCACAACTCGTCTCTCTACGACTCCTGCATCCAGTGCGGAGCAGTCCGTTGCGCTCGCTGCATCGATGAGAAGATCTCTGACAACATGAGTGTTCACTCTCACTCCCACAGCCCAATCTCTGCATACCCAGCTGCCGTCCACATGGATTCACTTCACACTCCAATCTTGAAGACCACAGCCATGTCTATCGTCGTACCAGAGCTTCCCGGTCTACGGCCTCTACCACGAGCCGACTGCACAGGCATATCGTCGGCCTCACTACCTGGGACACGGTACAACAGTGAGACCTACATGTACATCTGCTGCGCATGCAATGACGGGCCTAAGATCTACAACCATCAACCCCAGTGCGTGAACTGCGAGCACATGGCTTGCGGCAGTTGCACCTATGTTAAGTGAGACTTTTTGAAACGCCATCTCGCGGGCCGAGACAGTGTACTACGAATACAATGGTAAGTGGCTCCGATGCTCACTCAGCATTTCGGTTCTTGAAGCTGACGGTTCAACATAGTGATTTCAAACTTTACTATTGCTTTTTTTGGATGATCTTTTCCTTGTTTCTTGTCTTTTTCTTATGCAAAGCGGGTCATGGGTCATGAGCATATATCCTGGTGTATTATCTGCTTTTCTTTTTTTTTTTTTTTTGTTAGACTAGAATTTGTATACTTGCGGCTTCCTGATTTGGTTTAGCGCAAGGCCAGCGGGGCTGGATTCCCCCAGGTCAGCCCTGCTCTGCCTTGGCCATTTGATCTTCATTTTGATATCGTTTATTTATTTGTTTTTTTCGCTTAGAGTATATCAATATTACTATTTTATTTACCCTGGGAACAGTTGAGTCATGATCTTCAAGGCGTGCAGCAAACCCCCTGTTCTGAGCCTCACAAGCCTCGAGGCATGGTTGGTTGATATCACCTGCGGCTCAGCCAAAAATGGACCCTTTTGCTGATGTATGCAAGCCAAGATTCTGGTCTTCTGTTACCGCTCCTTGGGTCTAATATCTGCAGCGAACAGCCCTATGGCCCATAGTAAAAAAGCGGTCTTGGTACTCGGAAGCTAACACAGATGATGTTCATGAACCCTTGTTCTCCGCTACTTTAACATTTGACATTTTTTTACCCTTTTTTACCCTTTGGCCACCTATTTTGGATTTATTTCTTGCTGACTTAGACACAGCCCCCTATGGCATGTCCTTATGATGTTATTCCCATTTCCCATACTATGTCATTGTCGCCCCACATGGGCACTTTCTAGACGTTGAGGCTGTGCTGGACTGTGCGCCCGGGGTTTTTGCTTGGCTTTTCCCAAATGCGCGCTTGTTCTATCAGCTC